TCGGGGGAACCGGGACGAAGGCGGTGTGATGGTATAGGTTTGCTAGAGGTTGCTTCTGGCGGCCGGCGGAACGGCGAGGCGTGAGCGAACTTCGAGCGAGGGCCTTCCGGCAGCGAGCGGAATCGCTAGGGGAAGTGTGGAGACTTGTTCTTCTGTCAGAGTACGCGCTGGAGCTCCTAGGAGCAGCGCGGATCCCCCGGGACGGCGGTGGAGACGCTGTCGCACAAGGCAGGGAAGCAACTGAGTATATATACGAAGATACGAGGGGAAATACACATACCTGTCGCACAAGGCAGGGAAGCAACTGAGAGAACAAGTCTGGGTTGCTCCCTGGTGCGACAGGCGACTATATAGTAGATGAGTAATCCATCAACGCAACGAAAGATGGTCCAATGAGAGAAGGGGAGGGTCCTCGGGCGCCCGACACGTGACCGGTGGACCGGCCTAGGAAGGCCGGGCGAGTGCGGAGGCCCTAGGAGCGCCGAGCGACGGAACGAAATAGGGGAGATGCCAAAAGGAGGGCGCGGGAAGCCTAGGAGGGCGCGGGAGAGCGCGACCGAATAGGGAGACGGAAGTATTAGGGGAAATGAACGAAATGGGACAGAAGCGGAAGCAGAAAAGGAGAACAATGAGACATGAGGCGAGTGTGGGAGCCGTGCCCTGACATGGACTTACTGGTCCTCCCGTGTCTGGCATGATTCACTGAGCACCACAGTCGAAGTAATACGACGAACGATAAAGCAGGCCCAAGTACTTGCTTTTCATCGGCATTGTCGATCGCAGCCGGCTCGTCAATCGCAGCCGGCTCGTCGATCACAGCCGGCTCGTCGATCATACTTTCAAGAGCCAGGCAGAAGTGCTAAATCAGGGAAGACTTGACATATATTCCTTTTGGCTACAATACAGAGAGCATAACTGATCCAGTTGTTAGCCAAAAAAGCGGCACATAGCAACAAATAAAGAGGACGAACCAGTACTACATGCAATGTTACTTTTTTCCATGATCTCGCGGCCCAACGTTCACATATACGCATATGGACAGCAATCTGCGTATCTAGAAGGAGTTCAGAGCTATCACGCATGGAATGTATAAACCTGGAAACTCAACTGGTGAAGCCGACAGCCCCAATGCAAAGATGACGAGACACTGGAGACAATGTCCGTTGATCCTCGCGGCCCAATGACCCAATTTGGTCGGTCGCGAGCAGCCAGTTTGCTCCGTAGTGCAAGTCCGCTGATTGATTCAGAGGAGGGAGAGTTGCCGAGTTGTGCTTTGGCGCGGTCGCGGTCGCATTGTCATGCACGGACATTATCGTTGAGGCTGTGCATGTCCGTGCAACTGCACGGACAATCTCATTGCGGCTGTGGAAATGTCCGTGCAATTTGCACGGACAATCTCATTGTGGCGGTACAGTCCGAACGTTGTTGTTCTGTGTCGTTCGCGACGACGGCGACGACATACTCACACAACCTCCCTTGTAATGCAGCCAGTAGTATGTATACGATGATGTGTAACTTTTGGCAAACTCAGGAGTCCAATCATCGCCATCCGAAACCTTCATCTCGCCTGCCCTAAGGCAGCACGGACCTGCACGGACGCACGGTGACGCTGCACGGACAAAGTACCTTTCCCCCGACGCGAGGCCTCTCCATAGAGCCCGTGACCGCGACGGGGACGGAACCGATCACGTCTGATCGGATAGACTCACAAGCCCTGCTGCGCCGCGGGGCATGACATGTGCTCGCAGTAGCGCCCATATGCTCAGGCCCATGCCGAGTTGGCTTCACTGCCAATAAGGATATCAACCTCGTTCTCGGTATTCACCTTCAACTTGAACAGTGAACACACATGGGCTTCATCGGGGCCTCGAGTGCGGCCATCCTCGCCGCGGCGTTGCTGGCGTCCCCAGTGTCGGCCTTCACCCCACAGCAAGCATTCTTTGCTCCGCCGAGCTTCGCTTCCGATCCAGCTCTTGCGCTTGCAGAGGCGTACTCTGGGTCGACGAGCGCGGGTCGTTTTCCGAATCTCAATACCCGTTTCGAGGTGACGTCCCGGAACGACAGCTTGTTTTGTGGCAAGGAAGGAGACAAGTACAAGTCTGGGTACGCACACTTTACCAACGTGGATGGGAAAGAGGACAAACACTTGTTTTGGTGGTGCGTACCCTGTAACATACAACTCGGAACCATCGCCGTGATACGATCCGTTTGTATAGGCTTTACGAGGCGCGTAATGACCCCGCGAATGCGCCAGTAGTTCTCGTCTTTGGAGGCGGTCCAGGCACGACGGGTATGATGAGCCCGTTATTGGGTGAAGGGTGCGTGCTATCTGTTGGATGGGGACTCTTGCTAAACGCCGAATGTACAGGCCTTGCCTTGTTACAGGCGGAGAAGACAACAGCCTCGAGAAACCCCACCTCGTCGCGGCTCCGGTGAGTGTCAAGGGTCATCCTTGATCATCACCCTCTGAAATCCTGATGCTCCAGTACTCGTGGACGGACTACGTAAATTTGATTGCTATTGATCATGTATGTCCGACCGTTCACCATTTTGCGCGTCCAGCAGCTGACGGGACCGACTTAGCCCGTCGGAGTTGGTTTCAGCCATGGAGCGAAGGATTCGTTGCGGAGAACGAGTGAAGAGGCTGCGTGGGACATAGACGATTTCCTCCAGGCGTTCTGGGCGTAAGTAGGACGGCGTGTATCGCTCTGCGGTATGCTGACGGATAGCCAGTGAATATCCTGAACTTGCGAAGAATCAGTTCATGGTCCATTCCGGCTCGTATGGCGGTACTTAGTACGGGTCTTGGCCTGCTCCAGGGTATTGCCGAAGCTCACGCTTTGCTCCTCAGTATTCCGAACCTTGTCAACGTCATGCGAAACCGCAATTTGGCAGCCAAGTCCGATGCTGAGAGCTTAAGGCTGATAAAAATACCGGAACAGGTGCGAAGATGACAGATACCACAGGGAATAGCGACACCCATTGATGCTTTGTTGCTCACAGATTATGATGAGCAATGTCTGGTCCGATCCTGCCACACACTACCGGTGTGTACACGCATAATGCCGCCGACTCTCATCAGCTACTCAGGTTCAGTATAGGCACTGGGTCTCATCTGCATGCTACGATCTCGGATTCTACAACCGCACCGGCTGCGAAGCCGTCATACGCGACATCCCCGCGTGCCTGGACTCTATCCAGCTAGCGAATGAACAGCCTACCATCAAGAACAAGTACGAAAGCTGGTCGATATGCAGCGCAGCCGTCCATCAAGAGTTCCTGGCCGGCAAGGACCCGTCGGACAACCGTTGCGATCACGAAAACTGTTTTATGAACAGCTTGTTGCGGCTAACTGATATTTTGAACGGAACTGACGTAAAGGCGGCGGTATGATGTTCTCTGCCTGCCCGAAGCACGAGTCGAAATGACCTAACATCATTTATGGACAGCTCGGAGTGCCTCAAGATTATAACTATAACATCACCGCCGGTTTCGATCGTATTGGTCTTCCATTCATCCTTGCCGGAGACCTGTAAGTGGTTGCTGCGAACGTTGGTCGGTAGTTAAAAACTTGTATGCAGTCAGCAACCCGCGTACAAGCTGCTGGGACCCGCGATAGAGGATGGCTTGCGTGTTCTCGGTAGGCTTCAATTATGGCCCTTGCAGTCGTTAATATCGCTGACAAGAGGTTCAGTCTACAATGGCAATAACGATGGTATATGCCCCCGAAGGGGCAATCTTGCCTGGGTACGCAGTCGCTTCTCTGTTCTGTGTTAATGCGCCTGCGACTGACGCCTCATGTGCGCCACAGATGAACCTATTGCAAACGAAATATCAAGACGAGTTCCGTGCGGCTCCCGAAGTGGGATGGCCTGGTGTCGGCTGGTTCAAGCAAGCCGCCGCCGGCAACGGAACGTCGGCCGGCAACTATACATTCGTCAGCGTGTACAACTCGGGGCATGGTGGGTCTTCCTCGTGTACATGGGAGGGAACTCGAGATACTGAATGACAGCTTTGCTATAGCACCCTTCCTCAGCCAACCTAAGGCCACGCGAGATATACTGATCAAGTGGTTGAAGAACGAGCCTTTCCTCTCAAAGTAGCTATCGCGAAGTTGTATTCATGATCGGGGTTGGGGTGATCCTAACTTTCATGTTGCCCACATTGCTGATTCGATACAAAGCGCAGTCAATGGCACACTGAGGCGAGGTGAGAACCATGCCTTCAAGCACTCCTTTAAGGTAGAACCCCCAGGCTACGTCTGATCAATTCAAACTTCATCGAAAGCAACCTGCTGCGCGCTATTTTTGACCGCGCTCATCAGCGCCCGAACCGTACATATACTTCTCATGTCAAGCTCTGCTCTGCTTTGACCTGCGATCGCGTCTCGCTCTGCGTTCGCGCCATTCTGCGCAGGAACATGAGGTTTCTCCTGACCGTTGCGGCGGCTGTTGCGCTCACCCCCGTTTTTGTGTCAGCTTTCGTTCCAGAGCAAGTCTACTTCTCTCTGTCAAGCTTGACTGCGGATACCGTCGCAAGCGATGTCCAGCGCGGGCCGGTATCCGAATATAGCCACGCGCCTTGAGGTGACTTCTCCACGAAACGCGAGCTTGTTCTGTGGCAAAAAGGGCGACAAATACAAGTCTGGGTACGCTCACTTCACCAGTGTCGATGGGGGAGGAAGACAAACACATGTTCTGGTGGTGCATACACCAGGCCATGCCATCGTATCATAACTGAACTTTGTTTAGGCTGTTCGAGGCGCACCATGATCCCGCAAACGCGCCCGTAGTTCTAGTCTTTGGAGGAGGTCCGGGAACAACCGGTATGATCAGTCCGTTCCTGGGCCAAGGGTACGTGCGTGCGTTGAATCATGCTACTACCTCGACGTTGTTGGTGTTGTAGTCCCTGTCTGATTGAAGGTGCAAATGGCAACAATCCGAAGCCGAACCTTGTGCCGGCTCCCGTAAGCTTCCGATTTCTCTCAAGCTTACTGGTGTCTGAGCAAGGTGTTTCAGTACTCGTGGACGGAGTACGTGAACCTGATTGCAAACGATCACGTACGTTCAGTATTGCTGGGCGATGTGGGTGTCTGTTCATATACCAGGTTTTGCAATAGCCCGTTGGCGTCAGATTCAGCTATGGTGCGACAGATTCTCTGAGAAGGACCAGTGCAGAGGCTGCGTGGGACATTGACGATTTTCTCCAGGCCCTCTGGGCGTAGGCGTTCCGGTTTCCCTTCGTGGCCTCACATTGATGCTTGTGCAGAGAGTATCCGTCGCTTGCAAAGAAGCAATTCATGGTGCACTCGGGATCGTATGGCGGCACCTAGTACGTGTTCCGGTCATGCGGTGGCTTCGCATCCTGTGCTCAGTTTCCTCAGTATCCCCATCTCGTTAACGTGATCTACGAGCGTAATCTCGCTGCGATATCCGAGGAGAGCAGCCCGCGACTGGTAAAGATGCCAGAGCAGGTAAGGACTCAAGAACGTAGCCGTATTGTGCAGTTAACCTGCATGACTATGTAGTTCATGATGAGCAATGTCATGTCCGATTCTGCAACATTCTTTCGGTATGTGTGAAGCCAACCTGGTTTGTGCGTTTTTTGAGCATAACATCCTCCTCCTTAGCCATTACGTTCGATCTATGTGCGATGACCTTGGTTATTACATCCGCACCGGCTGTGAAGCCGTTGCGCGTGACGTTCCCGCTTGCCTGGACTCCATACAGTTGGCATATGAACAGCCGACCATAGAGAACAAGTGGGCCAGTTTTGTGACTTGTACTAATGCCAGACACCCCAGTCTTTTGTCTGGTCGGGACCTGTTTGACAATCGATGCCTACGCGAGAACTGCCTCCATGAAACGATGTTACGGCTCAGCGAAATTCTGAACGCCACGGACGTGAAGGGAGCGGCACGAAAACATTCATTCTACTGATAGCTGTGCTGTTCGCTAAAGCGAGTCTCCGTGTACAGCTCGGCGTGAAGCCAGGCTACGACTATAGCATTGACGGTGGTTACCAACGAGTAGGAATACCTTTCTTTACGGGGGGTGACCTGTAGGTGAAACACGTTGAACGTATTGGGCAACATCTGATCTTTTCAAGTGTCCAAGCAGCCTACAAACTTTTGGGGCCGGCAATTGAGGTCGGACTTCGCGTTCTAGGTACGCTCCGGAGCACACTGTGGCCGAAACACTGATCACTGCACTATCAGTCTACAATGGCGATAATGATGGCACATGCCCTCGCAGGTCGACTCTCGCCTGGGTATGTACGCTTCGCGATGCGCTCGCTGAAATTGTTCTACACGGCAGTTCATGTACTCCACAGATGAACCTTCTAGAGACAAGATACCAGGCCGAATTCCGTGAAGCTCCAGGCATAGAATTGCCTGGGATCGGTTGGTACAAAACGGCAGGCGCCTCCAACGGAACCTCTGCCGGCAACTACACATTCATCTCAGTATACGATTCTGGTCATGGTAAGCTGCGCATACTGTCATTCTGTTGAAACCAGGAACTAATGGAGCTTGCAGCGCCGTTTTTGAGCCAGCCGAAGGTGACACAGGAGCTCTTGATCAAGTGGTTGAAAAATCTGCCTCTTGTTTGATTTTAAATAAATGCGCTAGTTTGGGCATCTTCTGTATTCTGCACAAATCGCGCACATGGTGATGAGCGTCAGATGTGCTTCTCGCTTATCACCATCCGCTATGAGCCGATTTGGTGCAAAGTCTTCGGTATATACTATGATTTCTTTGCAACGAGTCAATGCAGAATCAAGATAACTTGAAGTCGAGGTGAAATGGTTGACCCGACTCCTCTGAATTCCTAAGTTTATTCACAGCGTTTACACCGCTTCACTCGACTCAGGAGCGCGCCTACTGATTCTTCTCGCAGAGAACTGGAACATATCGCAGAAGGTGGAGTGTGCGGATCACGGAGAGCGCCCATCAGACCCTGAAACTCAGAATACACCTAAGTAGTTCAATCATACGGCTCCGCTCAAGAAGGGACCCTGGCGATGCGAGTTGTTTCGAGGCCTGAGGGCCATGCTTCTCGGGCGACTGCTGGACTGACGGTTACCGTCTCGCTTTCAGGCAGTCCTCCATCAATGATCTTGGGTACATGATTTCTTAACGAAACCCGACGCAGACGGACCACTACTCGCTGATGTTAGTGAAGGCCTCTTAGGATCCTTGATTCTTTTGCGTCGAAGGGGTACCTCGGATACAAACGGACAGGTACAGACGCGACCTCCTTCCCTGACGTCGACGTGCCTCCTCTCCGAAAGGTAGCCATTATTACGGCTTGTCTTACGTATGAAACGATTGGAGAAACCTGGGTACCATGCGGAGCCGCGTTTTGTCCCTGAACCGTTCTACTAGGCAAGGCAGGGGCCCAAGGACAAGCTCTGCTTGAAACTGCGGATCGGGTGCGCCCTGGACCTTTGTTCTCCGCCGAGGCTTCGGAGTTCTAATCACCAGATGAGCGCCCAGATGAGGAGGCTTTTTTGTTGTGATATCCAGATAATTTGAATGCATAACAGACAGCGCTTGATCAATGATCCGTTTCTTGGAGGTGAGTAGATGAATCTACGCAGTGCTCTGCGACGGCGACCCAGCGTAAGTCGTACGCAACGTGGAGCCTGGGCTTGCCTTGTACCGATCGGGACATGGCGGCCCGGATTCAATATACCCTCAACGCTTCCACGCCACTTGGGGCGGAGTGTGCTCAAACACGCGGATGAGGTGAGGATAAGTAGACCAGGGCAGGCTGTGTCCGCGCACTTCCAAGCTCCGGTGTCAAGAGACCCAGCGAAAGTCCGATCCAGGGCTCCGCGGCTGAACGAAAGGAGAGGGATTCGGTGGTGTGCTTGACAGTCCGTGGGACGCCGCTGATGGTCGGGACGACGGCCGAGCGTTGAAGGAGACCGGGAAACTCGAAAGAACAAGGTATCCATCCTGTATTCATCGTAATCGCTGATGATCGGCGGTGCCGCCGCCGCGATCGTACAGGAAGCCGTGAATTATATCAGGGGCCTCGACTCCCGACCCGTGCAAACTGTTTGATCCGTCTGCCTTTTCCACGGCGTGTGCCCGTGAGACCCTGAAACGTTCTCATGCCCTGAGGGATTAGATTGTAGGGCGTGTCAGGCAGAGTCTAGTACAGTCCCATGAGCACAGAAATCTATCGGCAGCGGTAAAGGGGGGATGATGCTGATAATACAGGTTAACGTGCGCTACATCCGGATAAAGTGGGATCATATTAGATGACGTGCAAACGAACAGAAGACATACACTATGGACAACCAGATCGGGGAACAATAAGATTAGTTATGAACATCGAAAAAATAGCATGGATCCGTTATGTTACACTCCTCCAGGGGGAACACCATGGGGCAGAGATCGCCATCATGCCACGTATGTCAGGCCCCCGGCTTCTGCGGCGTTCCTTTCGTGTATCTTCATGTGGCGCTTGAGGTCTGATTCGCGAGCGAAGCCCTTCTCACATGGATGATAGACACATTTGAATGGCTTGTCACCACGGTGCGACCTCTCATGACCTATGAACGAAGAGGAAGACGGGGATTAGATGTCATGTCACAGCGGGGAGAACTGAACACCCGCAAGCGACATACCTTCGAGGTTGATCTTCTTCGTGAATTCCGAGGGACAGATGCTGCACTTGAAAATCGCTTGCCGCTTCCGTCGCGATTGGCTGGCGAGCGCGACAGCGGGGGTGGCCACGACTTCCCGATGATGGGGGACGTCACGGTGGGCCTTCGAGATGCGGGGCATGACCTGGGACGGTGCCCGTTGACGGGATATGTACGGCGGGGTTCGTCGGCTGGCAGCGGAAGCCGATCGCGACTCGGCGACCGCTGGGACGCGCCCGCCAGGGCCAACGCCGTCAAGGGAGACACCTCGCCGGTGTGGCGGCAGCGCCATCGATGATCCTGGCACGTCGAGATAGTAGCTCCCGCCCTGTGGCGTCGTCGCAGTGGATCGCACGCTGGAGAAGGCGAAGCTGGCCGAGATCCCGTCGAAGGGCCGTGTGGAGGCTGGACGTGATGAAACTTGTTGGTGGTGAGGTGCCGAGTTGCTACTATTCTCAGCCAGGTACGGCCTCATAGGCTGCGGTTCCATCAAGGACGGTTTGTGCGCGAACGGAGAGAGCCCGACGGTCGACGTCCCCGTGGATGTTGTTGATTCGGGTGAGCCAGTCTGTGACTGGAGCCCGAGGGAGTTGTACGCGTACATGGAAGGGTCGTGCGAGGAAGAGTCTGGACGTGACGCACGTTAGTATGATGCTAAGATATCGATGTGCAAACGATGAATTCACTCTGGCTGCATGACCACATGTCTATGTCTTCGAGAATGAACGCGTTGACGTCGAAGTCAATGGCAGATGGTTTGGGGGGTGATAGTGACAACAACAGATGCCCGTCGTCGAGGGGCCCTATGTTAGGCAACGGTGGAGTGAAGTCGAAGAACGGAGTCGGAGGGTCGCTGTGTCCCGGGGACATTCTTGAGCAGACAGAAGGAGGGCCTCCCGGGGTGTTATACAATTGCGGTATGGGGGAGAGTGACATATCCTTGAAGAATTCCTGTGTGGCGCGGGCCGAAGACGGCAGGACGGGCTCGAGAGGGGTATCTCTGAAGGGACGGTCAAACAATTGACGGCGCGCTTGTTATAAATATACCGACATTGAGAATTCATTCCATGGGTTCGAGTCGAAGGAGCTGTGGTCCGTGGTTTGGAGATCGGAAGGCAGAGATTCTGGCAAGGTGTTTTCGGGCAGGAAGGGCGGATTGCAGGGCAAGGTGGGAGAATCGGGTGATTGGGTGCGAGAAGCGCCCTCTGCGACAAACAGGGAGGTGGGCGAGTTCATTCTTGGATCCGGGGGGAAGCTTGTGACGAGGAACCCGTAAGCAGGCAAGGATACCGGCGGTGCTGATAGTGAACGACTGCTAGAACCACGGCGCTGATGGGGATCCGTGTTCACCGAGATGGTGCAAGAACTGGGTCGGCGGGGAGGGCACAAAGAAGGGCGGAGGTCTGCCAACATCAGAGGCGAAAGGCGCTATGTAGGGAGTGTGGCGAGTACGCGGTTCGCGGTCCGTCAAGGCAATGGAGGTTGGGGAGTGTAGGCGCACTTTCGGACATGCGCTTTCGAAGGGTCGGTATATAGCTCCCAACAATGGCTACGGTTCCGGGTGGCTGGAGGTGGTCGCTTTTGTGAGTACAAGAGGTCAGGGGGGGTGGGTTCCCATCGGGGAGGCCTCGAGGCAACGCGAGCGAAAGCATCGGCTCGCAAACGAAAAGTTGTGGGTCCGTTGTGGGTCCAAACGCCTTGCCGCTTTGACGACAGATCAGCCGCTGGGGACGGTCCGGACGCCACTTGCCCATTTCTGGGGCGCTTTATTCTTCAGAAGGCACGCGCCACAACCGACCTGAGCTCGCGACGGAGATACAGTACGAGGACCAAGAGGATGTTCTGAGAGCTCTCGCAGCGTGTGGCGGACCAGTGTATTCTTTCAGCGGACACTCAAGTGCAAACCACGGCTTCCGGCAGGAGTTATCGGATTCCGATCTATCCTTGATCGCCGGGAGAGTTCATGCCTGGCCCGGGTGGATTTAGTGGCCTTATCAGTCTGGGCATCCCCATGAAGCTCAGAATGGGCACTGGACGAAGGTGAGAGATGTGTCTTCTGGCAGCACAGGAAGCTGAGGCTGCGCGAAAAGGCAATGTTGCACGTGACCCTCGGGTGCGGAATGGACGCCGCTCGTAATTCCATTTTCGCCATTTTCGCCATCTTCTGGAATCTGTTGAGGACTTGGTGTCGCCCCCTCACCGCCTCGCCGAAGAAACGCCCGCTGACCATGAGAAACTGCCTATACAGCGAGCTTTGTCTTGCACCCAGGAATCAAAGTCAATCCAAGTACCTGTTAGCAAGGCTAACCGGTCGATCGACTTCCCGTGCAATGCCGTCGAACGGCGAGCAGCAATACTTAACCTGTAGGCGCTTGCTTCTGGCTGGATGGCCCATCGTGCGCCTAGGTACGTATACCATGCACATATGTCACGAAGGCGATTGTGATTCCCCATCACAAGCGACGTCAGCCCGTTGATTACATGACGCAATCCTATACCAGCCACAATAGTACGGACTACGGAGGCTGTATCGACTGGAAACGGCAGCAATCTCCTCGCCTCCGCTACAGTACGTGAGATTACCTCAAGCGACCACATCTCGAACTACCACTCGCATCCGGAATGAGCGAACGCACGATTCGCGTCCCCGCGATACCGTCGTGGCGTCCTATGCGCAGCCTCATGAACTTCTCGGCCGGTCGCCACGGACATTCTCTTGTTCCTGAAATATCCGGACCGTAATCTCGTGTACGTCCTTTCGACGTAACGCGTCCCATCCTGAGCCTACAATCTTTGACATACGCTAGCCAACACCGCGACCACTTCTTCCGACCCAAACGGGAGAGTGTAGCCGACCTCCGGTCAGGAGTGACCTAGGATTCATGTCGCGATGGCGAACACACAATCGATTCCATCAACAAAAGACCCATGATGCTGCCAATCGATCTCGCTTTCGGTTTTGCGACATGACGAGAACTTGGCCCCCTCGAAACACGCCGTTACCGTGATGTTAACGGAGATGGTGTTTAAGCACTGGTACGTGCTGCGGGGGCACAAATTCCGACTCGTGGCACATTCTCTCGTCCGGCCGGATGGAGGCAATGAGCTGACCGACTATCTTCATATGAATCATATATCTCACCCATCAGGCGCCGAACGAGGGAAATAGGAGATGGTAGCACGCTGCGAAGCCCAGCCGAAGCTCCCGAAGTACCCACAGGTATATAAAGGGCAGGTCCGCACACGTCGGACGTTGTCGGCGGAACACGCTCTCCTCCAGCAGGCACATTGAGCGAACAAGCAATTGTTCTTTAGATCGCCGGTGGATAATCGACCTTGACATGTGGACGATGTGGACCCATACCCGGCGAGAGCTCGATCCATCGTCATCATCCTTCAGGCTAGCTTTAAGCGAGGCCGATAAAGCTAAGGGTCGTGCAACACAACTCAATAATCACGCGGATCGCGCGCGGGATACTGTTGGTCAGCCCGGCTTCGGCTGCGCAGCTCGCCGTTTCCCCCGTCGAAAACATGGAGGCGAAGCTTCACTCGCTCGACATGCACGCCCACACGGTGACTCAGTCATAATCTGTTGCAGCTGTACTCGGAAGTCCTTTTTCTGGAGAATTGTGCCGATCTCCTCACGATCTTACTTGCTATCCTCTTGCGGCCTACTCATCGCCATTCAATCGCAGGGTCGTCCGCTCGCCGCTCGTGATGCTAGCTGCCGTTGAAGGTTTCTGTTGACTGGCAGTTCCTTCAGCTCTCAACTTTGGTGCAAAATCTTTCAGTTACAAACTGTATAGCGCCGACTGTTGTTTGCCTTGATACCCGAACGCTTGCGCCATGCCAAATCTTCTTGTCTCGAGCCCTGCATCGCCCTGGAAACATATATACGACCGAGTCTTAATCCTTCCTGTTCGCCTATACCAAAGAATGGAGATGATACACCAGTGGAGCGATCCCGATCTCGTTGTCATGAGGAACGCAGGACCGCGTGAAGGAAGGATACGGTCGCCACTTTTTGGGAAGCTTGAAGGAACCTACGTCTCACTCCATGCTCGGACACACTCAGGCATGATTGGACGCTCCCCACGGCGCTGGACGCTCGGTCGTATCACGGCGCTTCACCGCGACCATCAGGGGGTTGTCGACATTGTTCTCCGATGTGCGATAATCTCTCGTGTGTTTTGTACTACAGCCAAATGTTGATTGTACACGTCTGAGTCGCTTCTGTCACTTCCCCTGCGCAACATCCGTCCATCCCTTTGCTCTTACAGCCTAGCAGTTCCTTTCGCCAGCCTCATTTGCACAACGCCCCGAATCATACGATCTACCACTATGGCGTTCAATGGCGTACTACTAACAACGCTGATTCGTGGTGAACTCCGCCCCCCTCTGCGATCATCGCGTATTGTTGACATGATCCTTCGCAGCGTGACAATAATTCGCGCCTCTCGTCCTACTGCCTAGCGGCGAACCTGTACATTCGAGTCGAATTAACCATACTTGCGGTATGTCCGTACTTTGTCTCTCACAGCCTGACGGTTAGTCTGACTCTCCTTTCACCGTTGCACAATTCCCCAACTTCATCGCTTCGCTCACATGGCCTTGAAGGTTGTATCGCTAACGTTGTGTTTTAGAGTAACACGGCCGTCCTCTAAATCCTATGTCGCTACCTAGCCACAAAAATATGTTTATCGTGATCAACGGCAAATACTGGAGCCACCCATGGGCCGTCGGCTTTCCCAGCTACCATCCTGTCTTCGACCCTATTGCCGGTGAGTCAAGTGGGAGCGGACGGAGCAGCTCATCTGCAGCATACTCCAAGAACACAAACACACGGAAATATCGCGGCGCCCACACCAGTGACTTATGGCCACCGGGATCATACCAGTCGACGGGGCTGCGGAGCATGGCCGATAAGAAAGATACGGTCTTGTGGTGCTTATCCCGCTCCCGGGAGGCCACGTTCCACCGCTAACCGCCTTTGAACAGGATACGCATGGAAGAAAGTATCTGGAAAGATTATCTGCCGTGCCGCAAAAATGAGTCATCGCGGCGGGAGTGTCCTCTTGACGACACAGATTGACTTTCATGTATGCCGGAATTTGGGGCTCAGACTTGCCTTGTTGTTCATTCAGCACGGCCGGTAAGGGCCGCTAGTGCTCGGGAAGCGTCCCTCCCCAAGCAGAGATTTCCTACAATAATAATCCGTCGCCGCATGTGAAAGTTCGGAGCTTGCGAAGAAGACAAAAAGTTGCCACAGATGACGATCGATGCCAGGCCGTCTCCTCGTGTAGAGCGATTGACAAGATATGCTTATGGGTCCCTTAATTCCAATTGGCAGCGGAGATTCCGAGCTCGTGGCGGGGTAGTACATAGCCTTTTTAGCGCCGACCAGGCTGGAGAGAGGTCTGACCGGTGATCAAAGCCTTAGAAGGCCGCAGGCGATGCTTGTCTTATTCACCGGGCGTATTTCGGCGAGGCAGGCTATGGATAGGGAAGGATCATGATCTTGCCCTATACATGCACCATGGGAAGTCGACGCTGTCGGGCAATGATGCTAACCGACTGAGACAGCATCTTCGCCGTTGATTCAACGCATACCAGTTGTATGCATGTCCACGCATAGCCTTGGTCGCCTATTAGTCAATCGTATGGAGAGGGGAGGGGAGCTCCCGGACGCATTGAGTGTTGAGGCTCGACTGTCGTAATAATGCTACTGTGCCCTCCTCGGTCGCACTCGGGCTTCGTGAAGCTCCCGCGCGCGCGTATCTGGAGTACAACTCCGGTTCGTGTCTTTAATAGAAACTTGACCTTTGAGGCGTGTTCCTGTCCATTTCAGTATTGCACGCAGTCGATACAGATTGGACTCAACTGTAGATACCGGGTGCCGGCAGGCCATCGGCACCGTATCCTATAGCCGGAGTGCACCTCGTGGGGTCGTAGTATTCAACGGAGCTTCTCGTCTATATCCCGTCCTTTGCGCCGTCTTTAACCAATAACGCTCAGAGTCTCAGTCCAGCGCCGTCGCGAAGTGGAAGGGGGCTAGTTTGAGATCAGTGAACGTTTTCCTTCGGCGCACAACCGCGTGTGTTCACAACCCGTTCTCAATAATCGTTGGGCGAACCTCACGATGATAGCAAGCTACATCTGTAAGATCTGACACAAGCGTACGCTCTCCGTTGGATGGATGCCTCAGACTCGGTCCGGATGACACTCCTTCGGTGTTGCTCATTCGGCGACCCTCTCTTATCCGACCCTTTCCCGCCTGACGAGAGCGTCATGGCAGATCTCACCGACAACAAGGTTCCTAACGAGACCGTTGGGCGACGTTATGATACGTTTGTGATGTTCTGACACCTGTTCTGCGGATGGATGCCTCGGACTCGGTCCGGATGACGCTCCTTCGGTGTTGCTATCTCAGTGTGTTCATCCGCCTGTGCTCCCTCACTCATCCTCCTACGCTCGACATCACGAAAAGGTAAATGGTGACGATTGGCGACGATTGGGTGACGATTCGGATGGATGCATCGAAGTCGGTCTGGATGACGATCCTGGCGACGACTGGCGACGTTTTGGGTGACGATTGGGTGACGATTTGGCGACGATTTTGGCGACGATTGGGCGACGACTGGGCGACGATTGTGCTACTCCGCGGTGTTTTTGACACCTATGTGACGGATGTGTGTTTCGCTGGCGACGTTTTGGGTGACGATTGGGTGACGATTTGGCGACGATTTTGGCGACGATTGGGCGATGACTGGGCGACGATTGTGCTACTCCGCGGTGTTTTTGACACCTATGTGACGGATGTGTGTTTCGGACTCGTTCCAGGTGACGTTTCTGCGATGCCCTCTCCGCAAGTTGCATGCGATGTCCGCCCCTCCCCCTCCCCTGCGTGTCAGCTTCATTTGAACGATTACACTCCATCGTCAGTCGACACGCCATGGTCCTCTGGACGTGCAAACCCGTCCGTAGCTCCCGTCCCCGTACCACCACCCAAACTATCCTGCAGGGTCCTATTCCTCGACCGTTACACGGTCCGCCGCCCTCCACGACCACCCCGAGGATTTCGCCACACCCACCTCGCCCTAGCCCACCTGCAGCCGCAAGCCCAGACGACCTCCGTACACGGGGCGGATCGCTCTCGTTCCGGATATATGATAACGGTCCGCATCGAAACCACGCACCCTTCGACTTCTTACCAACGTCGGATCGCCGCTCGCCCGATATCACGCGCCCCCATTTCGTCCTCCCATGGTGATGTCTTCGCCAAGCACAGCCTACACAAACTCGCCTGGAAGAAACGTCTACCCCTCCTGGCCGCCTTTTTGACATGATCCCAGCTCCTTCGCGGGATCCGCCTCTTCCCCTCCAGGCCTGACGAGAGCGTTATGGCTGATCTCACCGACAACGATGTTCCTAACGTGACCGTCGGGCGACGTTTTATGTTACGTTTTTGGTGTTCTAACACCTGTGCTATGGATGGATGCCTCGGACTCGGTCCGGATGACGCTCCTTCGGTGTTGCTATCGCTAGTTTCTGGCGCGGTTCGCTCCCCCTTGCTCCTGCTTGCGTCATTCGTCCTATCCCCACGACTGTTCCCGAACGTTACGTGTTGTTATGCCCGGGTGTGCCGTTCGCTGTACGTCGTGCGGGGCCGTTTCGTGTGATGCTTTTCCCCCCACCCCCATTTTGTTTTTCCCTACAAGGGTTTTTTGCTGAGGGGTGGGTGGGTTTTTATTGCACTATCGGAAGCCCCTGTATTGACACGCGACGACGGCTGAAGTGGGCCGCCGCTAGGTAATGTATTGCACATAGTAGCACATACATGTACCTAGTTTACCTGCACCAGTGCTGAAGCGGCGTGTCGGCTGTATAGCAGCTCACGGGGGCCGTGGATGCACTGTGTGCGCCAAGCCGTGCGTATTGACGTGCGGTGCGGCAACCGGTTGTTCCGCTATTGGGACCGCGCCGGAAATATACCTACCTACCTACCTACCTGTTCGAGCAGTAGTCACGTGACTTAAAGGCAACCCCCGCGCTCGTTGTTCAGGCAGTGGTTCACCGTGTTTCCCTGCGCATCGGGCATACTTAGGCTGGTCATCGATATCATCGCTAGCAACAGTCTGTTCTACTCGGCAGAAGAAATCCCCTAGAAATGTCTCGCATTCCCCAACCTTCATCTTCACGGACTCCCAACAAACCGATTGGCACGTCGGGGACGCTCACGCCTTCCAAGTCGCGTTCTAATCTTCGTGCACCTTCACCGTTGAAACCATCTGGCGTCGCTAAATCTCCAGCTACACCGAAAAGGCTGCCTGCGACGCCGATTAAGTCAAAACCATCCATCTCCTCCCTAAAGAAGTCGCCCTCTAAACCTAGTATGGATGCTTCCCGAGAAACCCCAGAAACCCTGCCGAAGCCTGCGCTGAGCATTCGCGAGCAAATCGCCTTGAAACGTGCGGAAGCAAAGAAGGCGATGACCAGCAGCAAAGGCGGTTCAGGGGATGACTTTTTCGCCGTTCCCGATTCACCCGCGAAGGGACCGGCCGGGGAAGAGGATGCTCTTGGTCGGTGGTCCGTGCGAGAAACCATCGAACGAGCAAGGAGCTCTGGTTAGTGTCTGAGCCTGCTTACTACCGAAACCTACATGCTGATTCCGGATAGGCTTACTGAATATTTCTTCGCGTTCCTTGCCCTGCATTCCTTCCGCCCTCTACGAAATACATCTTGGTGTTACCCCGGAGCCCCTGAAGCTGGTTCCGAACGAGCCTTCTCTTCCATCGCCTTCTGAAGATAGCTCTAGGTCTAGACGAGGAGGAGAAACTTTGCCTTCTTGGTACGACTCGCATGATCTGGAGGTCATCAAGGCGGGTAACAACGAGATCCTCGAGATCCAGCCCGAAATCGTGATGTTCGGCTCCCTGAAAAGCATAGACGTAAGCTCTTTCCCGTCCGTTTCGATCACGACTCAGAGTGATCCGTAACTATCAGCATCATTTCTGTGTATACAGCTGCACCTCAACAAGCTGGCGAAGCTGCCGAATAGCTTTGCAGACCTCATGGCGCTCACGACGCTCGACCTGTCACACAACCAGCTAGCATCGCTACCGGCAAATCTATTCGCGCTCCCGAATCTAGTCACTCTCAACGTCTCGCATAACTCGCTCACGTCGCTTCCTTTTTCGGCACCGTTTTCTGCGAAATCGGATATAGTTCCAGGGCAGTTGCGTTCTAGCAGGGACGGCGGGAGCCTCTTCGCACCGGTCGTTGAGCGGGCAAAGCAACCACTCCCGCGACTCCTGACACTTGATGCATCCCACAACCAGATCACCACAGACTCGATTGATCACGAGAGCGGCGCTGTGCCGCGATCACTTGCAAAGTTCGACCTTTCGGGCAACCCGCTAGGAGGAGGAAGCTGGCAAGGTGCCTCCCTCATACGAGCCCTCGGCGCCCTACGGGACCTTCGGGAGCTACTTTTGGAGCGTGCAGAGATCAGCGATGATGCATTCCCTCCTGATTTGTTCACATCTGCCAATGCCCAGCCTTCCTTCCCCAGCTTGCGCAGGTTGGATCTTGGCGAAACCAAGGTTACCGAGGGAGCTGTACGGTCAGCTCTGGATGGGAAAGTACCACTCAAGATCACCTTCCAGCTTACCACGGGCGAGGTACCAGCAGGAATGCTGCAAGTAAGCGTCGGAAAGAAAGTCGTCAAGGAGCCTTGGGAGATCGAAGCGGAACTGCGAGCTAAGGCGAAGAAGGAACGTGGTGCATCTCCACCACAGCCGTCCGAGATTGGCGCAGACGAATCTGCGGTGCCCAGAGCACAACCCCAGAAGGAGCAATGGGAAATCGAGGCGGAACAAGGATTGAACACGGCCGGTGCCCAGCGAAGGATGAGAGCAGCTGCCGTCGCTGCCAGCGGCAGTGCTCAGGCGTCCAGTAATCTGACGAAACCTCCAGTCAAGAAGACGGAGGTGATGAAGGAGCCTTGGGAGATCGAGGCCGAGCAGGGTTTGTTGGCAGCAGGTACCCGTCGACGAGTACGAGCTCTGGCTGCAGAGAACAACAAACCAGCGAGTGCGGGAACCTCACCGGAAAGGTCCAGCCCTACTGGGCCGTCCTCACCGGACACTATTATCGCGAGCTCTCAATACTATCAGCCGAGAACACAATCCCTAAAGCTCCCCCCGTGTCAGCCACCCACTCGCAATGGACTCGGTCACGCCCGCAACTTCTCCCTTGCACCATCCCGGGGACAGACCGTCAATCCTACCGAACTCGCACTGCCGACCGCCACGCTCCCATTGGCTCTCATATACAAACAGGAGTTCTCCAAGACGTTGCGAACCCTGGAGCTAGCCCACAGGCGCATGGACCAGACGTTCGACCTCCCGCTGCTCAGCTCCGGCGAGCCGGCCTTGCTCGCGTTGGAGGAACTCATCCTCGAAGGTTGCAGGCTCAGCGATGCCGTATCTGTTACCCAGGACGGTTGCGCGACCCGTGCGCCCGAACCGCTTCTCCCGCTCCTCGCGACCCTCTTCCCAAATCTCCAAACCCTCGATCTCTCATGCAACGCAATCACGTCAGCGGCCTTGACTCCGGATGCACTCAAGACGCTCATTCTAGCGACGGATTCCCGCAAGGGTCTTCGACGCCTGCACTTACGTGAAAATCGCCTGGATAACCTGGATGGCTTCGCGAGTCTCTCGGAGCTCTTCCGGGGCAACCGTTTGGTACCCGAGTGGAAGATGGAGGAACTTGATGTCAGGGACAACGCCGTTGACAAGCTGCCTCCTGAACTGGGCCTGCTCTCACTGGACGTCTTCCTGGTTTCTGGCAACACGTCAGTTTTCATGTGTATCCATGCTAGACAACGAGAGCTAACGCACCGTGCTTCCTTAGATTCCGAGTTCCACCGAGTCGGGTTTGGGAGAGAGAAGGAACCAAGGGTCTTCTGAGCTGGCTACGCGGCAGGATTGAGTAGCAATGCCACGGCGTAGCGTAGGACCCCCCCCCTTCAGGGTCTTGTTATCTACGGATGGATGCTCGAAACCAAACAGACGATGTTGATGCATAAACCACTGAGAGTATGGCGGCCGCCCAAGCGCCCAGCATGAATAAGCGCCCGTAGCCACTGCCGCGCCATCCCCAGCAGTTGGTCTCATTATTGCTCCCTGACTCACCTGGCACTTGCTCAATCATGTCGGAAACTGCTGTTGCTACGACTAGCAAGTCCGCCAAAAAGTTGAAGCCTGCTCGCAAGCAGGTCAAACCTGGAGAGGTTGAGAAGAAGGAGGCACCTCAAACGGGGAAAGAGTATAGTGCGTCGAACATCGGTACCATATACCAACGTAGTGGCTCATGAGCTTGATTAGACATATGGTATAACAAATGGGCTGGTGGAGATCGCGAAGACAGTTATTCCAAGTACGTCTCGTTAGCTAGACGAAGCCAAATCGCCACTCATCAATCCGCGCAGCAAAACGAAGTCGCAAACGCGCTGTAACATCAAAAGAGACTCAGGCCTCACCCGCGCAAATATGACGGGCATGAAGTACTACTGCCTCTTCTTTGCCCGCGGCTGTTGCCCGTATGGCTGGGAATGCGAATACCTCCACATGCTCCCTGATCCCTCTATCACCGCTCTACCCGACAACTCTAAGGACTGCTTTGCGCGAGACAAGTTCGCTGACTACCGCGATGATATGGGCGGTGTCGGAAGTTTTCAGCGGCTAAATCGTACTTTGTACATCGGTCGTATCAAGGAGGTGGGCACCGGAACGGAGACGGAGGCTATGGTTCGCAGGCATTTTAAGGAATGGGGCGAAATTACGCACAGTACGTCCTTGTCTCCATATCATGGAATAGGGGACTGGAACATTGAGCATTGCAGTTCGTGTCCTTCAATATCGCAGCGTCGCATTCGTCACCTACGCCTCAGAGTTCAATGCGCAGTTCGCTAAGGAGGCAATGGCCTGCCAATCACTCGACAACGACGAGATATTGAACGTGCGCTGGGCAACGGAGGATCCCAACCCCCAGTCTAAGATCGATGAGCGAAAGCGGCTCGAAGAGGAAGGCCAGAAGGCCATCCGGGAGCGTATGGATCCGCGGATCGTCGAGGCAATGCAGAGCATACGGGCACTGGAGGAGGGCGCGCCCTCGAGTGGACCTTTGCAGATAGAGGATGGTGCGGATGACGGTGACGAGAGGGCGACGAAGAGGCGGAGACTCGAAATAGAAGATGCACCGGAACAGACCTCGGAGGACGATGACGATACAGAGGAGACGCCCCCACCTCCACCGCAGCCGAGTGGTCTGCTCAGCATTGATACGCTAGAGGGTCTGAAATACTTCGCTCAAATACGCGAGCAACGTGGGGCACCACCCGCCAAGGCTGCTACACGTATACCTGCCAAACCGCTCACGGGAGGCTTGGGAGTGGCTGATTATGGCAGTGACGAAGAGGATTAGTATGCATTCCTTTGTATATGTGTGTCCTGTTAGGACCTGGCAGTGACGAAGAGGATTAGTATGCATGCCTTTGTATATATGTGTCCTGTTAGGACCTGGCCGTGCGGAAGAGCCTTCTCGCGCGCATGTCTAGCAGTGATATTTCAGGCCATTGGGAATGTAGCGTATGGATACAAGATGAACCAGAGAGCGTAACGAGAAACAGAATTGTAAAGTAAACGCAAAACCAAAGTCGTAGGGCCACCTAAAGCATAGTCCAAGAAAGCAATGGCAGAAAGGGAAAATATGAAGGATGGCGCATACCGGGCGGCAAGCCAGCGATAACGATATCTACCTCCACGCTGCATCATTCCACCACCTCTTCTCTGCGCCTCGTATCACCCACTCCGAAATCCCTTGCGTCGATGCCGCGTACACATACTTCCCACTGGGATCGAAACATATGCCTGCCAAGTCCAACCGTGGCTCGCAAGCGTCCGCCTCGGGTTCTGCCGCAGATGACGCCAACCCACGATAATCACGTCGACTCTCGTAACCATAGAGGCTGTTGAGATGTCCATGCCTCGAGTATTCGCGATACATGCGCGAGGGAGATCGAGGAGATAAGATGGAGGTGCTCGAGCCCGGGATTGAAGTGAGGGTATGAGAGTGAGAGAGAGAATGCCGCCAGGAGGTGCGGCTGGGCCCGAAGGAACCCTGCCTTTGAACGCCGGGCCGTGTACTGGAAAGTCCCGAGAGTCCCAATCCGGGTGTCGTCGTGGCTGGCGCCGACGAGAAGGGAACAGGGGACGATCCACGCGAGGAGACGCAATCAGATTCCAATTCATCGACTTCCATCTCTGCATGGTCAGCAGGGTCCGACCACCCGTCCCTTCCCTCCTCGCGTTCTTCGTGCGCGCGCATCAGATATGAGCTGTACGCGCTGCGTACCACGGGGCGGGTACGGAAGCCGTGACGTCGGATCGTACGTCGCACGGAGGCCTCGTCTGAGCGGCTGCCGAGTGGTGGGATGACGACAACGCCTTCGAACCGCTCGTCGTCGTTTTCCGTGTCATGCTCGGTTTCGTAGTACGCGTCGTGGTCGTGGCCCATCGTCATGATGTCTTCGGCGCTATATCGCCGCGACGTGCGCAAGTGCGAACGCGCGGGAGATGGAGAACGAGACTGAGCCTGGGGCCGCGCCCGGCCAGGCGTGGGTACACGGATAGTTTCTTCTGTCTCGAAAGTCTGCGCGTCCACCGCGTGCATCAGGTTCACATGCTGCAACGCGTGTCAATGAGAATCAAGGTATAACAATATGAGGCACGAACTTCTGTGAATAACATTATCTCCTTGCCGTCAGGTGGCCCGCCGAATTTAACACTTCGTACTCCCCAACCAGGCGCCCGCGCCGACGCTCCCGCTCCGCCCCGTGCCCAACTCCACGGATCCTCGAAAAGCCAACCACTCGCTTCCTCTTCTTGCTCAATACCACTGCACGACTCGGCCCGCCCTCGTGTCTTATTCGTCTCGAAGACCTTGAGCGGTTTAGTGCTCCGCACGTCCCATACGACCACCATGCCGTCCTGACAGGCAACCGCGAACTTGCTGCCATTGCGAGAGAAGGCCGTTGAAAACGACGCAGGTGCACATTGGGATGCAAACTGATAAGAGTTAGGATGGGGAGAGGCGAGGAGGGGTAGGATTAGCTTGGCAGTGCGTTGAAAGGACAGGCGAGAGGAACCAGTAACGTGGTGCAGGTGGACTTCGTTGGAATCGCCAACGGTGAGCAACGCGCGCCCGTCAGGGGACACAGAAGCTACAAAGCCATCAGAGTACGATCGCAAGGGCGGCCGAGGGGGTACACACAGTGATTGAGCGGCACGTCTAGCTTGAGTGTGCCGCACTCGAAGAGACGCTCTACCTCCTGCCCTCTACGGCGCGCCGCAATATCGTAGAAGCGCACGCAGTGGTCATTATTCGACACTACTATCCGGGGATCAGGATTGCCTTCGTGCCCGATGGATAGGAGTACGGAGTTGTTGATCGAGCCAGGAAGAATGCGCTCGTGGCGCCAAATCTGCTTGGAGCGCGAGTGCAACGATAGATGTATCTCAGCCTCTTGTCCGCCCGCGGCATAGAGAATGGTATCGGTGTCGGGTAGAGGTAGAGCAGTGAGATTGCAAGGCGAGAAGTTACAATCCGCAAGGCGCAACTTCCTCTGCGCATAATGAGTCACGGCTGAGATATGGCTCATAACATGGCTACCTACATGGACACCAGACACATCAAGCTCAATGATAGACCTATCCTGGATGTAGTTCACGATAGATGGTTCTCGCGGGCAGACTATCAACTCCCGCAATTGACTGTGCATCCGCTCAGCACGGCGACAAGTTACGGACGCTGCGGCAGTTCCTCACATATGCGCTATGGACACGTTGGCCTTGATAGAGTGTCTTGGTGTTGCCGATAACAACGCTGGTCCTTCGCGTGCCATGGTCGTCGAGGAAGGCGGTAAGCAAGGGATGGCCCAGTGGCTATGTAATGCTCAGCAAGGGGTGTTATGTGACTTGTTACGGCTCGTTACTTCATTCTATTGACCTCAGGCTATCCTCCCCCCTCCCTGTCCTTCGCTTGCTTCCGGGTCCTGCTGCTTGATCTTGGATACGTGTAATAGCTAACTATCCATGCCGCCAAAGAAGCAGGATAAGGGAGGATCCTCCTCGAAGCCGAAGGAGGATAAGGTGTGTTGTACATCACCCTGACCATACACGGGCTCACCGGGCATTTGTAGACCTTCGGCATGAAGAACGTTAGATCTTTATAGCTCTCTACGATGGATCAACGCTCACAGCAATCCGGCAGAAAAACCGCTCTACTAAGGTACAAAAGCAAGTTGCACAGATTCAGGCGCAGCAAGCAGTAGCAGGCAAATCCCGTGCGGCGCTCGAGAAGGAGAAGGAGAAGGACCTACGCGCCAAGCAGAAGCTCGAGGAGGAGAAACGGAGGAAAGAGGAGGCCGCTCTGCTCAAGCCCGTGCAAACGCAGAAGGTGCCTTTCGGGGTCGACCCGAAGACGGTGCTGTGCGTGTTCTACAAGGCGGGGAATTGCGAGAAGGGCAACAAGTGCAAGTTCAGTCACAATATGGATATCGAACGGAAGGTTGAGAAGAAGAATCTCTATGCGGACGTGCGAGACGACAAGGCGAACGGTGAGGAACTGCGTTGCTGTCGCTTACCACTCGGCTGAATGATCTCGGCCGAAGACACTATGGATAAATGGGACGAGACGAAGTTACGAAGTGTTATTACTTCGAAACACGGAAATCCTCGGACAACAACAGATGTACGTCCGGTCCCCTGCCCTGAGTGAGATTCGACCTGATTATACTCTCCACAGATTGTCTGCAAATTCTTCATCGAGGCCATAGAGTCACAGAAGTGAGCCTTTGATATCTTTACTCAACCGTCCTATTATTGCTCTATCGCTTTATCTCTTGCACGTGCATGTGCTATGCAACGGCTTGTTAACCTTTCCCATGAAGATTCGGCTGGTTTTGGGAATGCCCAAATGGCGGCGAAAACTGCAAATATCGACACGCCCTTCCGCCTGGTTTCGTGCTCAAGTCACAGAAGAAGGCAATGGACGAGGCTGCGAAGGCGAACACCATAAGCTTGGAAGAATTCCTCGAGGTCGAGGTACGAGCACGCCATCTTTCATTACGCTGCATGCGCGCTGGGAACTCGCCGCTTATTATGTGTGCTCCGTCACAGCGACACAAGCTAGGGTCAAACCTTACTCCGGTCACGCCAGAAACGTTCGCGAAATGGAAGCAAACACGGATGGACAAGAAGGCCGCGGAGGAAGAGGCGATCCGCAAGGCAAAGGACACGCAAGCTGCGGCGGGCAAGAGCTCGGGCCTGAGTGGACGAGATCTCGTGCGTGTCACTCCATATGCACACCCTGCGTTCTGTTTCCGAGTTTGCATCACTCACGCCGGCCACAATCGCAGTTCCAATACAATCCCGAGTGGTTCGCGGAATCGGACGACGAGGAGTCCGAAGAAGAGTGGGACCTCGAGAAGTTCAGGCGCGAGAAGGAGGAGGAGGATATTGCGCGGGAGGAAGAGCGGATCAGACAGCTGGCGCTTGGTGGTGGAGATGGCTAGCGTGATGTGTTCGTCTGATGGAGGTCGATGCTCGCAGCTGCACCATGAACACTTGTCTGTAACCATACCACCAGTCTTTCATACCACTCGCATCTCGTTCAATCCGGCGGGTTTTCCGGACAGACTTGAATCACCTTCGTCTCACGGGTTGTCTGGCTCGGCCTTGGCGCTATCGAACAGGCTGGTGAAGATACCGCGACGACCCTGCAACGTCTTCATAATGCCCAACGGGCATCTGGCTTGGGTATGCATCTTTACTATCTCATCCATCTTTGTGCTGCGGCGAGTCCCTAGAATGCTCACCTCGTACTTGCTCGGCGACCGCTCGGCATCGCCGTGACCTCCGCGAACATGCACACGAGCACTTCATATAGAACCTATGATGCCCTCATGATTTCGAACTGAGAATAGAAGTTACAGAGAGGACGGTCGAGGCTCGCACGAAGCATCGCCATGAAGGGCCGTTCCGGTCCACGCGTACCCGAGAGCAAGAAGGAAGCCGTCGAAGGCAAGACATTAGGTCGGGCCGCGGCAACGTCGGGAGGCCGATCCCCCGATGCCATACCGTGTCAAAGGTCGTTTGTTAACGTTCCGCAAATAGTGCCTGTATACGTCGAGAAGCATCAGTCCGAGCGGCGTCAATAAAGGAATTATACGTCTTAGCACGGCAGCTACCGACCTGCAAGATGCTTAAGGGCCGCGTCGCGTCTGGTGTAGTGTCTGTTGCAGACGGGGCAGACATGCGCGTGCCCGAGACCGTGTGTAGCTAGATGGCGAACGCAGTCTGAGCGCCGTGCGAAGCGCCGGCCGCATCCTTTAGCGCAGGTGAAAGGCTTTTCCCCAGTGTGCGAGCGCAGATGACCTGCGGCGGGGGACATGAGATTAAGAAGCAGAAGTGACGCATGATAGTTCTGTCATGCAATACTCACCTTCTAGGTTAACTCTAGTCGTAAAGGACTTTTCGCAATCTTTCACGGGGCAACAATGTCGGGCAGATCTTCCCTTGCTCCTCTTCTCCCGCGGTGCAGGTCTGGCAGAGAACTCAGCTACCTGCGCAGTGACAGGTTTATATTCGGCGGAATTTTGATATGATGCAGCACTGCTGGAGAACCCAGGCTGCACATGCTTCCAACGTCGCTCGGTGTCCGTAGACGAGCATGGCGCAGCACCGACTCTTGTTTCGAGGGTCCCAGAATAAGCCTGCGCGGAGTCCGTAGAAGCGGCGGCGCACGAGTTTAAGCTAGAGGTCTCAGCTTGCGTCGGCGTAAGTGACGCCGTGTTACTCTGCGTCTAAATATGGTCAAGCGCGGTTGCATCTCTAATAAATGACCGGAGGTCCACGATAATCACGTACCCCAAACGTTCTCGGGAGATATTCATGAGGTGGATGCTCGGGCCCGCCAGAAGCACTGTTTCTTGGATGCTCTACGTATGCATGCGTCAACCCAATGCCCGGATCTACACGTTGGATTTAGGGAAAAGACGGCGGAAAGATTATGCCGACGCACCTGTCCAGAGCGCCGCGGGAGCGCTCGCGGAAGGAATCCTCGCCGCCAACCTGCAGGCCTCCGCCGACATCGGTGGCAGCGAGGATACACGTCCGTGATCTGTCTGCGGGGGAAAGACCGAGACCATGACCCCCTTAGCAGGACTGTCGTACGTCGCTAGCCCAGTCGTGGCGGGTTCATACTGGTAAGATACGTGAGGATGTAGACATGGAAGTGGTTGGGGCAAAGCTCGACGCAAAGGCCATGTCGCTGAAGAGAGCATCAATAATCAGAAAACATGTCAACTAGGGGTAGTCGACTGACCAGAACGGTGCGTATACAGGTCAGAGTCGTCTATACCGACGTATGTGGATGCAGCGTCGGTACGAAATGAGGTCCTGCTGATCAAGTCAGTCCATGGTAATGCAAGTTGATCCTCTGCGTATACTAACAACATCGCGTTGCGAATCAAGCGCGGACTAGGATTATAGAGGAAGGTCGAGGGTGGAGGCAAGGGCGTAGCACGCGCCAACGGGTGATTGCATTGTTATATGGGCTGGTTGAGTAAGGTCGAGCTCGTGACATTTTCGGGAGGCGCCGTCTAGCGAGCGAGACCCGGTTCGATTGCCACATTTCCACAACAACGAAGAACCGATACCGCTAGGACAAGTATCAAACGCGGATCATCACGCACCAACTCCGAAAGAATCCAGCAGAAGTCGAGCGCATCTTATGTTGTGTGAGAGCAAGAGACCCGAAGCGTGACCAACACAATCGAAGGCTCCTGGGAGATTATTAACGACAGCTCCTGGAAAGCACGAGGTTTCGTCGTGTATCAGTGCATGCAAGGCCAGAAGAGTCCATGTTGTCGGAGCACTTTCCCTGGACCGTTGTCTAAGGCGTTCGAGGAGATTAGCGTTTATCCCTCTGGTTGAGACAGATGACGCTCACTCTATTCTGTAAGCGGGAAGGTGGAAGGAGCAAGTGCGGTGTAAGCAAAACTTCCGCTATCAGTGCATGTACAGATCCACACGCTAGCGAACGCCAGGCAATGTCGGAGGAGTTTGGGAGGAGGCGTGATTTGTATTTCGTTTGTATCGTTGGCACCCTTCCAAAGACGAGTTCTACGAACGCTGAATTTGGCGATTCGGGCTTAGCAAAAATTGTATGGCACATGGCGCCTGCGCACTGGCACGATAATCTCTGACCAATCGTAAGTTTTGAGGTGAGAGAGGAGTTTTAGTGGTTGTCCGGAAGCGAGCGGAAGCATCTGCCGCTACAAATCGGACGCTCCGGCAATTCGGCAAGTCCCAGGCGTCGAGAACTACGGCTTTTCGCTACGTCATGGAGACCTGGTTGGGTGCAACACTCGGAGACCTCGGACGTACCAGAGGAATCAAGGTCGAATGATGGATTCCTGGGCCACTCGCGACATTCAACGCCAGGGCCCTCGGTCTGCGCCGCTGTCGGAGAAGGATATGTTCTGATCCGATATTTGTAGTCCCGCACGGCCTTTCGAGGCCTTGTAAAACGCAGCATACTGAGTCATCGGGCATCCTAAGTAACACGCCGTTCGGCCTCCTCCGGTGATCACCCTGCGGAATGACTAGGATTTGTTACCCCAGGATCTGACATACCGAACGCTCTGGGACAGTATCTCGAAGGACCAGAGGTCCAGACGAAAATAAGTACCTCGCTCGCTCACGCTGTCGTCCGACATTGGTAGACCCAGTGAATCGGACCTCGGCTCCTGCTGTCGTTCCAATATCGGTAAGATATGTGGGCTAAGTCGGAAGAGAAGATATCGCCATTGACTTCTCCCGCATGGGCCTGGCCGGAGTCGCGACTCGGGGGTGGACGCAATGGGCCTCGTGAGGCAAGGTACTGAAGCTTCCTACCGAAGTCCCGGAACGTGTCCGGTTCTATCATTCACCCGTCCGAGCGACGTTCAATCCGCAAAGGGCGGGGAAACGGGGCCCACTGAAGCGGGGTCGTGATGGCTCATGGTTGACATATGTTACCTCTACCCAAGTCCAGAGCATCGAGTTTTGAAAACGACTTGTGTTGGCAGAGGGCCTCGTGCATAATCTTTGGCGCAAGATATCGACTGACGATAGGGAATGAAAGACCGACATAGAAGTAGTGGAACATCGATTGGAGCTCGAACGTCGTTGAGCAGGCAAAAACTTGAGACATTATTGTTATTACATAATCTCGGCCCATGACACCATTGGGCGCAGCCTTCACTCTTTCTTGTTCTGGTAAGTTACAGTGTAGCGAGGCTGTAGGATTGGTTAAGGTCTAATACGAACCACTTCTGAGATCTCCCCGGCGGCGGAAGAAGCGCATGAGTCGGGACTTTATACCCTCGTTCCCCTAATAATTCACGAACTCGCCTCATACTCCTCCCGTGTCGACGACCGCCAATTCCACGTCGGGTTACTCTTCTATCTGATAGTGTTGTCCACGAGTATGTCGAAATTGTCCGACCTATGAGCCGTTGTACGTACTGATGAGAGCAGCAGAAACATGAGTATTCCCATGGCCGCTTCATAATCGCGACGCAGCAACCTGCTCGACCCGGTATTTGTAGTGACCCCAATACTTTGTGATTGGTTCTCATCGATCGACTGGGCAGCTGTTGTTGTTCTATAGACTCAACCGGCTGAAACAATCCTCGCGAAACGGACGAGCGTGCTCATAGCCTCATAATCTTCCGATGTCAGGGTGTTTCCAGGTTTGAATTGCGCCGATGGAAACGTCTCGGGTAGATGGCGCTGACTGATGCGCAGAATCGTTATATTGTGTATGTGCGTGTCAATTCAAATTGCATCATACGTCGGCATAGCCGTTCACGCTCTCTGTCCACCTTCGCTTACAATACTATGAGATTACTTAGGGTGCACTCCAGAGCGGCGGCTCACGGTACACGGCGGCGATCAGCTGGCATATTCACCATACTTCTGATAAGGGCTGGTGGCATTCGGCATGCCCCGCCATTTCATGGGGCCAATGGACCCGCTGCAACATCGTCGCCCGTGTGTCTGTTTCAAATGATCATCCATACGCCAACATTCACTATATCCTCCTCGCCCATCCTGCAGAAGTGTGTGGTAGGCACATCTAAGTTCAGTTCCCAGCCTGTCCGAGCTTCCGCTGTTACGATGCACCCCACCTAGCAACACCTGAGGGACCGCCACCCGTCAAATGCTGCATGTGCCTCATGTAGCACCCTCCCTGCACCGCGCATACTACGATCTATGTGACAACTATTCATACTGTCCTGCTACGCCGTCACTGTTGTACAAGTATGTGGCGTCGCGCTCGCAAAAGGATGAAATTGAATAATGAGCAAGAAGATGACGAGTAACGCGCCCTACATGTCGCAATGCAGGTATGTAATCACGATGGACACCCGAAAGCGACATTGTATGGCATAAAGATGAAGATCAAGGCACATACGTACACAGTATAGCGCTGAGCCGTGATGTATCAGAGCTGATCTACCACCTTGGTACAGGTCCGTCATACCTCACACCAACCTCGAAGGTTCCGAGCTTGATGAGACTTCCCGTAAACATTCATTAATACGTGATGCTCGTGTTCACTTGGATAGGACTATTGCCACAGGTATGGTATCTACACGAGTAGTCCCTGCATTGATGCATACCTTAAAATGCCTACGGAGTACGGAACGCAGTGCAAAGCTGAAAATCCTATGGGAATAGGGGCACAGTGCGTAATCCAGAATCAATATGCAGGAGGTACACGGGTGCGAGCCTAAGAATTGTTGTTTGAACAGATACACATTGCTTTCCCATAAAGATCCTTCGAAAACCAGCCACAGTGCATGTACACACAAGCGAGGATCACAGTGATGCGTAGTCACAATGCACCGCACCATGGAATATGTGCTCCGCCCGACTCAAGCTCGATCCATAAGTTGGCCTGATGGACGCGGTCTCATCTTCGAACCATAGCACGAAGATGGCTGGAAATGAGAGCCCGCGAGCCAGCGCAGGGGGCGGGACGGCGGGCTGCAGGAAGGATACAATGTGGGCGGTGAAGTGGGAGCGCCTCGCCATCTCGCCGACATACATACACGTTTTCTCCACCATGTAGTCTACCTCCTGACTATTTCGACTGCTATATCGAACATATAGACGCATGAATGCGACATCAGTGCATCGTTGAGGGACACTGGCGGCCAAAGGAAGTTGGACATGAACTGATTAAGTACAAGGACTTTCAACCCAGAGCCCGAATGCGAATGCATTCGTTGATCAGATTGAAACAGCGATTCTGAAGTGACGACGTCGTTCAACAGAGTCAAGCGATGGCCATGCGGGCTCACGTGGATTGATTACGACAGATGGCGCTTTATGCACGCGAACACGCGCTATCAGATAAGATAGTACAGCGGACGCAGCGCTGGCGTCATCGCCACACATCTCCCTCACTCCTGTTCCGTTCGTCCCGACTTCTCCGGGCTGCCGGCATCGTTGTTGACGACGCGCTCTATGCTATGCTGGCCACAGCAAAGGCAGGCTTGCCCTACCGACACGTCTCTCTGAGACCCCGACAGCCGTCTACCTGCATCGCCCGCACTCGTGCTCGTCGTTACACCGATCAATCCAACAAACCGCCTGGCGGTACGTCTGAGGAGAGACAAACTCCCGACCTCAAGGATGCTGTGACGAAGACAGCCGAGCTCGGTCCACCTGATGCGGAGAGGAAGACGGCACTTTCGTGGTGGCCGAAATTCAGAGAGTGGTGGTGCTCCAGGACTGATCCGGAGGAGGAGTTGTTTCACTATGCCATCAGGGACAAGTTGGCCCGCACCCTTACGCAGGGGGCTGCGAAACATGATGCGAAACATGAAGGGATCTCGTTACAGTCTGAGGGGAGGAAGAGGAAGAGAAGGAAGAAGATAGGCGTTGAAGATGGATTAATGCTGAAGATGTTATTGGACGGAATCGACAAACGTTTAGTAGAAAAATACGGGACACATCCCGATGATATGCCGAAGACGAACACCCCCGAATCTAATTCCGGAGAAAAAGGAGACCATAACATGAAATTTAGTGAGTTGTGGCAGCACCCCCTGTGGAGGATGGCGTCTGATTCCGATACTGATACTTGTGCATCCTAGCATCATTATCCCCCATTAGTTCGCTCTCATCATCTTCAACGTCTTCTGCTATCTTACCCTCATTTCGCGTCTCGCCGTCAACATGGAGCATACGATCAACACCATCAGTCGTTCAGAGGCGAAGTTATAAACAACAAGCATCAAAGCCTGACGCTCCTGCATCTTCAGAGGATCCGACCACTCCACCAATCCCTCCACAACCCTCAAACTCCACACCGCTCACTTCTTCTCCACCACCACGGACTCATGTCTCTGCCGCTAAAGCACGACACAGCGATTGGGCTGCCATACGGCAGCTAACATCACACATATGGCCTGCCAATGACTGGCGTACGCGTTCGCGCGTCATCGTAGGCTTCGGCCTGTTGATCGGCGCGAAGGTCAGCTTCTGCAGATTTGTATGATTCTCGCGGCAGCCCGTCTCATGCTATTCCACAGCTCCTAAATGTTCAGGTTCCGCTGCTGTTCAAGCAGATTATCGACGCTCTCAACGTGCCGGTAACGGCTGATAACGCGGTATGGGCGATAGCGGGGAGTTTGATTGTGGCCTGTTAGTCTATTACTCCTTCAAGCTAACATGACTTTCTCACCTGATGCACGGTCGTATAGACGGAGCTGCGAGGATCGGTTCTACGCTATTCGGAGAACTGCTCAACGCAGTATTTGCGAGGGTGGGTCAGCAAGCCATACGAAAGGTGTGTCGTGACGTTCATGTCCCCAGCTGTAGCTAATGGTCCTACACAGGTATCACGAGAAACGTTTCAGCACCTTCTTGATCTCGACCTCAGGTTTCACCTCACCCGTCAAACGGGAGGCCTCATCCGTGCTATTGACCGTGGAACAAAGTATGTATCCAAGCTCACCTCCAGTAGTCGCATTCTGCCGCCCCTCCGCCTCCATTTCCCACCGAACGTATCGACCAGGCTGACTCTTGTACTATAGGGGCATCACGTTTCTGTTGCAGGCGATCGTGTTTCGCATCGTTCCTACTGCGCTCGAGATCTCACTTGTTTGCGGAATTTTGGTGTGTGACCTTCTCTCCGTATTCATCCCGTTCCTGGATATCTATGTTGCGCATTGGTGCCGACGTTTGATCGCGCTCCGGCCGTCGGGGACCTGCGAATGATCAAGCCCCTCCCGGGCTCGCGGCACCCTACCCTATCTTGACTTCATGCTAACATGAAACGCACAGTCGTACAAGTTTGGCTGGGACTTCGCCGCAATAACCGTGGCGACGATGGCTGCCTATACATGGTTCACTGTCCGGACTACGTCTTGGAGGTGAGTGGCTGTGTGCTCAACTTCCGTCGGTGTTACGCACCAGTTCTTGGCGACCTCGGGCATCCTTGTAATGATCCCGTGTCTCACGACGTACCACGCTAGAACTCGCTTCCGGCGGGAGGCCAACGCCGCAGATAACAAGGCGGCGGCAACCGCGGTCGATTCGCTCATCAACTACGAGGCAGTGAAGGTTGTTGATTTATTAGATTCTTCAAGAGTCGACGTTATTGAAATATTGCTGCGGTTTATTGTATGGTTGCTAGAACTTCAACAACGAGAAGTACGAAGTTGCCCGATACGACAAGCACTTGGCGCAGTATGAGGCTTCGTCCATCCGGATCGCCACATCGCTCGCTTTCCTCAACTCGGGCCAAAACATCATATTTTCGAGTGCATTGACGATGATGATGTTTCTCGCCGCTCAAGGCGTTGTCTCTGGTGAAGCTCCGCACAGATGCCTGCCGCTCAATTTGTATTGACGCGATCATCAGGCTCTTTGACCGTTGGAGATTTGGTCATGATAAACCAGCTGGTTTTCCAACTGTCGTTGCCGCTCAACTTCCTGGGAACGGTCTACCGTGAGATGAGGCAGAGTCTCTTGGATATGGAGGTGCTTTTCAACCTTCAGAATCAGAATCAACCCCGGCGGGCGAGTTGCTCCATCCTTCGACGCCTTTACTGCATGGCTTAGCCTTCGCTCTCCGCTTCTCAGGACAGGCCCGGCGCGCCACCACTGAAGTTGACTGGCGGTTCTCTTCGGTTCGAGAACGTCGCTTTCGGTTACCATCCCGACCGTCCGATCTTTCGCAACCTCTCCTTCACGGTTCCCGCTGGTAAGAAAGTGGCCATAGTCGGACCTTCCGGCTGCGGGAAGTCGACCATCTTTCGGCTGCTCTATCGGTTCTATGAGCCTTCCTCCGGCCGCATATTCATTGATGGGCAGGACATCGCCGACGTCCAGGTCGAGAGCCTCCGGAGAAATATCGGGGTTGTGCCTCAAGATACGCCCCTATTCCACACGGATATCATGCACAACATCCGATATGGTAGGCTGAGCGCGAGTGACGAGGAAGTGATTGAGGCCGCGAGAGCGGCCCACGTCCATGAGACGATCGCGACGCTTCCTGACGGGTATCACACCATGGTGGGAGAGCGAGGCCTAATGATTTCTGGCGGAGAGAAGCAGCGACTAGCCGTGGCGCGAGTCTTGCTCAAAGACCCGCCCATCCTGTTCTTCGACGAAGCGGTGCGTTCGTCTCTGAGCCGACCAAACGCAGCGCATTGACAGTCCTCGCGGTTTCTCACCTCCAGACCTCGGCTTTAGATGCTCAGACTGAGGCTAACCTCATGAGGAACATCAAGTCAACCTTGCTGACGAAATCGCGAACTAGTGTATTCATCGCCCACCGTCTCGCCACCGTCGTGGACTCAGGTACGAATTATTCAGACCGGTGTTCCTACTCCATTCCACTGACAACACATGACAGACCTGATTATCGTACTCAGAGAAGGGCAGGTCGTCGAACAGGGGACCCATGATGAATTGCTTGCGGCTAGAGGTCTCTACTACACTATGTGGGTCCAGCAGTCGACCCTGGCTACAGAAACATCGGACGATGTCACTGCCTGACGTTCCGCGCCTCCGCTCTTTTTTCTCTGCCAATTTTTATCATCAGTACATATACAGTATTTGTCTTTCGTAAAGAGCCGCATTTATGCCAACAATATCGGAGGGCGTCGGATGAGCATCGAGAGGCACCCTTACGATATCGCAACTGCTCGCAGAGGCTAGGATGTTCATATTCATTATGTCATCGACGGACGAGCTGAACATAATCATACATGCATGTGTTGTGTAAGTTATTTACGGGTTTCGGTCGGATGCCCGGGTAAAGGTGTACGTGTACAGTAGACCGCATGATCTCAGGTGACGAGAGCGCACAGTCCGGTATCGGGCCAGAGCCGGCGATTAGGATCGCATAGGCGGAGGCATGTATGCGGGGATGGCACTCGCGAAGCCATGCCGGCAATCCAGCTGAGTTTGAGCGTTCGGTGCCATCCTGTGCGACAGCTGATAGTCGGCGAGCAATCAAGCGCCCGCCATTCCAGGGACGATGATCGTGGGCGATCTCTTCCATCTCATCGAGGCTGATGCCGCGGGAGATGGAGCAACGGAGACATGGAGCCATTACTGGTATGTCGGTCCACAAGCATTCCGTGGCACCCCTGAGTGCCACGATGGCTGCGCCCCTCAGGTGATGATTGTACCGCGATGGGTGCAGAAAGGATTTGCGACCTCGTTCAGAATCTCCGCTGTTCGTGGCGGGAGATACGTGTAGTGCCCAAAGCCATCAGACTTCGCATCGCGGTCACATCGCCTTCTCGTAGTGTTTTCGCTCGTGTCGTTTGCAGTCGGACTGCCTCGCGAAAGCCTGGTCGCATCCAGGAAAGGGACATTTCCGGGGCTTCAGACCCTGATGAGCGGTGACATGGCCTGGGTCGAGTAAGCGACTACGACGTACGCGATGGAGAGAGGGAGTGCATACCTATGAGATTATTCTTCGTCGTGAACCTTTTCCCGCAGCTCTCGATCGGACACGCAAATATAGCGTCCTTCGTTCTCCTCCGCTCGCTAGCCGCCCTAGTCGCGTTGCTGGTGACCTTGAGCTTGGCGACCCTGAACGGTCTGCCGTCGATTCCAGGAACGACCAGGTTCTCTTCGGCCACGGACGATAGGGCAGCCGCGTGGTCCGAGCCTGCTTCGCTGACGGAAGCGGAGTGGGTGGAGCAGCTAGACGGTGCTCGGCCAGGCGAGACGGAGGAACGGTTGCTAGAGCCCACGCTGGCGGTCTCTGAGCGAGAGGAGGCCGGCCGCTCGATATCGAACGCCGAGGACGGGCCCAGGTGTAGCGATGGATCCATCCCGAAGGACTTGGATTGGTCGCCGTAGTAAGGATAGCTGGGGTACGGCGCGCTGCGAGATGACCATCGCCGCGGATAACGAGGTCGTTCTGCCATGGTCTCGTGTCGCCGGCTGTCCATCACCGAGGTCAGGGTGCCGAAGGAGTCGAGGGAGGTGCTCATCGTCGCGCGATCGGAGGTAGCCGCATTCATCGGGGAAGAAGAAAACGTCCTGTCTGGACGGCTGGCGGTGGAGCTGCTGCTGACATCGCCGTCCAGGATGAAACCGAAAGGGGCAAGTGGATCGTAAGAGTCATCAACCTGATGGGCCGTCGTCGCCAGGGCGTAGTCGGCGTTTTGTGGCGCTTGGTAAGATTCGTATTGAGGGGCGCCGAACCCGGGATGGTAGTGTTGCCGCAAGGAGATATCGGAGCTGGCGACCATGCCGCTCGCTGTTGCGGAAGCGAGGGATTCTGTTGATCCGGGGAACTGTCCTGGTGCGGCGGGGATTGAAGGATAGTGTATTCCGGCCGTATGTGCCATATCTGAGAAGTCTGTTCGTAGGGTGCCAGATAGGAGCAATATCAGCCATCGCAAGAACGCGGTCGGGTTACGGAGGTCGTACCTGGCGTAAAGGTATCCACCGACCCTTGGATGACATCGCCCCGAGACATCGACCGCGATAGTTGCCGCGGGAAGGGCCAGTTGTACTCATGTTCTAGCGGTGTCGAGCGGCTCGGATAGTAGGCAACATGGCCCGGCGCCGATTCGTCTTGATTACTTTACTTTGCGCGTTAGACAATCGCGCCGTCTTGGACAGAGATAGCCAAGCTTACCCAGCGTACGCGTCATGGTGAGACGCGGATGAGGTGCCAGTGGCTGTGGGGAACGCGTTGAAGCTCGAGGACCAAGTATCGAATTGATTGGACGGATCCATAATGTCGAACGAAGGGGAAGCAAGACGACCGTCCGGGCAGCTACGCCTTATAAGCCCTGGCGCGACACGCCGAGACGGGTCATTTCAAGGAAGGGCTCACGAACCGCCCGACAACGTGAAGATGCGTTACCCGGCAAAGACACCTTCCCCCGGCAAAGCCAGATCTTGGTTTCGCGGCCCCGCCCCGACCGGAGTGTGGAACTGTTGTCCTTATTTGACAACAGCTCCCCCTGACGAAACCGCTGTGCCCGAGAAGGTTGTGTGATCGCATTCGACTGGCCAGGCCTGATTTTTCCCCAGCCTTCTCAGGCGCCGCAACAAAAGCTTGTTTCTTTATCCCGTTTTGACGCCTGGCTTCACCCCCCAGCGCCCTCTTCCGCTGCTGGGGATATTTGAATGATCCCCTCCCAGCGCAGGCGACTGTGCGGCCCATTACGCGTCATCGTGCTCCCAAGAAGAGGGGCGAAGAGCGTAAAACTCCGGTCTGGTGGCGGATTTCGGCGTGCTCGGTGTGGTCGATGTTTCAAGATAAACGAGCCATTCACAGTGATTTTCGGGGCTGCGCAAAATCGTCGGGCGACGACCTCCCTTCGCAATCGCAAATGGTGTCTCCGTATGTATCCGAGTCGGACGACGAGCTGCACAACCGTCGGACGCGGCACCCATTCGAGTTCGAAAGGCCGTGGACCGTCTGCGCGTTCGGACGTTTCGTGGCCACGTGCTTGTCCGCCCCGCAGCCGTGCCCGAAATAGACACCTGCGACACGGATCCCGCCCTTCTTACCCGCGATTCCCGTGACCCGCGACTAGGGCCACCAACATGACATTGACACTGACAGGCTCGGAACACGTCCTCGATCACACTGGTAGGCGGAGGTCCACCTCGGGCACGTAAGTAATGCACCGAACCCGAGAATCTCATCACCCGTCTACGACCAGGGAAACCCCCTCTCCAGCTGGTGATACTGATGTCAGTCTGGTTGTCCGAGAGATAGCATCTATATTGTCTCACTCCATGTGATCGCGTACTACGAAATCTCGCCGGGATGGCTGCGCTTGGGATGGCACCGTTCGGAGCTCATGCAAAGGCACCGTTCGGAACCCAACAAGAGAAGACGCCTTTGCGTTCCTCCGGCAGTTTTGCTAAACATCCGTGATCAGTGGAGCCCAAATGTCGTTTCGTGAATTTGTTCGTTGGGCGGATGATCAATGGTACGGCAGAAGCAAACGGTGGATTGGACCAAACGCAATATATCCATTCGAGGACGGTGTAAAGAATCACACAGATATAACACACACACACAAAGATGTGGGTACATATGAGAGAGTTGACGCGACCTGGCGCGTCATCATATCAGGAGTGAATGAAGCCGACGACCAGGTCGGTCTCTTAGATAGCAGCTAGTGCCAGGAGAGTATAAGGGGTGCAGCGGACCGAAAGACGATAATAGACGAAATACGGGGGTAACATTCCAGCGAGCGAGAGTGATGAAAGAGTGCGATGAAAGCGAGTGTTACAACAGGCTCGGTTGGTTGGAGGAGAGCACGGAGAGTACAGAGCGTCGCAGTGTGGCTCAGTGCCGGCGGCGTCCAGCGAGGAAGGTGGGGACGCGATGCTCACGGCGCTTGCGAGCGTTGGTGCTGAACGAGATGACCTTGGCGGTAGTGGAGAGGTAGCCGTCGATGATGCTCCGGGTGACGGCTTTCTGGGTAAAGTCCCACGATGACCACTGCATATAGGACCGGTGCCATTGTCAGAATACGGCATGAAAATCCCGGGAGAAAACATAACGACTCACCTTCTGAATTGTGATCTGATCAGTCTTGACATCGAAGATGACGCCGAAGACCGCCTTCTCAGTCGTCGGACGGGCGAAGTAGTTGCCTGTACCTGTGCCCGTGGCACCCTTGAAGGACTATGATTCCCGAGCGCTCGTGTCAGATATCCATCACCGAAAACAACGCGCCCAGGTACATCGGAGTGAGAATCGCACTCACGTAGATCTCGGATATACCCTGATTGTGATCGGCATCGACCAGGTTCTCGACCAGGTCAATCTCGCCGCAGCCGCCTTCGCCACCCTCGCCGCGGCAATTGCAGCCGTATTGGGCGCTGCGGACGACCTGGCCATTTAAGGCCCAGATGGCTGGAGTGACCGAGTCGCTGTCGCTGGGCATGTCGAACTCGAAGACGAACATCTTGGAGCCGGCCCAGCCGAGGTTGGAGGTGCCGCGGTAGAAGCCCTCGCAGTTGGAGCCGTTGCATTCCGTGGCGGTCATGATGTTCTATGAATCCCGTGAGCGACGTGACAACATATAGCGGGTCGGGACACTCACGACTTCGTCCGACGCGGAAATGTAGCTGCCGTACGTCTGTTTCGGGGACGCGGCTGCGCTTGAGAAGTCGCTGGAGGCGTATGATTGGCTGGCACCACCACAGACTAGTAATAATACGATGGTCAATGCCTATCGCACGCGAGCCAGGGACGACGGTGTGAGCAACTGACTTGACCACTCGCCGCTCGCGCCTCCTCCGTTGTTGTTCATAAAGACCAGGTTATGGGCCGCGTTGCCAGAGGCCCAGGAGCTGGTCCGTTTCCATGTGGCTGAAGTCGTGTTGTCCGGCTGGTAGACCGCGATGTTGTACACGTTCATAGGCCCGCGCATGACCACGGTGAGGTCCTCGTCGAACGGCGCGAGGTTACCGCTGACGGTCTTCGTCGTCTTCACGCACGACTATGGTCAATAAGAGAAAAACGCGTCAGAAATGTTCGGCCGATCTGATGAGTTCGTGCAGGCTTACCGGGTTGGCGCTGCAGGTTGGGAAGGTACCGGGAACGAGGTCGGTGACCTGCTGGTACGAGCCGTCGCCACCGACATGGGTGTACCGAACGGCAGTGAGCGACCCGCTCGTCGACGCCGCCAGAAGGTTGTTGGGCGTGAGCGTCGCCTTGGTGGCGCTGATCAGGCCGAGCGCCGTCGCGGCGGAGATGGATAGGTTCGTCGCGAGCATTCTGACGAGCACAAGAAAACGAACGTGGGGCAAAGGAAAGAGGGATTGCCTGTCGTGCACGGCGTGCGGCGTGGATGAGACCGGGAACAAGAGGACTGCGGCTCAAAATTCGGCGGCGCCGTGTCTATGTTAGCAACCTGATGGAGTTATGGAGCGCCTTCCTAGAAAGGAAGGAGGAGCTCGCGCCCTTGCTGAAACGGCACGTGCACATTAGGCGGCTGCCCGAGTCGCAGCCTTTTCCGGCACCGCCATCCATGCTCGTTCAAGGCGGGTCCTCACGCTCACGCCTCCGCGAGGGCAGAGATTGATCAAGACTATTCCTGATAAATTTTACTTACGAACACGTTGTTGGCGTGCAACAAGCTATCGGACAGTCCAACAGAACCCTCGGGGGTGCACTGGTTCATTCATATACGGCCCACGGGCAGTAGGTCCGGGCCCGACCCGGGATGAATCGATGGAAGGCTGAACATCTCACTATCAACGAACTACCACCGCCGACGACGCAACACCGCCCCCTATACGGAACCTCTATAGCCTTCCTGACGTATCAGGTGCGAATATATAGGTTTCTATAGAAGCTCCAATGCTATCGAAATGCTCGCGATACCGACACGAGGTCCTAACGCCGTGGCGTTGTTCCTGACGCGCTTTTTTGCCCCTGAGGCCTCAGTACATATTGCCAGCTTCGGTGTCAAATCTCGATGAGCTGTCGGCGGAAGCATCTTCGGGAGCAACTGAAACATAGGAGACGGCGGAAATGGTCTGACCCACTGCAGACGGCGGAAGCAACCTGTGGATCCTCCCTACTGCCGCATCCAGCCAGCATGCCCCTATCGTATGTTCGATCTGCGCCGGAGCCACGGGCGCCTGTCTTACCAACGGATCCCCGCGCAGAGCACATCCGTCTGGGTACGTCCCGTCCTACCCTGAGTGCATCGCATAGGATGGTGCGATCTCAATATTGTTAAGAAGCCGACCAGCTTTCACGGCCTTCCAGCGTCCACGCTCAAGAGGGACATCTTGTTGAGGCGGTTCTCGTTCGGGCGGTGTAGGGGCCTCCGAAACTCCCACACGGATTGTGGCGACGTTTGTTCTGGAAGATACTGGTGGTCCGTGGACGCTTCAAGGCATATCCTTACCGGAGTCTGCAGCGTTCCCGATGATGAAGCTATGACAGGCGTGTCGGACAGATCGTCTTATCCCCAGCATCGTCGTGGCCCAATCCAACTTCGACCTCCGCGGTGGTGTGTTGCTGCACCCGCTGCAAAAGCTGCATCTTGCCGGCTATTTGGAGCGTGTTCTCGATCCAGACCCCTGTGAGTAGTAGATAACCGGCATTGCGATGGCACAAATGGCAAATGTTTTCGAAGGCCGTTGGGAGACAGCGTCGACACTTCCATTCATCGCGATTATCGAAGCTGCACCGTCTCGCCCCAGTAATCCAAACTCGTGTCACGAACTGCGAGAGCGAAATATGTCCGAGAGAACATTTACACATGATGTTCGTACGAGTGGGAGTAGATTGACCAATCACCCAACGCCCTGTTTGATGCATGATGGGAGGAACCTTACTCGCCGATTGGAATGCCGAGCGAGCACGGACAGCATACAACGCGTTCACGGCAACCCTGTCTTCGGAACGGCAACGCGGGATCAACGCGGAACGCCATGAAGGGGAATGCACTAACCACTGGGCGGGACGACGACGGTCCGTAGACGCAGTGCGGAGAGGGCGGGTGCTGGCGACCTGTAATGGCGTCTACCCGTTGTTAGCGCGACTCGCTCATTGCCTGCCTACGTATGCCGTCTGCAATATAACCCCAGATAAAGTACCGCCCCGTGCGACGTGTGCCTTTCATCGCCTGGCGTCGCACGCGATTACCGTTCCGGGCTCAAAGCACGCGCCTTGACACCGCCCCTGGGCGCCAAACGGCATCGCACAGGTGTCATGCTATTCAAGCTATTGATGCGCCGTCCGCGGCGTCGATATGGGCGATGGCTATTTGGCGCACCTTAAGACGCTACCACAGCTGCGCGTTCCGGCTCTCATAAACGCGGAAAGCCATGAATCCATCCGGCTCACCCCACCACGACACCACCAACGACCTCTGGCGCGAGCCCAGCAGCTGGCTTTCGCCCGACTCGCCCAACGCATCCTTTGAGTACTTGACTGGCACCTCGTCTGCCCCAGGATCACCCGCGGGATCATCCCACCACACGCCGGAGGGTAGCAGACCAGCGAGCCCGCAGACCTCATTTCTCCTCGCGGAGCTGCTAGACTACAGTATGCCCGCCTTTCAACGAGCCGATGCCGGCGCGGGGCCCACCCTCGACTTTGGGCCCGACGCGACCTGGATGCCGAGCGACGCGTAGGTACCCTCAGTGAACGCTAGCGTCGTCGAGCTGAGGCCTGTTGCGCCCATAAAGTGCGATAACGAGCGAACTGGCGAACGCGCTGGGAAGCACGGCGGGCGGCGGGTATGTGGGGTAGGTCTCTTTCTATAACCGGACTTCGCTGCCGTCCACTTACGACGGACACGAACGCAGATCATCTCGTCCCGGCCATGGACGTCATCAGTCGGAAGACTCGCCGACGATCATGATACAGCCGCCGTCTCGGGCAACGACGATGCTGACTCCGCCCGACGCCGAGTACGCCAACTCGTACGGCGAAGGCATGAGATGGATGCAAGGCTCGCATCAGCAATCCTACACGTACGAAACCGAGCCGTCACAGTCGGTCTATTCGGATCCGCACGGCAGTCCCCATTCCATATATTCCGACCTGGAACCCATCGACCTCTCTCTGGACACCAGCTTCGAAAGGACCGTGCTGAACCATCAGCAGGAGACCCCGGCATCCGCGGGAACCCCGACACATCAAGTAGGCACCCCGACACATCAAGTAGGCACACCGACTCACCAAGCAGGCACCCCGACTCACCACTCTCCGCTCACTCCTCCCGAGCAATCGTACCTACTCGACCAGCCCATCTCGCTCCCTGACGACTTCGGGGGAGCGAACGTCCGCCGAAGTCGGTCTCTCACCGACAACCTCGGTCGTATCAAGACGGACGTCATGTACCCTCTCGACGCCTTCGGTGTCCCCATGGATCCCAACACCTACCTCACCCCCAGCGGGCAGAGCCTGCGCGGCCGATCGCAGTCGCTGCGCGATCCCGCCGGACGCGGACGTGGCGCCTCGAGCGGCTCGCGCTCCTCCCACCGCACGAGCCCCTACAACAGCCGACCCACGAGCCGGGGCCACAGCCCGAGCAGCGACAGCAGCCTCCCGCCCGACGGGCCGTATCAGCACGTGCTGCCTGCCCAGCCGCCCGCCAGCGGGTACTGGAGCTCCGCGGAGATCCCAGGCCTCAGCAACGGCACGATGCACGCGGGCCTGCCCATGAGCGCGCACGTCCACCCTGGCATGCGTCCGCGGGGGCTCTCGAACCCGGGCCCGGTGCGCATGCACGGCGAGTGGGGCGTCCCGGCGCCTGATATGTATCGAGGCATGGGTGGTGGCGGCGGGGTCGCTCCCGCGTCGATCGGGCTCCTTCCCCCGGACCTCGTCAAGCCGGTGGTCATGACCGAGGGCATCGCGGAGGCCGCGCGCAAGGCGCGCAAGAAAGAAGCCAAGTTCATCTGCAGATTCTGTCAAGCCGGCCTTACGACGCGCATCAACCGCGACAGTGAGTGATGCTCGTCTTCGTGATTCAGGCTGTTGAAACTGATGGAAGGGGGTGCGAAACGTAGACCACGAGAAGGCGCACCAAGGCATCAAGGAACATAAATGTACTCATTGCGGCGACGAGTTCACACGCAAGGCGGATCGAGACCGACACGTCCAGAAGATGCATATCAGGCCTGCAGCCACGAGCACCAAGGTGGAGCTCGGCGAGCCCGCGAAGTCCGGTACCAGCCAACCGGCGACCAAGGATGAGCGATAGCACGACATTCGATGTACGTGGCGGTCGACCGCTACCCTCCCGTCCGCCTGCTGATATCCAATCGACAGATACACCATGTACTCTTACGTGTCTCTTTCTCCCTGATCGATGTTCTTCCGTGTCCGTGCGTTGCTTCTGCGTCCTGTCTCGCCCATTGACTATTGCCGTCCAATCGCCATGAATTGTCGTTTGTTTTTTCGTCGTAGCCACACATATTCGTCTTACCTTCGGAAACCTCCGTACCTTCGTCACCTGCCTGCCCATCTCCTCCAAATACCCGCATCGCCCGGGCTGTGGACCCGGGCACGCGCTACTATTTGTCTTGCATTCAATGCTTAATACACTGCCTATCTGTGGTCGCTCCCCGTAGCTGTAATGCCTCCGATCGAGGAGTGCTCTCTGTATCCCGCATTCATTTACCATGTACTGTATCCATATCTGGCCGAAGAATCTATATACACATGTGCGCGTTCCCTCAGCGAAAGACGGAAGACGCATAGATTCTGGAATCACGGTCCGAGGACGCGTTTGATGAAGTAAGAATAGCATGTAATCAGATATGTAAACCGAGCCCGGACGGATCTTAGCGAGGATAAGTAGTGGTTACGTCTTAGGCCACGCTGGTGTGCCCGAGGCTGTGATGATAAGATGGGTGCGAGAAGAAGGGTGAGACCACTGGAAATAAAGAGCATGTAGCATAGATTTGGGGTTGGGAAAACAAAGCTATCTCCCTCTGATACTCACGCCTGGTGGCCTGGTTAAATTCGGGCAGTTAGAAGTATCCGAGCAACCCGCCGGAAACACCGACCGTGGTGCTCCTTCTGGAGTGATTCTTCAGTACATCTCATCAAGTGATTCTTCAGTACATCACGCCGACTGTAGGGCTTGCCGCAGTTATGACATTTCGGGCGTTTGGCTTTGTCGTGAGTAGTTTGATGTCTTCGCCCGTCGGACGGTCGTGCGAAACCCTTGTTACACTCCGAGCACACAAACTTTATGGCGTGCCTATGGATAGAGTCGATATGACCTGGAAAGATCCGTTTCGTCACTCGTTCCACCGGGTTGGCTATGTCAACCAGCTACCTTCGAGGTTCCGCTTCGTCGTATAGCTCAATAGGCATCCAGGCTCCGGGCATGAGAACCGTCGGCTTCTCGAGGGGCCTGCCGCACCTTTGCGAAATGAACGGGTGAGACGCTCCTCTAGTACAATGGTGCGGTGGATCTCACGCCATACCTTCGCGCTCCTGGTCTCCATCACATGGAGGAAGACCATTCAATGAGAATGACCGGGATATAATGCCCCCAGCGGACTGTGAGCGAGCGCCCGCCTCGGAGGGTTCCGGTGCGCTCTCGAAATCTGGCCCCTGCGATCGTTGGCCGGGACGCCCCGATGATTGGTGAAGAAGAGAAGAACTCGGGATGGAAGCCTGTACCCGGTAGTGTCCATCGCTCGGGAAGCTACGAGACCACTGCATCGCCGGAGGAGCGACAGCCATCTGACCGCAGTCATGGCCCATTCGGTGAGTGAACGATGCGTCGGGAAACGGCGGCATCTCTGGAGTTTGTATTGACGATACATCTTCTCCAATAGCAAGAGAAGGGCCCGGATAGTCATACCATGTCGGCGGCGACTGGGTGAGTCCTTGATAAGTTGTACCGTGCCATTCCGCAGGTGAGTGTCCCTGTGCATCATCCGAGACGGAGGGTCCCGTAAACGTCTCGGGCACCCGTTCCGACGGATTGGACGTCCCTAAGAGTGGGTTGATGGTGTCTATGGGGGTTTTAAACGACACTGATACTTCCTACTTTCCGGATGCGAAGAATTGTGAGCACTTACAAGGAGAGTGCAGCGAGCCAGGATCGACCATGTTCGCGTAGGTCCCGGCAAGGTAATGGCCCGATGGTGGGTAATCACTCTCTATCATGTTGCTGGAGGAGGAGGCATGCGGTGCATTGACTGCGGCATAGACCTGGGAGTCGGCATTGATCGTCGTCTGACAACTGGTCCAGCAGCAGGTCAGCCACGCCTCGACCTCAGAAAAGAAAACTATCTCACTACTCTGGGTACGCAAAGTCCCCCTGTGCAACGTACGTGCTGGACCCGCTGGCGATGCGCATAGCAGATGGAGGTGACAAGGTCTGAGGTGACAAGGTCTGAGGCGCGAAGCTCTGACGTGTGCGACGACGTTCATAAATCGGAAGGAGCACTCGGTGGGGAAAGGCCATTCTGAGCCGTAGGTTCAGAATGTCACAACGAGGGGTGGCGCAATTTATGTGTGGACCTGTGGTCTTCCAAACAAGCGCTTACCTGCCTCGCACATCACGCGTTTTGGAGCGGTTCGCGCGCAGCTGGAACTCATGGGTGTCCACAAAGGCCATTTATGGTGTTACACGCCATAGTGAACAAACTCAAAGTCTGGAGTGACCGTTGAGATACTGTACGTAAGAGAGGTGAGCTTAGCAGGTTATAGTAGAGGTAAGAGAGGACTTGCGAACCAACCAATAGCAGAAGATGACCCGCGACCACCCGGTTGAGCTGGGACCATTAGGAACACCCCGGATGTATGCATTCAGGGTCGTCATATCCAGCTTGGCTCCTGCAATAACGGATCTGGCGCTGTGCGGGAGCATTTGAACCATGGCGTGGGTAATATGACTTCGAGATGATCTTAGTTCATGTGGCTATAAAGGCATGGGAGGTGAAACGACGGGAGATCAACGAGATGACGATGCCAGCACGAGGACCACTCACGACACATCGGGGGCGGGTTCGGAGGACCATTAAGGGAAACCAATTGAAAAGCTCGGAGGACTGGAACGCGGGTATCAGGCGAATGTGTCTCGCGCTACGATCGACAAACAGTAAGGTAGATCGATCGATGTGGTCAGCATACCAAGCAATATTTGTACCAAGTAGGTATGTTGTTTGGGTGCGTGTTCGTTTGCCACCTCGGACGACGAACGAGATTGTGTCCACCCGGAGCATCTCCAAGCCAAGTTGCAACATCAATCCGCCGGATCAACCTGAAAAAGAACTGTACACGAGGAAGGGAGGGTCGCAGCAGACACGAGCGAGGTTGAACAGGCGAACTAGTGCTTGTTTGGAACGCAAGCGGAAAGGATGTTCTGCAAGCCGTTCGGAAAACGAACGCAAACGCTGCTCGGGGACGAATGGGTTGCAAATTGATGCAGATCCTCATGAGAATCCGGCAGACAGGCTCTGGCAAAAGTGCACAGCTCCAGGATGAGTCAAACTCGCGCCAAGCTGTACCGCATGACTTCATTCGCAGAGTATGATTGCCCTGCTCGTCTGCAGGATCAACAAAAGAAGACCTGTACAGGCATATGTCGCGTCGACAACGCGTCGATGGAAGATGCATGATAAGGTAAACTTTGTTGACCGCATCAGCATAGGCGTAAGAACCGAAATGGCACCAAGCTACCACCGGGCTGACCGGGACTGACTAATGCGATTTCTACGACGCTCGAAGGGCTCGAGACGCGTAGCTGTTCCCAGATGTTTTTGTCATGATCCCTCAGTTGCGGTTTAGAATAGGCGGGATCATGATGCTTACCTTGTTCTTGTCGTCGTCGACCCCATTCGAGGACGACGTGTCGGACCCATCATCCACCTCAGGTGGTGATTGAACCGCCGTGTCTGCGTTCGAGACGTAGCGCTCGGTAGGCTTCTCTTGAAAGTTGAACAGCACCAACGCCAACATTCGCCCCTTATGTAAAGAATTGTCCCGCCAGAGCTCCGATCCACACAGCCACCGTTTATGGGCGCGAGCTCCGATACCGAAACCCCGAAAACATCGGGGTAGAGGGCAAAATGTTACATCCAGGTCTGCTCCGAAAAGAGGCGGTTATATGAGCGGGGTTCGATCCAAAATCCCTGAAATTGGACCCCAGACGTGACAACCAGTAAGCTGTGGGACACACTGGCTGCGTATCCATCCAGAAAATCATATCCTGTTTGGCATGTGTCTACACACTACCTGCGCAAATTCGAGTCTCCACTGCGCTCATCTACCCACTATACTTTCCGAGCTCGCCGTATCCCGAATTGCTTCCACCACCATTCACTCCACCGACAGGCAGAATCAGGCAGGCTTTAAGTGCTTGGCGCGTACAAGGATCTTGTCCGCTGCATCCAGGACGTGCTAATCAAGAACATGTCTGATGTCAAATCCCCGAAAATCGCCCTCTTGAGACCTTCACCTGAACCCAAAAAATGGCCGAAATCGCCTCTTTGAGGGATCGGAGCTCTGGTGGGGTTCGCACCGGTCCTGACTGACTCTGCCCCCCCCCCCGGAACTTCAGCGGCCCTCCTCGCGGTCATGCAAAACACGAGGTTGAGGTTATCATACTCTTATCATCTTGGAAGCATCCCTATGCCTAGTGCATCCCAAGTTACGACTTTTCCGCGATGTCGAACCTAGGTTACACCAATTGCCGTTGGTAGCGGGGTACAGCAATTGCTGTTCGGACACCCCGCATTAGGGTGCCACCCATCAGTCAGAGAAACAGAACTAGAGCCAGTCACATCAAGCAACTCCATGAATATAGCGGATTGACATCGCGCACTCTATTGAACTACATATTACATTGGGCTTTACTGGTCACAACACAAGTTCGAACAAGGCGTTGACCGCGAATCGAGAATGAAAGCACGTACACACAAAGCAACGACTAGGAGTCAAAAATGATAGCAAGTGATATCCGAGTTAGGTCATCATTAATCAAAGGAGCATCACCCTCTAGCGGGTAAAGCAGGAGCCCGAAACAGGAATAGAGAATGTATAGGCATGACTTCCGAGTAGGGGAACCGAGGAAAGATTCGTTGTATAACCAAGAACGACGATGGCATATTGAGAGCGGGCAGGTGTGCATGTGAGGGATCGTGCCTGCTTGGGGTTAGCGGCGAAGCCCTTGCTGGAACGCGTTTGCATGCAGGTTAGCGGTCAGGTGCTGCCCGCATGTCTTGGCTGCCAGCAGACGCGTAAACGGCTTGGTTACGTAAAGTAAGGGTTTGCAGCACGAACCGTGTTTGCTCAAGGCGTCTTTCCGAGAGAAGCCGCCATCGCATTTCTCGCACTTGAGTTGGAGCGACTGGTGCACGGTCTCCTGGTGACGCTTGCGGTCGGATTTCCGACTGAAGCTCTTGTCGCAAGGCGGGTATTCGCAGGGGAATGGCCTTTCGTCGTTATGAGATCGGATGTGACCTGGAACACACGTGTCAACAACATCTACAAACGCAATGATCATATTGCCAACTGACCGTCCAGGTTATGTTTCGACGTCAAACACCTGCACAGGGCCAGAGTTGAGCCATCTTCAGTCCGAACGGAACTCGCGAGATACTTACCTGCCACAATGCTCGCACTTGAAGCGAGCATCTTCCGTAGTATTCCTGCGCCTGCGGATGCTGGCCTCCGCGACCTTGTCGCTCGTGACTATCGCCTTCACAATAGGCCTCGGAGACGCCTCTTGCGAAGTCGAACCCACGATGGTATCGGCTTGATCCTGATATACGCCCTCAACAGAGATGGGCGTCGTGGGGAGCGAGTCGCCGTCGACGTCGGTGACGCCGTCGCGACTGAGGCAGGGGCTGACCGAGCGGCTGCCGGGATACGGCGACGACCGCCGCGACGAGCTCGTGCTCGGCGATCGTGATGGTCCACGACTGGAACGCTGCCAACCGGGCGATAGAAGTCCGGTGGTATCGGACTTCGAACGGCCGTGTTGGCCGGCGGGACGTCCATCGCTCAACGACCGAGCACGCTGGATTCCAAGCGGCGGCGGAGACAAGAGGCCCGGGCTTGGCGTTGCGCTTGCGCTCTGGACCGCGGTGAGCTGGTACTCGACAGTCGGCTTAGGGAACAGGGAACTCTCGGAACGACGACGGACGTGGTGATGAGGAGGTCCCGGAACTGCCAGGTGTACGACCGGCGGAGGTGTGGGGGGGTGAGGCGCCACAATCACCGGCGTTGGGATATGAAGGCTCGGGGGAGCGGAAGGGGCTGTGGCAGCTGGGACTGGTCGAGGACTGCTGTTTATCTGCAGACGGCTCAGGGACGGTCGGCCCCTGGGTGGATCGAGCATGCTATTAGGTGGGTCGAGGGCACTACAAGTTCAAGCTTGAGGCGATGATATGTACAGGAAGACAATATAGAGCGCACTGTGCAAGTGACGAGGACCCTCCGTACATAGGCTGGATGGGAGCGGAGACGGGCTCATTATATGGGGCACCAATGGACCTACAAGTGTAAGGTGTTGGTCGAGCCCTCAGGAACTGTCTTTCAGAGATGACTCACAGATGGACTGGGGACTCGACGGGAGAGGGCACGGGTGAGGGTATGGGCGATGCCTGAATATTCACGATAGCTGCGAATATCTCATCCAGATCAGGCACGCTCAACGACGAAGACGGCTGGCTGGTCCAGGGGCCATCTACGTCGAAAACGGCTTCGGGACCCGTCAAGTACATGTCCTGAGGGTAGGGACTGGCGGGAGTATACGCCGGCGACAACTCTTCCTGCTCGGTGGCGCGTGGCTGGGACCACAGGTAGCATGAGGTGTCAGGATGGGTCGCCATCGCGCGTTTGGTGTCAGGTCAATCCAAAGCAGTCTCCACTCCACAACCTCCGCAACTTGGAAGGCGGGGCACAAGGGGGGATGGCTCGGCGACTCAGGCTGGAATCGCTGGATGGAGGCTTTTACATACAGCATTGTTGCACAGCCTCGACTTCGCACAGCCCTTCACAGCCTCGGGGCCACGAGGCATTTGGCGCTCGTCCATGTCCAGCGCACGAAGATAAGAGCAGGCGATGGACGAACGTAGCTATGAACGTGAACTGCATGAGCGATGAGACAGCACCGTATCAGGGGGGCATTAGGCTCCGCATGCTCGCCTAGCTTATATGAGCTATATGCACGGCATGAAATACAGCAATACTATGATGAATACATATCTTCGAGTCACCTGAGGCGGGAGCGTGGGTCCCCTTGAAGGGGTTAACCTTCGAATTCACAGCTCATACCTTCCACAGCCATAAGACATGGATAGGACCCAATGATAATAAGATCGCCGCACGCCCCGACCGGCAGAAGAGAAAGTGGGTCTAAAATGAAACCTTCCACTAGATTCTTGCGCCAAACGTCTGGGCCGATCACATTATTGCTATCGCACACCCGCACACAAGCTGTTGGTGGGCCTTGGCGCCAGTTTCTGCGGCGCCAGTCTGCGCGCCATGCCGAGGAGTACTTGCACACGGGCAATGCGGCGTTTGAGCCGTGCAACAGCAGCAATGCCGCGGACGTAAGGCGAGCAGAAGGAACCAAAGAAGGAAGGAACAAAGTCGCGAGCGTCGCTGAGCTGAAACTGTAGCAGTCGAGAGTCCGATCAATTGCATCGGCCACACGTCGGTGGCACAGGAGTCCAGAATTAGCTATTCCGTTCGTGGCATCTCCCCTGTCGTGCCACCGGAACTTTCTGTAAAGCGAATTACATAGCCAAACGTGTCGTCAGGTAGGCCGACGGTTTGTTGTACAGCTGGACTGTCAGGACGACCTGGGCGACCGCGTTCGAAGTCGTTCGCGGAGCATTTGCGCTCTGGGAAGACTCGCTCAACGAGGGGGCAACTTCGAGGAGCAAGATATGCTTACCATGCTTCATACGGCTGTCGTTCCTCTTGAATAGTCGCCGACACTTGACGCATTCGAACCGTGCATCACAGTGGGTCGTCCTTTTGTGTCGCTTGCAGTCCCACTCCCGAGCAAACGTCTCGCTGCACCCCTCGGCTCCGCAAACGTAAGGCTTTTCGCCCAGGTGAGCGTTGACGTGCCCTGAAGTTGAAGACCATCAGCACTTCTGTGATACGTTGCTCTGTCGAGCTCCGCGAACCTTCATAGTTCTTCTTTGAGGTAAGCCTCGCTCCGCAAATGGGACATTGGAAGGATGCGTCTGACTTTCTGCGCCCGGCAGCGGCGGCGGCTACTTTCGCTGTAGTGACGACGGGCTTGGTGATTTGTCCCAGCGAATGCCGCCTCGCGTTAGGAGGTAAGCTGCCTTCAAGTCCGCCGTCTTCTGTGTCAGAGATGGCAACGGAGTTATACTGGTTATCCTCATAGACCGAGGACATCGAAGGGCTGGGACTGGGTGTTCTGACGGGGTATGGACTTGCACGAGATGATGGTGAGCGACTGCGAGATGCACCCCGACCGGAGGACACGGAAGAGAAGGAACCAGAGCGAGAACGGAACCCAGAGTGAGGGCTGAGCATGCCGGGGCTGAGGTCGCCCTGGACAGGAGCGTAGTGAAAGTAAGCTTGTGTTCCGTCACATCCATATGGAGACATGGCCTGCATATGGGCGCTCAGAGGGTCAAGTGTGGGGCTGCTCGCGAGGGATGAGGAAAGAAGGTTCGGGGAAGAGCCGCCGGACTGGTCGCTTTCGCCATGTACGGGCCCAGAAGAGCCGTTGGGTGCGTATGTAACGAGGGGCGTCAATAGGGGTCGTCCGACGCCGTCGCGTATCTGCAGTGTCATGGACGGTTGATGTTCGTAAGAAGTATTCGTGCAAGACGCCGGAGACAATGCCAAACGTGGTAGATCTGCAGATGCTGTGTCCCTGGCACTCATTTTGAGACATGGTTTACATGCAATCAAATGGCGCGACATTTACCATGAAGAGAGGTCCGATCCAGCAGGCGGTTGTGAGTCCACTAGCCCACTTGAAGATTGGTACGAGGCGAGGTCCGCCTGATGTACGAAGGCAGCTGGATGCTCGCAGGATGTTGCACTGCCGTCTTCTATCGTTCCGTACAGTGTATCTGTATTCGTGCTGCGACGAACCAGTCAGCCATTGGTTAAGCACCATAATGAGTACATACCACTGCAGGTGATGCCCCGACTCGGACTCCGAGGAAAAACCCAGGGAAACGAACTGTTGTAATATATCCAAATCGCAGAAATCGATCCCGAGCGAGCTCGTCGCTCCGTCATCATGCTCGTCTTGGGAATATGGATTGTTCATAGCGGGCGGCTGCACAGAAGATAGAGGCGAAGTTATGCTTGAGAACAACAATGGCTTAAATGATGGGAACGGGTAAAGAAATGCGTGGTAAAGCGTAAACGAGAATAGTAAGAGTGCCAGCCAAAAGCCCTCCCCGTGGGGGGGCGAAGGTGATCGGGGCGGGCCTTGTATGCAGAGCTTATAAGGGAAATCCAGACAGCCGCCAAATAGCTGTACACGTGCAGCCATCGATGCGGTGTACAATGCCGTATAGCATCATGTGCATTGTGAGGGTGTGCGTCGTGGTGTGAGCAATGGATGCCCGCTGCCCAGGGGCTGGCTGTTGGATCATATTCGAGTTAGTAGGGCAAGTTGAGCGACGCTCCTCCCTCCCACACAAATGTCACGTGCTGTTTAGCACCGGCTCTCTCTATGTAGTTCGGCGCTTTTCGCTGCCTCTGAGTCTGACTCGCATCCTCTCACAGTTTGTCACTGCCGATGGTCCCTGATCTTCGTCTCAAAAAGCCGATAGAACAATAGTCGCCGGGGGCTTCAAGAACCTCCTCGTTTCTCGTCGCATGCCCCGTTCTCTCTCGCCGCGCTGCGATTTGGCCCCGTGGCCCCACGCCCGCGTTTCATATCGAACAGCTTCTGAGTCGCAGCTTCGTAACGATCAAACTCAAGGCGTACCGGCTCGAAACAGCTGGAAATCCTGGTTGAGCTCTCATTGTTCCTCGGTTCGTCTTGCCGACCTCGAGCCTCTGCGAGCGCCTTTTTATGGCAATCCTTGTTCTTCCGCGTCGTGCTTCGCACTTCACACCGACGACGAGGCGGACAAGGCTCTCACCCTCCATTTGTTGTTAGCTCCACACTTTGAAATATTCATGTATTGGTGTGAAATTCCGGGGGCCGTTCCAAAGTCTGGTATGTCATTTCGTCAATTGCGAAGATACCAATATCTCGGGTGCCCGCTTCCTGAAGCGCGGATCGCTACTCAGGCGGATAAAACGGGAACGGCGGGCGACAGATTCGAAAAAAGTCTCCCTTCTGATTCCAAGGCGCCATTGGCAACGGTACGGCTGCGTCTCCTGAGATATGAGACGAGCCTGTCCCCGAAGACGTGCCACGGAACAACTCATGATGCCGACCGCTGATAATGGTCAGACTTCTTGAATTGCGTTAATCTGTGCTTACCTGTGCATGCTATTATTTACGCTTGTCAGGACCCGAGCGAGCTCGGCCAAGATTACATGTCACAACATGTCTCGGGTTCACACGTCGATTATTCGCTGTTTAACGACAACCCCTTGACGATTTCCGGACGGCCAACACTGACGCTGGCTAGTGAAGCCTCTCAACTCCTCATCCTTCGCATGCAGATTAGGGAGCGCAGCTTCCACATCCGAGCCATTCACTTCTCCATCAACTTCATGGCATGACGTGTTTCATGATCATCTCACATACCTTGGCCTCATTCTCGTCTTATATACTGGGATTGCATTCACTTGTCGCGATCTCTCCAAGAGTGCCGATGGGACCTGAGGCCCTGACTTGCCATTTGCGGGTGTGTGTTAAAGCTATGCGCACCCGGTGGGAAAAGTCCGATTGCAAGCCTCGCACCGTTATGTCTGCATCTTAAAACGTGCTTTTCTGTCCTTTCCACACCCAGGAAAATACGATCAGAAGCATCTCGCGGATCACGATCCCATCTCCCGTCCTCGTATCATAGCTGTACAGTAACGCTTTCCGCAGGCAGCATCGGTCTTTGTTTTGACAGCCGCCACCGAAACGGCTGTTGGGGGATCCCAAAAAGCTCGCGCAACCCTTTCCGGGTGCAAATATCATTTATGAACAGTCCGGGACCTGCCGTCATTCAAGCCCAGTCAGCAGATCCGAAGCTTTCCTTCTTTACCCCCTTCCCGTATGTAAACTACTACTTAATGCCTGAGCTCGACTTAAGCCGGTGCTCCCCTTTCCTGCGAGTACGCACTTGAACGCACTTCACAACCATGCAACCCTCGTGGCGACAGACTGGCTCCACCGAACCCGGCGCTCCACACCCCTCGCAGGGCAACGAGTTCCATGCTACCCCATACAATGGCGATTTTCAGCAGCAGCATGTCTCGTATACACACGGATACACATCGAGTGACAATGCGGTTTCTTGGACGACACCGACTTCAACGTTGTAGGCTGCGTCTCATCTTCGGCCTCATCACTTTGGATTTATTGACCTCCCAAATTTAGCGTGGCGGATGTGGGTTCGGTCGCGCCTTTTGGTGCTCCTGGGCATTCAACCTTCTCTACCCATGGCTGGAACCATGGTCAGCAGTCGGCCACGGTTAACCATAGGTATGGCGCATAATCAAACAGCACCTATATCACTCATAGCTCGGTGAACAAGCCATTATACGGGAATGCCGGCGCTTCCGCTTTCACAGAATCAGATGCAATCACAGCAGCAATTTGCGCAATCATATATGGCCATGAACGCTACTCAGAACGAATTCCATCGTTCGTGGTCCGCCGGTGACAATATGAATCTTGAATATAGGACAGGTAAGTGCCCGAATCCAACGATATGCGCGAGGACTAACGATTCCGTCCGGCTCTTGCGATAAAACAGACACGTCCACATATGATTCCGCGAACAGGGTACATACTCCTGAGCGACCCACGCCGTTCAGACTCGAAGTCTCAACCCCGGCAGTACAACGCGCGAGTCTTATCAGACGCACTTCCGAAGCACCGTATAAGTGCGATCTGTGTCACAACACCTTCACTACTCAGGCGAATCTCAGAAGTAAGGCATCCGCCATGGAGATTGAATAGCATGACGATACATTGCATAGGTCACCGCGATTCGCACGAGGGCAACAAACCTCACATTTGCCATTACGAGTTCTGCGGGAAGGCCTTCGTCAGAAAACACGACCTTACGCGGCACATCAAGGGAAAGCACACCGATGACCGGCCCTTCGAATGTGATACATGCCATAAAACATACTCCAGGAAGGATGAACTGAATCAGCACCGTTAGTCGTCTGGATGCTCGGGTCGGTCACATACTCACTACTATTGCTTCAGTTCTGCGGGCTCATCGGGCGTAGCAATCTGCAACCCATAAGGTGGATGAATATCTGATCTAGATAAAACATTGGTTTATGAGCATTGGAATATGGAGTGTACGGTATGCACCTATAATATCATGCGGTGTTCGGAGTATTCGGAGTATTCGAAAGCTTTTCATGTCCCACTGCTGACAAGATAATATGATGCACGCTTCGCGACGCTGAGGAATCCGTTATGGGTCCAGTTTGGAGGCGAAGTACGGAAGACTTACTGCAAGGGGCGATGTACACGTAATTCTGCCTCGTGTCCGCGCAACAATTGATGCGTGTGAGGATAACATGAAACTTATCTGGCCATTTCCAAGGCAGCCAACACCTTCTTGACCGCATGGTCAGGAGTCCATCGCATTGGTGAAACGCCTCGAGACTCGGTCTAGTCATAGCGATATACAAAATTCATCGGACTAAGGATATGTCCACCGCATTGGATCATAAGCAAGGAACTGCCTCCGAGCGGGCTGTTCTGGCCTGGGCAACCTACACGAGGCGTCAGAATATAGCGAGGGAGTACTATGTGGCACCATGTTGTCACGCGTTGCGGGCCCGCGCCTCATAGTTAGCGCAGCTCTCCAAGCAAGATCCATCTTTTGTCTAAATTTCGGTCCGTGCGATATCACGCCGCAGGGTCGCGTTGTGCACGCTTGCGCACTGCCAACAAAAATGCATGTGACGGAGAACATTGGCGTTAGGGTGCTTCGAGAGGTCCGCGAAGAAAATCGACGGATGCTGTAGTTCCTGTCCAATCAAGGGAGAAGATGATTAGATTGGGCTTCTTTATAGATACCGTAAACATGTACAAGGAAAAACGAAAGCATCCTCGCAGAAGTATGGGAGACATACGTACCTCTTTAGCTTCTTGACGGACGCCCCTAGGCTGCAGGCGGAGACGCCGTGATGGCCGCGTAGATATGTGCATCGCCAGTTGAATGACACTCCAGGACAGGGAAACGTTTTCTGTCGAGCTGCAACGTAAACGCAGTGGTGCAGTGGCTGTGGTCTTTTCAGAGGTCGCCACTCTTCAGAGGTCGCTGTTGGTCAGAGGTCATCGTTTTCCAGTACTTGCCCAGTGTTTGGTACAGCATATGATAAGGTGCTTTGACAAGCATCCGCATTTGCACACAATGGCAAATCCTATCCAGATTTTGAGTTGAACGTGAAACCCCAGGCTTAGCTTGCTGCGAGCCGTTGAAGCCGATGACATGGCAGCGACAAAGAATCCAGCGATAACGTGGGAAATTCCCGTGTATGGACTTGACTTCGAGCGTATCTTCCGATGTTCTCTCGACCTACGCGGAAGGTGAACGTACCTAGCCACGGGCATCAAACAGCAATGATTGATAAGCACTGAACCTTGGGTCTCCATTACTGGCTTCGCAGCGGCCACCTGTCTTCTCCCATTCGTCATAGCTTGAAATTTTCATCTGCACGGCCTTAACATGGTGGGCCTTTCTCTGTCATCGTGCGGCTGAATACATTCTGTAGATTACACGCCACTCCTTCGTACCATGGGGTATTCGGTATCTCTCGATTGGCGTCCACTAGGCATGCCTGCTACCTCCGACCTTCCGTCCGGACTCTCCGCTGCCGCTAGACTTAGAACTGATGAACTTTCGGGAAGAATAGTTCCATGGAGCGCAGCCTTTCATTCGCGCAACCCGCCATCCGTAATCGTGAGAGGCGAAGCAGAGAACCCTATGGCACCGAGGCCAGCGTGGTTACCCACCGATCGCCTATGTAACACGTCTTGCTCTCGCAATCTAGATCTCTCACACACGGAATCCCCTGTTCCTTTTTGGATCTCGGCTGGCCAGATTGTCATCCTTTGCGGATCTGTCGAACTACACGATACTCCACGCGGTCCGAGGTTCCTACGCACTGGAAACGTTCGAAGGGAATGTTTTGGCCACTAAGCTTGAAGGGGGCACATCTGCTGCCCGTGTCGCTCGTCTCGGTATCTCCGCAGAAACGGGCAGATGCCGATGGCTCCCTGGTTCGACTCTCACTATCGGAATATTCCCCACGATAGCCCATTATTCGGCGGAGATCAATACAAGTTGTCCTTCCTCGCTCTTCACGAGCAATACTTTTGGACACCAATCAAGTGCCAGCAAGAGTGGTCCCAATAGCGGTGCGTTTTGTTCCCCGTCGAGCCGCGCGCTGTTTAGGTGCCCCTTGCCCCTTCGGGCTTTCTGGCGCCAGCGCACCATCAACATGCCCAACATACGTCCCGCTTGACTCACGGTGAGCGTGTACTGCACACTCAATGGTTGAATCATGTTGTCATGCTACGCCGATCAGCTTCTCAGCTACTTTATGAACTCTCGCATTTCCGGCCAGGAACAATATTGATTATTTGGGGCTCTGTGGTGTCCAATCCTTCCATTCACAGGAACTTCCCCAATGACTCGCATTGGCCGTCTGCGACCTCATCTGTCGAGGCTGTTCGACAATGGATATCCGCCATTTCCATTCTCACAGGGAAAAATTAGCTGGGGCATCGCCGCTCACATCGACCGATACAAGCACTGGAACGGTCCTCCGGGTACTTGATTAAACGGAGCACGGATATCCCAATTCGAGATTCTGAACCACGCCAAACCCAATCCGTCGCCTGCGAGTGCGCGTCCTCGGTACCCTCGGGCGACTGGCTGAACTCTCCGTCCGAATTCGCCGACAACACCCAGTCTCGCTGCCAAACCACCCGGGCGTGCTTCTTCTCAGGCTGGTAACGAGTCTGATAACTCGAGGCTGGACAACACCATGTCTCCATACATCCCGACAGTGAACCATCCCGACTCCACGCGCGGTATACCTCTAGAACACCGAGGTGAATATTCCCAGCGTGCATGCAACCGCCGGCGCAGACGCCGTTCGGGTGAACGTCAGTGCAGCCCGCGTGCTCAAACCACCGCAGCGTTCCAAACCCGTCGCGATCGATGCCGGGTATGAACTCAGGGCGATATAGGCTGCATGAGAGGTGATTCATTGTACAAATTACACAAGTAAATACTATTGCTACATATGGGACCATCATAACCCAGAAGACTTCATCGCGAAACGCGCCTCTGCAAGAGGCAACTCGAAGGCCCTGTCATACCGGAAACGAGAGCAGCGGAGGGGGGTGAAAATACCGAATGACAAGAGAGATTCTCAAAACTGCGTGCGCGGCCGTTTTCCATCGCCGACCATGTCCATCAGGTCTCCTCCTCCGCCGTCGCCCACGAAGGCGTCGGGCGAGCCCGCGCGTTTGCGTTTGCCGCCGCCGCTGTTCGCGTTCGCGAGCCAAAACGGCGCGGCCGGCGCGAGAAAATAGCGCTGGATCGGCGCCTCGCCAAACTTGTTCGCGTTGAGCAGCTGCGAGAGCGGGAACTGCGCCGCGGACGGGAACGACGGGGTCGCGTACGACGCCGAGGTCTGCGGGTCGAAGGATGGCATGAGCGGCTGCGTCGGGCTCTCCGGGTTGGACCGTACGAGGAGGTCGAGGGGAAGAGCGTTGACCCCACTGGTCTGGGACGAGGGCGACCCCGTCGCGCCGGCGGAGTTGTGTTTTCCCTTCTGTAGAAAAGTTCTGGGCATCAGCGGGTGTTCCGGACACGGGGGGCAAAGGCGCGAAGGAGAACAAAAATGGGGATGGGAGAATAGAACAGGTGCATGGAAAGCAACGGCGCTAAAAGTGGGCGTATGACGTGAAGGGGAAGGATCTCACTGATTGTAGCTCAGGCTTGCCCCTCCACTTGGCGACCGCTTCACAAAACCGAAGCGCGGCGCGCTCGACTGCCTCCGCCGGGTAGAGCGCAGATAAATGCAGCAGGTGTGACAGAAGGTCGGTGGTCGAGGCCGGGATCGACAGGAACTAATCAACGCAATGAACCCAATCAGCACGTGTGTGGACGGGGACGGGCTCTCATTTCCGACAACTACGCCAACGCCCCCAAACCGACCAGCCCCAGGCATCGGACATGGCCGGAAAGAGGAAAGCGCGACGCAGCACGCGTAGCGGGGAACGAGAACCAAGGAAAGACGCTCTCACCTTGCGCAGCCTGTCCCGCATCTCGCGCCTGAACTCGGCCTCGGCGTCGTCGACGACCCCGCCGTCCAGTGCACCGCTTGAGAACAGTATTCCCGCCGCCTCTTGCAGCCCGGGCAGCTCGTCCGGGTCGAACCACGCGAACTCGTCCGCATCCTCGGGCTGCTCCCGTCTTCCGCCGAACAAAGCATCGGGGCTCACGCCCATTCCGCCGACGCCGATCCCAAACAATACCTCCGCCGCGAACGCGCCACGCCAAGCGCCGCTCGCGTACCCTTCCAACGCCGCGCGCGTCGCAAGCCCGACGAAGAGCATGTACCAGTCCCGTGAGGGCCGGTATGGCGTCGCCTCCCCCGACGAAAGCGGACCGCGCGAAGGCATCGGCATCGTCGAGGTGGCAGACTCGCCGCCGGTAGGCGTGGGAGAGCGTCCCGGTTCGCTGGCGGTGTACGACGCGGTGCCGTCGCGCGCCTCGCGGCCGAGTTCCATGGCACAAAGCGCGGAAAGCCGCAAGAACCTAGGGAGCATGTTCGCCAACCGGGTGCTACCCTGGAAAGCCTGTTGCTGCTGTTGCAGCACCTGGGGCCGGCCGATCGCGAGCGGGCGTGGGAGCGCGGTCGAGCGGCGGAGGACGCTGCCCCTCGCTCCGGGCTTGGAGAGGCCAGAGCCGATACCGCCTCGACGCGGGCGTCCGGAGGGCTCGAGGCATACGAGGCAGCCGGAGGCGAGGTGGCGGGCGCAGCGCGGTCTGAGGGACGCGCGCGGGGGCGAGGCGAGCGCGGTGGGCGTGAGCGTGGGCATGGAAGACGCGGCAGGGACGCCGCCGGCGTAGAGGTGGGAGGAGTGCGGGTCAAGCGGCGCGTTCGGCGTGAGCTGGTGCGCGGGCGTGTACTGGGCGAAGGGCGCTGCGCAGTTGGAGACGGGGATCAGCGGGAGGAGAGAGGGGTGGATTTCGGTTGTGGCGGCGGCGGCAGTTGGGGAGCTGGTTGTGGCGGTCGAGCTTCCGGAAGCAGTCACGGCCGCTGATTCGCGCGCGAAGAGGTCGTTGATGATCGTGCCCAGGGCCAGACGCAGCCTCACACCGTCCGGAAGCGTGTGCGGGTGCGCGTGGAGGGGATTTCGCCTGCTAGACTGTTTTGGGGACGCGGGAGGCGTGATATAATCCGCTTCATTGGGGTGCGATGGCCTCAGTTCTGGCGGCTGGTCCAGCATGGACGTGATAACTTTTTCCAGGCCTTCTGCGCGTACCCTGAGAGCGCGCGCCAAAGGTAGGTCCTGGCGGCTGCTCCAGCGGTCATCCCCGGACGACTGCAAGCCGCCGACGTGGTGCCCACCGCAGAGCACGTCGACGTCCTCGCCCTCGCTGTCGATGTCGTCGTCTTCGTCGTAGTTTTCTGGACGCTCGCGCTGGACGTAGTGGGTGGAGATCGGACCGCCGGTTCGATCGGTCATGCCGAGTTCGGCACGCGCCTGTGCGAAGCGCGTCCGGCCGTGGATCCATGACATGTGGTCGATGATGAGCGTCCGGGTGGATTTCTCCCTGGGCGGTATGGAATGGAGATGGTGTGCATGCTTGTGGGCGGGGGCTTTGAAAGTGCCCGCGGTGCGTGGAATCCGGGCCGAGGGATCGGCTGGAGGGGAGGCAAGGGGAAAGGAGGGGCGTTGGCGGACGTTGGGTGGGTAGTCAATCGGGGACGTCTGGGGCATGAGGATGTAGCCTGGGCCGGACATTGTACGTGATTTCGACGACGATCTGTCGATGCGGGGCGCGTCGGTGCATGACCGGAGGGTGAATAGCACGGGAGATGACGTACGGCAGAAATCACTCGCTTGTTGCTGAATGGATCGCCTTACGGGCGCTCTATGCCTGCGCGAGTCTCTGTCCAAGTTCGTGTGCAAAATATTCACTGCGGCGGGAACTTAGGGGGGACGTCTCGGCTTAGGGGAACGCGTCACGCACGGATCCGGCTGGTGCGTGGAACGGATGGATCGTCTCAGGCGGCGTGTGTAGCGGGGCCAGCGAGCTCGGCGCCGCTGGCCTCGTTGTCGACGCGGTTTCTTCCGTCAGCCGCCACTGCCTCGCCTTGCGTACGCTCCCGAGGGCTTTCGAGGTCGCAGAGGTTCGCCGGACGAGTTCAGAACAGACCCAGGGAAGTTCATCTCACCCAAGTCCGTCCACGGGTCCGTGCGTGCCATGCTCTCCGACATCTTCCGCCCCGGCGCCACCGAGATAAGGACAAGCGCCCGCACAGCCATCGCATCAAGGTTTGGTCAAACACTGCCATACCCCCTGTACTCGGCTCTCGTCCTACGCGCGGACGTTCGCGACGTCGACTCACTCCACCATGCTGCAGTCAGCAGCTCTCGCTTTTGACATCATTGGTCTACAATGACCTACGCAAATTGTCAGCGCTACGTCGCAGTCGTTTTTTTCTCTGACCGTCAAAAGCTGTTCAATCGGCTGCGCAAACCCAGGAGCTTGGAACATACAAACGTGACTCAACGCCTACCAAACACGACACTTCTTCTGACTGAATTGCTACATTGTGCTCAACCATCAACGGATGTGGGGAGTAGATCGGTCTACCCGGTGTTCCATGCCCATTCTCCCAGGTAGGTATGTACGATGTCAGCGCGTGTATGCGCATCCCCGCTGTTGATCGCATAAATTAGATGGAGACTACTGCCGATCGTCGACCCGCATCGCCGAACAGGTCCATTTAGTCAACGCAATATCAGACTCGGACGCGGTGCACGAGAACCCCGCACGAATCACTACTGCAAAGTAGCGCATACATGCTGCTTTCATATGCCTTCTTCATCAAACAATCTCCGTCCTGAATCTTCCATGCTCCGATGGTTGCTTCCTGGTCGTGAGGCACGTCGCAACCTCCGCCTTATGGCATTGTTTGGTGATGTATCGACCAGGATAAGTAGGATAGACCAGCGCATGCTGCTCCGTGGGCCAAAACAACGTTGACATCTTTACCGGAACGCGCTACGCAGCACGTCCCACACTAGGATGCCGTAGGCCATAGCTCAAGGTAGTACGTGTCGACGTGCGTCAGATAAGAAAGTCGCCTTCAACCAACGGCCCGAAAAATCTCGACTTTGTGCATATGTTTCTCGCCCTTCCGAGTTCGGGTGCGAGGTGATCGGTATATGCTATTTTCTGGTCCATTGGAAGTCGGGAACAACTTGAACCTTGTTAGACTCTGATTTTTTTGATAGGTAACCCCATCCAGAGAATTCGGGGCGCCACAGAAGTCTGCGCGGCATGCACGGCGGACACGAGCGATCAAGACGCAGTCGAAGAAAATTTTACCATTGAGACGTACATTCAACCTTTCACCGAACCGGTGGACTAACGCATCGGAGCTTTCTGCTACGCAAAGGCCGATGTCAGCAGTTATTGTCGTCGGCTCGGAAAATTCGGATGATGGTCTCGTCATCCGCGGTTACGCTGACATCGCACCACGTGGGCGTTCACAAAACGGCGGGTACTCGCTGGCACAGTGCCGCACCCGTGCAAGTCGAAACGAAGCCTAGCACACTCCGCGCTTCCCGGATATTCTCTGAGGCACCCATGCCATAACGCGAAGCATCCGTATACCGGTGATCACGCACAAAGGCGGTATGCCATACCTCAAAAAATGCATGCGATACATCCATGCGAGGTTCTACCTCGGACATTAAGTTACTAGAACCTCCCTTCCTCCGAATCTCAATAGAAACCACTATCTGCAAGGCAATCTCACCAAAATCGGGGAGTGTCATTCCCTTGAAACCGCCCCATGTGGTCTCCTCGATGGCGCCCCGTGTCGGGACCTAACAGTTTCTAGAAAGAAACTGGCAGGATTGGACAGCCGCCGCGAACGTCGACCAGGATGCCTATCCCCCCGATCCACAACAACACCTATCAGCACACGACGTCTAGCCGCATATGTTCCCTCGAATCATACAATAGTACCTCAAACACCACGTTACGGCACGGCCGTTCCTCCGTTGCGATAATATCCACTCTCCGCAGACAATCTCACCAAGTCTGGATCGTGACATTCCTTCATGTTCGGAGTCCACTCAATGCAATCAGTGTCTCGATCCCCCCGAGGATCGATCGCAACGGATCCCTAGGACGTTGGATGTCCCGAAAGCAGCTCCAGAATCTCGGGATGGGCGCGGTTTCGCAAAGCTTGCATATGCGGCGTTTGACCGTGTAGGTCCCGGGCAGTCAGACTAGCCCGGTGCCGCACCAGTTCTCCCACTATCTCCACGTCGTTCTTCGCGATGGCATAGTGCAACGGCGCCTGGTTGAACTCGTCGAGCGCATTCGGGTCAGCGTCCGCTTCTAGCAAGGCCGCGACCACGTCTGAGTCGCAGCCCGAGCGCTCCATGACGGCGTAGTGCAGCGGCGTCCGCTTTCTCTTGTCGACGACTGTGGGGCTAGCTCCTGCCTGTAACAGAGCCTGGACGACCGTGACATCAGGAATAGCCCCCGACACGGCGATGTGCAGCGCGGAGACGCATTTATCCCCCTTGGGTGTATCGGCGAAAAACGAGTCGGGGAGCCCGTAGGCAGTCTTCAGGCACAGATAACATGCATGATCGTCTAACAGGGGAAGGGCGGTGTTCGCATCGCCAGCTACCAGTGGCCAGTTAGGAGTTTTCTCCCAGTACGCGCCTTTCCACAAACGAGAAAGCTCTCGCATCGCATTGCGTATCCGTTTCTTATATTCCGTCCGCATGCGAGTTGCAGGCGGCAGCAGTAGAGGATACGCCCATGATAGAAGCGCGAATGTGGTGGCGTCGGTGGGTGGATGAATGTAGTAGGAGAGCATGATGACCGTGATGCAGGATTCCGCGAGTATGACTAGATGGTCCAATGCAGGATGGAAGTGGTACGCAGCGACAGTGCCCGAATATCCGTCCGGATGCGAAGAGAGAAACTCCATGACCGAGAAATGGCATACTCGTGGGATGTGACCGTCTCCATCCTCGGGCGCGTAGTCGACAAGGTTGTAACAGTCTCTGATCACCGAGTCCGGGTCCGGAACTTTGCTCGAGTCCCAGCCCGCCGTCATGCTCGGGGCGGCCACCATGCCGCCCAGAGCACTCTTGTACAAACGGCCCGGCGCACAGACAACCCATCTGAGAAGAGACTTAACTCGTTCGCGCCTCTCCGAAGGAAGCTGGTCGATTTTGCGTAGTATCTGCGCGTAGGTTTCTTCGAGACCATGAGGTAGGTTTCGAACAGCCTTACGAACGGCATCTTCGGTGCGTTCCTGGCATACGTCTCGCAGCTGAAGGGACGCCCAAAGAAACCTGACTTATGTGAGCAGAGAACCGACTTGTCGCGATATAGTGGAGACTTACATTCCGTCCGCTTTGTCTACTATGCCTCGCAGCAGCTCGGACTTGGTGCTCTCCTCCAACTTGATTAGCTTCTGGGTTTCGATGGATCGTTCTATGCTTCGACGGATATACCGCTCGATATCTGGGGTCACTGCGGACGGTTGAACTTGATAATGCGTCGCAGTGGATAGGACTTCGGACTGGCCGAGATGTTCTTCAAACCTACTGAAGATCAGAAGCCGATACTTGGCTTGTAGTGCAACGAGTGCAGAAAGTAGCGTTTCCCGGTCTTCCGTGAGGCATTCGTCGAGTCCATCGATGATCATGAAAGACGGACTGTCGTGTGTCTGCGCGGCTTCGCACAGCACGTCTCTCACAGCCGCCAAGCTGATGTGTGCCGCACTGTATCGTCCGTCATCCACAACCCGAGCCCATACCGGCGCGGAGGGGGGTCGCAGCGAGAGCACTTGACTTGCCATTGTATGCAACATGGTTGTTGAATCTCGGCGATCTACGGAGCGGAAACTGCAATAGAAGAAAGCCGTCGCGGCTTCAGGGAATTCGCGTCGTAGATGGCTGATGACCACAGATCTGAGCGTACATTAGACCAAAGAACTGTATGGAGGCAACAAGCACGCACGCTAAGACAGTCTTTCCACACCCAGCTGTACCAATGTCAGTCTGGCGCGCACTCAAAAAAGCGCCAGAGCTCACGTTTTCCATAGCACCATAAACTTTGAACATCACCTCTCATCCACTTGGAGAAAGATTCAGTCTGGAGAAACCAGGTCCCAGAATCATCCGCGGCCACGGCATTGATTTTGTCATGCTCGTCTTCCATCGGGACTGTTTTGAGACGAGCGAGGAGGGAATCTATATATATATATTCGACGGAGCCTTAAGCGTCATGCTGCATGAGATCAAGCTGACGATTACCTCTGCAAGTTCTTCGTTTATCTTCCTCTCGCCGCCTCTCTTCTTCTTGTTCCCTTTGTTTCCGCCTCGCTTCCTTCTCGGCCCGCTCCTTGATACGAAGTTCTGCCGCCTCTGCTACTTGCCTCTTCCTCTGCTCTTCTCTCTCCCGTTCCTCTTGGATGCGTCTACGCTCGCGCTCTGCTGCCTCTTGTGCAAGTTCCTGTCTCCTCTTCTCTCTCTCCCGTTCCTCTTGGGCACGGCGATCTGCCGCTTCCTGTTCGAGTCGCCTCTGTCGCATGAGGTCTGCATGCTGGCGCGCTCCTTTGAGTATCTGGAAATGCTGGCCGTATGTCTTGATACATTCATCCACCTTTCCATTGAAGGCGCTCCGATAGAGGAGACAGATGCGGTCTGCCGGATCCACATCAGCACGCGCTCGATTGAATGCGAAGTTGAACCCTACGCCGAGGTTTCCCGTGCTTGTTGAAAAACATGCGACGAACCGTCAAGCATAGTTGGAAGATATCGAAGTAAATCTGTGTGAGCGCCTGCAGCACGGGATAATCAATAAGTGCGATTCGTAATGATATTTTGCGTACAGACCTTGGATACATGTTCGTCGTCTGAATACAGCCTCGCATAATCTCCGAAATATCGCATACGATGGCTCAGTTGTTCCAGTGCATCGGTGACCTTCTCAAACAAGCTCACAGCCTTTTGAGCTAGCTAAAGCAGCAATGATGGGCGCGGAGAAACCGTATGACGAGGATGAGGCCTACGTTGATCAGAAGCTTGACCGCTCCCAATACCACTTTCACCCCAGGAGAATGTACCACGGAGACGAAAGGATCAATGCTGGAGACGATATTTGCAAGCTTGTCGAGACAATCTCGAGATTTTGGGGGTCGTGAAACTTTTTTCATCTCGTTGATGTCGGAAATCAATGTATCTGTATTTGCATCCAGCTGGTGAAGGAGGTGTCGTTCATTATCTGATAGATCGATAGACTCGTTTAGCTGATCGAATGCAGCTTGTAGAAGGGGCTCCGATACAGGCGACGAGTGGGCCATGCCAGACGGATCCAAGAGCTTGTGGCCGGATCGCGAGTCCTCCACTGAGTGATTTATTGACTTATCCGCCTTTCGCCCCGGGCGCGGGTGGAGGTATGACACGAGGATAGTGCCAGTAAGTATGCACGCCCGAGAAACGAGTCTATCTCGTGGTTCTTCCTGAAATTTGATATCCTATCCAATAGCAAGGTCTTCCCAATACAGCTGCGCTGAGCCGTTGATACCATTCCAATTCCTTCCGCGTGTTATCTGAGATATTTCATCGACCCCTATCAGACCCGGTAAGCCGATTCTGTCGGAGCCTCCACCAATCCACATGCAGGACATTATTTGGGACATAGCGGGAAATATGACAGAACCTAAACAGCACGGCATACCTTCGTCGATTCGAAGTATCCTAGTGCAGTATTGGGCAGTGCCATCGGCACGTCCGCGGGCGACATGAGGTGACGAGGTGGTCTAGTACGTATGGTGCGGCTCGGGCGTGTAAGATGCAGGCTGAGTAAATGCCATATGGCCCGCAAAACAGAGCACATAGTTCGTGTTATCAGTCGGGTTATCACTGCAGAAAGTCTTGCATCCAGAATTCAATGTAAGGAAAACGAAATGAACTCCGGCCATCCCGAGAAAGTCGGTGAAGATACGTGGGCGTGACACAGCCCCTCAGTCGACGCTCTGACCCCGCAACTTCCGCAGCCTGTTGCAATGCACTCAGCGGACTACGCTGCAACACCGTTCACACTTTTTCCCGTGAACGGCGCAGCCCGGCGTGGGCTGGAATCGCTGCCAGACGGCAGCATTGCGCCGCAGCCCGTGCTTCGACGTCTCGCCGAGCCTGATCTACTGGTGTATATGAACCCGCAACGCGATGTGCATGCGGCATAGCGGGCTGATACTATCTTCGGATTCCACAACATGCCAGCATCCATCGAGGACCTTCCGACTGAATTGCTGTTCAAGATCACAGTCAACGTAGACAAACGCCGTGACCTGGCAGCGTTGGCAGCAACCTGCCGAGCATGCTACGCCTTCTGTTCTGCGCCCGAGGTTCAATACCGAAGCATATATGCGCGGTCTGTGGATGTCACACTTTTGTGGCGCTTCCTTGCGGCGAACCCGTCCCGTGCGAGCGAGGTACGCCTGCTCTCAATCGGCGCTCGGACTCCCAAGGATCACATCCCGCGAGGTTTCCGGGAAGAGAAGCGTGGTCACCTGGAGGAGGCGGAATTCGCGCTGTGTGATGCGCTCAAGATGATGAAAAACCTCACGTCATTTACCTGGGAGAGCGGATGGAAACGCCAGGGGCGTTCGCCCTGCACAGGCAATCGTATCTGGGATACCCTCCGCATGTCATGCCCGACCTTGCACACGCTCATTGTGGAGGATCAACCGGCGCCAGGGATTTCGTCTATGTTTACCAGCAGTGTATGTCGGGCTACCTTCTGTCATTATGAGCACGTCGATTCACATGCCCCCCAGTTATTCCTTCTCTCGCATCTCCGATATTGCAGTATCACCATCGCCTCGCCCTTTCCGTCCCGCTACCTCGTCAAAGAACGCCTCCGCATGCTCCTCGAACGTTGCACGGATCTCTGCGTCCTGCGGATCACGCACGTTGTGCCCAGCATCGTGCCCTTATCGGAGATCGCCATCGATCTGTGTGCCCCGCACCTGCACACCCTCGCCGTCATCCACCAGCCCCCAGGTGCACCTTCAACACTATGCGATCATTTGGAATTTATCGGCAGCGGTTATCGACGTCCTATTCCCCTGGACGTACCCACGTGGCAGCGCGGAAGGAGCAATCGCTTGCCTCGCCCTCAAGCTTCCGCAATGGATTGCCCATTTCCGAGCTTGCGGACCCTCATCATCAACTCCGGATCGTTCTCCGCCCTCCCTGAGGTCGTGCAAATGAGAGCACCTCTTCCAGAAATTCGCGGCCTGCCCGTCCACCTTGTGGGTCGCTTCGCGCACGTGAAGATTGAGATTGAGGCCTTGAGACCTACGCTACGCAAGATTGTGTTTGGAGACGTGCCTTCCAGCGAATCGGCGCAAACGGAGGCGAAGGTTTACGAGGGCTGGATCAAGAAGACTCTCCCGAACGTGGAACTTTCACATTCGAAACAGGGCTAAGTATGGTGGGCGTCCCGTCATGCATTCGTACCCGCTATCAATATACGAGATACAAAATGAGGCGAGTACTATTCACCTGCACATCTTGTTACAGCTACGTGCTTACGCTACATCAGACGAATCCGATTGGCCGATACCTTCGAGTGCTCCCGGCATCATCCCGCTCCTCACTCGAAGACGGGGTTGTAGCAGCCGCAGGATGTCGGTGTGCGCCCCGATCTCCACCGCCTGCTGGTAAGGAGTCTGGCCGTAGATGTCCGCTACTCCCTTGCTAGCGTGATACCGAAGCAATGCCCTAACTACCTCCACGTCGTTCTTAGCGACGGCGTAGTGAAGCGCCGTGCATCCGAATTCGTCACGCTGGTTGGGATTCGAGTGTGCACCGAGGAGCGCCTTGATGACGTCCGCATCGCAATTCGAGGAGCGCATCGTTGCATAGTGAAGGGCCGTCCGCTGTTTCTTGTCCATCATATTGGGATTCAGCCCGGCTTTCAGTAATGCTTGTATGGTGTCAAGTTGTGGTGACGACATCGAGACAGCAATATGCAGCGCGATGACACACTTCTCAGCCTTCGAGGATGAGAGAGACCCTGGGAGGCCGTATGCAAGAGATAAACAGAAGTAGCACGCGTGATCGACGAGGTTCTCTGGATGCAGTGATCCGGTACCAGACCAATTCGGGGTGTATGGCCAATACGTTGCCCTCCAGTGCGATGAAAGCGCCCGTATAATCCCGCATAATTGCCTCCTCGAATCCGCAGGCATCGGAGCCGTGGTCGCGAGCGCGACAACAGGATGTGCCCATGAACGAAGGGCGAACAGTGCTGCTTCATTGTGCGCGTTCGTCAACCGAGAAAGTCTGATTACGGTAACACATGACTTGGCGAGTTGTATGAGATGGGCTGAACCTGGATAGAGATGAAACGTCGGGATCGTCCTAGGGAAGCCATCAGGATTGGAGGCGAGAAACTCCAGTGCCGTGAAGTGGCAGACTTGGGGAACGCTGGCATCTGCGACTTCGGAAGAACACTCCACGAGGCTATAGCAGTCCTGGATGACCGAATCGGGATCAGGGATCTTGCGTGGGTCCCATTGATCTGCCATGGCCGGAACAGCGACCATGGCACCGACGGCTCCCTTCTTGAGGATCCCGGGAACGCACACGATCCATCGGAGAAGTACTTTGACTCGTTCTCGTCGACTTTGGGGGAGTTTGTCAATTTTGTGGAGTATCCTCGCATATGTCTCTTCCAAACCGCGGGGCAGAGTACGCACGGCCTCGCGGACGTCGTCCTCGGTACGCTCCTCGCAGATGCCTTGTATTTGGAGTGCGACCCAAAGAAACCTGGAGATTACGTTGAATGAGACCTTTCATCTCGTAACAAGAATGCAAGCGTACATTCCATCGGCTTTACCCACTAAAGCGTGAACCATGTCTGATCTGACATCATCACTGAGCGGAATCATCCGCTGGTACTCGATGTGCTGGTTGACGCTTCGCGCAACATAGTCTTCGATATCTTGGGCAACCATAGCAGGTTGGATTTGGAGATGCGTGGCGTCACATAGGGCTCTTGATCGACGCAATTCCTCTTCATATCTACTGACGACGAGGAGCCGAAACTGCTTGCCAAGGAGAGTGAGCGAGGAGAGCAGTATTTTCCGATCATCTTCAGCGCATTCGTCTATACCATCGATGATCATGTAGCGAGGCGCGTCTCCGCCAGTGGAAGCTTCCACGAGCAGATGTTGTACAGATGCTAGACTGATTGTAGAGGCATGGCGAGGCTCCCCGATTATCGTGGTCCAAATTGGTGCGGATAATGGCGTCTGTAGCAGAACTTGGTGCAGAAGCGTATGTAACACTATCTCGGAGTCGCGCCGCGTTTCCGAACGAAAGCTACAGTAGAAGAAGGCAATTCCGGAGCCGGGATGATCTCGGCGAAGGCGGTTGATAATAACAGATCTACGGAAGGTGAACATTCCTGATTTATGAGCAAGATCGGGCTGGTCACGTACGTCAAAACACTCTTCCCGCAGCCGGCTGGTAGAACGTGAGCACGACGCGAACCCTTCTGTATATATGCATATCTCACGTTTGCCGTAACACCAGAGGGTTCTCTCGGAGTTTCCGTTGGCCCAGTCCGAATATTCCTTGCTCTGTAGAAACCAAGACCCAGAAGATGGAGTGGTGACCAGGTTCATTCTATGATGATCGTCATCGGCGGGGACGGCTTTCAGACGAGCCAAGAAAGCGTCTTCGAGATCGGGGATATCAGTATCGCGAGATATCGTCTGCAAGGGTACACATCACCTCGTCCGTTTTTGCGGCTTTCTTCCAATGCAAGACGTCTACGTTCTATCTCGTCCCTTTGTTGCCTCGCTTCCCGTTCTGTCTCTTCCGTTTGTCGTTTTTCGAGAGCCTCCTGATCACGTTGCCGCTGCCTTTCCTCCTCCGCTTCCCTCCGAGCGGCTTCTTCTTCTTTGCGCTTCTTTTCGTGTTCGCGTTGTTGGTCCTGGTTCAATCGATCCACGTGTTCAACCTCAATCTTCAGCTCCTGGCCATGCTGGTCGAATTGCTTGACACAATCATCCATCTCAGGATTTAATGCATTTCGGACGAGAATGCACAATACGTCTATGATAGATCAGCTCACGGCGTACGACGACGGCGAGCATGGTCTCACTTCGATTCTTTCCTTTTTTAGTCACGAAAATGCGACGAACGGTGATACATAGACGGAAAACGTCGACATAAACATCAACGAGTGCCTGTAGCAGAGTACAAGATCATGCAATTGAAGAAGAGAGAACAGTGCAAGAAGTACAAACCTCGCGCACGTGGGTGTTCCCCGAGTAAATCTTGACGTAGTCACTGATATGTCGCATGCGACGACTGACGTGCGCGAGGGCGGTGGTGACTTTCTCGAAGGATCCCACGAGCTTCTGTGCTAGCTAAAGCAACGTCCACTGTCAGGATCATTTGACAGAGAGATGGTTGCAGAACGAACATTAATGGTAAGCTTGATCGCGCCCCATGCCAACGCAATCCCTCCAGAGCTTGGCACGAAGGTATCTATCGTGGAGATGCACGACTGCACAACGTTGATGGCATTCCGGAGTACTATCAAACATTTCTGCTTCCTCGATGAACGCAAGCGTTGCTCCAGATCCTTGATTTCATGCGACAGCGCCTGCGGATCCCCCTGCAGATTACACAGTAGGTGTCTTTCAGGGGAGGAGAGACCATGGAAATCCTCCAGCTTTCCCAGAGCATCTTGCAAGAGAGAACCTGCTGTTGGCAACGAGCCCGTTGTCATTGAGGAGTGGATGAAGGAGTGGCAAGTGGAGCACGCTGCTTGTCGTCCACTATAACGTATCGCCATTGATATTTACTGTTTCCCGGGACATATGATCAGCGCTCCACGAGGAAAACGTGTGTTGTGACTTACGCCAATTCGGTCCCACCAACGTCGGGGAAGCTGCCGAGAAACACCTGTTCGAGACCGAGGAGATGGATTTCGCAGGAAGTCCGCAATATATGCAACGCTCTGTATCAGGTCCGCATCCAATGAACTCGAAGCGGGTGCGGAAGAATCTCGCGGGATGTGACGAAGAAATATATCACACGTCCATCGAGTCGGCGTCGCAGGTCACTTCGAGATGAGGTGTTTGAGCGGGGGGCACCTTAAACTGGCCTGGTCATCTCAGAGTACGTATGAGCATACAGAGCAGACCTACGCATGCATTCCAAAGCTGAAGTTCGATGTCGTCCCAAAGTCTGAAATGTGAACAACTGAATACATGATCGTCAAGTTCGTGATTACGCAAGAATGGCGTCCAAATTCCACGCTGGCTCGGTTCCTCTGGAAATTTGTAACGTTTACACCCGCCATTGCACGGCCACATTCGCAGCGTATTGGGCGCCTAAGTATTTCGGGTAAAGGAAGTTCTGTACGGGCGATCAATCAAGGTCCAAGGTCAAGCAGTTTGACGATATTGTACCTACGGCGGTTCCCAAAGACCAACGAATTAAGTATATTTTGTAGCATGATCGATGCTGCCTTGCAATTGGCGGAATCCACCGCACTCGGATTTATTGCGTTAGTAAACCGCGATGGATTTCATCGCCGACTTGCGTAATAATATGCCCGGAGACGCAATCGCCATTCATTCACCGCCTTGCGGTTGCAGTGAAGCTCCGGAAACTCCTGCAGGCGGACAGCGTGCGAGTGCTGGAGGATGATACAGATAGATCGAACAAGGTATTTGCGCAATGCGCATTGCTCCAATCACCCTGGACTTTCAGTTTCCATTGTGCCTTAAGACAAGTAATTTGCAAATGACGGCATGGTGCATGTACATGTGTAAAACATAATTGTCTTCGACGTTGTATTCGGTCATAATGTATGGGGCATGCCTGCATGTGGTTCTCCTCGGAGCCGGTTTTATGACTAACCGCGCTTCTTCCCGCGCACGTTCTGGCGTCTCAAAGGCGGTGGCGGCGACGTAGACGGGGCCTTGGATGTTGCCAATGGCGCCGTTGGCGGCGTCGGAGGGCTACTCTGGCGCGAGCGAGAGGACGAACCCGAAGAAGCCGGAATGGCCGTCGTTACCGGCATACTTGGCGGCGGAGGCGAGCGACCCCTCCGGAGGTCACCTCTTTGATTAGCAAGGCGCGCTGTGGACGTATTCACTTGCAGATGAGGTGTGGACCTGCCGGAGCGATCAGCGGAGGGAGGACGGGGAGGCGCAGGAGATATTCTGCCGGGAACGTTGAGTCGGGAAGAGGTCGAGGAGAACTGGATGGAAGTAGCGCGAGGAGCCAGTCTCATGTCGTCCTGAACCACGGCGCGCGGATGGACCGTTGATGCGGTATCGCTGGCTCGAGCACCTGAATCTTCAACGTCCTCCCGAACCTTCACGATGCGCGGCATCGGCGCGATCAATTGAGCGATGAAGTCGCCGGCGTTGGTGAGCCCGGTATCTCCGAACTGGTACTTGTAGATGCTCGGAGACCCGAACTTCCAAACACCCTTTAACATCTCTCGGAGCTTCTCGCAGACGTCGGACATGTCCACAACCACGGGCAATTTCTCCGCCAGCATATCGGATGGATCGATGGGTGCGATACCCTCCACTGACTCCGAGCGGATATCAGTAGGCTTCGTCGTGGACGAGTCAACGTGGAGGCCAACGTCGTCTGAAACAATGGAAATGGTCGACTCCCATGATGCCTTCGAGTGAGCCCTAAAGGATATGTGAGGTCGTGCATTGGCGCTTGATCGATCGTTGTGTCTCACCTCCACGTTGCGTTGTCGACATGTCCGAACGCATGCAGCATAGACGTTCCGCGCACTATGATCTCCAGTGCCGACGAGGAACCGGTGGTGACCAACAGCTCATTCCGAGTCATGCCTACATACGAGCAATGTAAGTCGTCACAACAAGGACATATGAACACAATCAGAGCAGCTTACACCTAAGGTTGATCTCTCCCTCGCCAGCGTGACCGCCGGTAAAGCGATCTTCTTGTCGCAGGAGACCATCGTAACTCCATGCATATTTGAGGTATTCAGCTTCCTCCGTGGGATCGGGCATCCACTTCTTCTTGCCCATTCTACCGAGTTTCTCCCAAGTTGTGAGCGGTCCCAACGCCCACTCGTCCACCGAATCTTCTGGGGAAACGGGCACAATGGTTGTCTGAGCGCCGATGCCCTCGAATGCACGAAGGACTATCGGAAGGATGTACGCTTCGCGGAAGACAACGTTGTCGACCATGAGCATGCTGGTGCTGCTTTCGTGCTTGCCGCGCAAGGGCCAAACAGCGACCCAATCTTCGGGTGGATCCGGCATCTGGCGATGACCGCACATGCCAAATACGAGGAGGACGGGACTCTCGTAATCTTCGCCCGAGCAGGTGGAGGCGGTAACGATCTCCGGGGACGTGACGTTGAAGTCGATGCTGGTGATTCCCACTGCCTCAGGATTAGTGAAGATCGGGGTTGAATGAAGGACGTGATGCCCCTCGAGGGCAAGTTGGTGCAAGTACGACCGTATATGCTTCACCGCAGTCTTCAAAGCGAAGGCGCGAGTTCTCGTCGACATATCCGTAGCACCTCTCAAACGGGACAATTCCTCGCAGAACGTAGCGCCTGGACAGGATTGAGTCTATGGCCAGGAACATACGCTGGTATCCACTCACCCTCTAAGTCGAGCAGGAGATGGTGGAAGACGCAATCCTCGTCTTCGCCATAAGACGCGTACAAACTCGAAGACTCGAACCTCTGATTCCAAGCCGTGGATTTATAAAGCTCATCGTGTTGAGCTATCTTGATAGACACCTCAAATGCTAGCTTCCAGCCGCTGCAGTTAGTTGCGGACCTGATCGAGGAAGGTATGAGCGGTGTTATGTAGCACGTGGAAAGGATCACTTACGTGTCGCCGGCATTGAAGAATCCCTCCTTAACCTCCACGATAACGACCGCACGCTTTCCAGACAGCAACTTGACGCGAAGTGGGCGGAAGGAAGCAGAGAAAGTATCATGAGACCATTCGCTCAAAGCCCCTCCGGAGGCGTCCCGACAATGGCGGTAGAATGCGTTGATCGACTTTTCGGTCAACGCGACAGTTTGGTCGTATTCGAGCGTAATATCCGGGATTATGTCTCTGGGAAGCTCTGCGCTCGGTTCTGATGAGGTCGTCTCGTCCGATATGTCGGTGTCAGGCGAGATAGGCTCTTCTTCTTCGTCCTTGGGCGGGGTCGCGTCGAGTGGTATCCTCGGAAAGAGAGCGATGTAATAGTCAACGAGGAAACTGTGGACGCGATCTACGTGCTCCTGATCAAGGCCGTTAGGTTCAGCACCAAATCCTGGATGGGCTCGAGCGGCTAGAGTGACCGGATGAGTCAGAAGCATACAGCAAGAAAAAATGCTTACATTGAGCGTCGACACATAAGTGTGCATCTTCTTCGTTCATGTCCACAATTACAGCGAACTCCCATTGGCCCTGCGAATCTGCCGACCATTCAGCCACAGGTCTCCTGTTTCAAACGACCAGCATTAACGATATAGAGCTGAACGGGGCCAAATCACGCACCCCGAGGCATCCTTGGCCGAGCGCAACACTACTCGCTCCAAGGATAAATTAATGCAGACCTCCTGAGAGCAGATGACGTTGACCGTGGGTGCGCCAAACGTAATATGGATCTGGAAGCCACTGCCCGCGCTGGCCGGGATTTGGTCACTCTTGATCTCCGCGACGATCAGCTCCAGTGGAGTGGCAACTATACGTTCGTACACGCCCTCAAGGTTCTTCACCGCCTTCTCGTGAAGGTTTTGCAAGAAATGATCGATCGTACGAGCGTCAAGGCCGCTGATGGTAAGGTTCGGCGGACAGAATCTCCTGAAAGTGTCGGTGGTGAGGGTTAATGCATGATCGATGTGAGGAGTGTGGCCGCCGATGACAGGAAGGTCATAGATGTCGCAACGGCCTGCGAGGCGAAGGAAGTCGACGTATTGGCGCATGTACATTCCGAATGTTTCTCGGAATTCATCAGAGGGTGTCTGGTGCTCTTGCAATCTGACGGACATGACATCGAGGCCTGGAAACGAGTGAGTGAGCGCCATAAAATCAGCGAGCGAGCGCACTTACTCTCGTGATTGAGCATAACATAGTGCACAAATGAACCGTGACCTATAGGTTCGGTAACGTTCTTCCGTTCAAACGTTATCCGCAGAGCGACCTCCGTTCCGTCCAATTTGACGTTATGTGCCCTAGTTAATCCAACTCGGTGAGCAGTACGACGAGCGTTGATGACTACTCACCTATCGGGAGGATGTGCGGCATCGACCGTGTGGTAGGCCATATTCATATGACCCGTTTGGATCTTGAGGTGCAAGATAGCTTCATGGTTGCAAACAAAATCCAGGGTGGGCTCTGCAAAGGACGCCGCGAAGAGTAAGTCTCGCTTGGACACAGGCCCCTTGACCGATGGGGCGGGCAAGTACCACTCTGCCAAGATACGAACGGATCGGTACTTGACATAGTTAGGAGAGGAGAAGTCGACGACATCGCTCCCTTGGCGATCGCCGTACTCGGCGCATTCCCTCGCGTTCTCCCAGAGAGCGCGGAGTTGTGCAGCGATGAACCGCTTGGACAACGTCGAGCTATTGCCGTGTTGGCACATGTCGACCGGGTTCAGGATGGGCGTAGGCGATAGGAGAGGACAAAAGCTGCTGATTTACGCAGAAATGATGAGCTGGTTATAAGCCAACGTAGGCAATGCTCTCACTGGCAATCCGACGCAATTGGAGCACCACGGGGGAAATGACAAACGCCTTGCTTCAAACACGATGCCTCAGACAGTCCTCGGGAGGCATCTGAGAAACGACGATGCAGCGCAGTCTTCCGGTATGAGGGTTTCCACTCGCTGAATACAATGCACACTGCAGGCAGCCAAAACCTAGATGATGAGAACCAATCAGCGACTATGGAAGTTTATTCAATATGCGTTTCAGAACTACCTCGTTCACTCTGCACCGGAGGGTTGTGATCGGATGGCTGTAACCTCCCTCTGAGCTCAATCACAGCGCACGAAACGCCAACAACCGCGCTGGCAAGATCTGACAGAATGAGTTGAATCCCCGCAGGCATATGTGTGCCAATTTTGATGTCCTCGACTTGTTGGCTCATCTGCAGCGCGGTAGTCGCATTGTTCCTGTTGAAGCAGGAAAGGAGAGTCCATAGTGTGGGGTTGGAAGAAACGACAACCTCGTTCCTCCGACGTTGACGAAGGTTCGACGTTCAGCAAGCTCTGAGGCGCCGGCGAGATGAACTGAGACCAAGAGGCTGTGTACGTGCGTAACGCGACTGTAACGCGCCCCTCCAAGAGAGCCACGAGGCGGCTGACCGGCCCGAATACTGACACCTTCCAAGCTCCTTCAAGCTTCAAGGTTCATCTACATCTCGATCCCGTACGCTCAGTTTCTACTTGCCTTTTGATGCTTAGACCTACGAAAACTGAGTCTTATTGGTACTGCACCTCAGCGAGGAGAGGACCGAGTAACCTGGAATTACCTGGCAATATTCGCTGTACGCTCTTGCGCGTGACAGGGCAAGCCGTTCAGGCTGGATTCTGTGCTTATCATGCCTCACCGCGGCTGCATGTAGCATACAGCTGCAGTTGGTATGAGAGCTGTCAACTCGGAAGTGGACGTGGACGGTGAATGAGCGTGGCTGTACAATGGCATGCGCCCGGTATGCTGAAGCCGAGCATCCGGGTGTTCCTTCGATATCACGGACTTGGTTGTCCTCCGACGTCTCCAGCTCTGTGTTTTTAGCTTGCAGCACCTACGACGCTTGATCATGAAGATCGAGGAGGGATTCAAACAGGTCTGTTTCCCACTTCTATCTCGTGTCGCAGTCGCGCAATCAGCGCCACATCGCAGGCTGTCCCATCTCACGGCATCAATATGTACGACCGGCGGAGCTGAATTGTTTTACTATCGCAGCCCGAGCAGCCCACGGAGCACCCTTTCGTGCAAGATCCCGTCCTCCCTGCACTTGTTCAGCGGCTTTTCCCGGATGAACAGTAAGCGACCCTTCACTGAAACTGTTTGTCCCGATGATCGATGACTGCCGCCTCTCCGCAGGAAGTCGGAAGTTGGTCGAGCCCTCGCCAACTTAGGCGACCATCTCGTTGCGGACGTTCGCCCCTTGACACCCCTCGTTCATGCCCCAGTATTGGTGCAGTATGATGCGTGGGGTCGTCGTGTCGATGAGCTTCGAGCCTCAGAAGGCTGGAAGCTGCTGAAACAGCGCGCAATAGCTGCTGGACACATGAAAGAAGCGTATTCAAGAGACTCGGGAGAATACTCCCGTATACGGATGTTCATGAAACTCATGATGTCTGCAGGGGACTACAACGTTGTAAGTGGCTCGAGTAAGTAGTTTGTCATTCAAGGTTCACGGCCCTCATTCCAGGTGTTATGCCCATTTGCGATGACGGACGGCGCTGCTCGCGGTGAGTGTTTGATAAGCTGACACGCGCTATTGGACCGTTAGGCCAGTGGGGTCGTCGTACTTCAGCCCGCCCCTCAGATGCGCTCTGCTTGTAGCGATTGCTACTGGCACTGCCAACTGCCGTTTATCCTTCCGCCGAGCGCATTTCGCGAACGCTCGGGCGGATCTCGCATTTCCACGTCTACCCTGCACGTTAGAATCCGCAGTGCGAGACACATAGCACGATGCGACGGCGTGTTCCGAGTGCTGCACTAAGGGCGTCTTTAAGCGCCCAAATGCTCCAATACTTCAGAGTATCGGAGATGGTCAATTCGGGACAATCCCTGTCCCTCTTTCCCTCGTGCCTAGCCTCCCGATCTTTTCGCATGTGCCCGGAGTTACTGAAATGGTGCTTATGTTACACAGTGATAGAACTGTATGGCTCTCCCGAGATGAAACGAGTTCTGTTCCCCTGCCTTATCAGGTGAGCAGCACTGCCCATCCGCGTCATGCGCACGGGGTTCTGTTTCCTTGTCCCCCTTCAACATTTCCCCACACCACTCCGTGTCAACGTGCATCTTCATACGTATCGCGGGAGGCTTAATCTGAACTTTGCAGCGATGACCCGGAGAGAGCCTATCTTTCAGGGCAGTGGATGACAGAGGTGTGTAACCACGTTGTGCTCCCGCCTCCCGTCTCGCATGAGTTGTTCATGGGCAGCACACACCTGGGCATACTTACCGACATGTCCATTGGTTGGCAGCGGCCCGGAGGCTCCGACGTATCACAAACAGAGACGGTGGCGATTCCAACCTCACGCGTATCATCTGATCTCGGTGAGCCTTACATCTTGAATGGTTTCAAGTGGTATGTCGTATATCATGCCGCACACGCGAAGCGTGGATATCTCAATGCCTGGGGCATGTAGGTTCTCCAGTGCCGCAGAAGGCCATATGACCATCGCTCTGGCTCGTACCGGAGATTCGGCACTTGGCGCTCGTTCGCTGTCAGCTTTCGTCATTCCTCTGCGAACAGCAGACTTCCCTTCTCCCCTATCGAACGGTATTCGAATGCATCGCCTCAAGAATAAATCCGGAACGCACGGTCTTCCGACTGCAGAGCTCGAGCTTAACGGCACTCGGGGATGGTTGATCGGTCCCCTGAACGGAGGGATCAAGACGATTTCGACTATGCTGAACATCACGAGAGTATACTCCGCCATCACTTCTGTCGGCGCATTGCAGCGGGCGTTGTCGATCGCCCGCTCGTATGCAACCGTGCGGACGATTTATTCCCCCGGGATTCCGGGAGCCAAGGATGCCCTTCTCAAGGACCTTCCCATCCACACCGCCACGCTTGCGAAGATCAGCCTACTCTACCGTGCCTTGGCACACTTGACGTTCGGTGTAGTACAGCTTCTTGGTAAAAATGAAGCGGGGACGGCCACAGCAGGTGAGATGGGCCGCTTGAGGCTCCTCACCCCTGTCATCAAGGCCTGGGCTGCGGACAAGTGTCCAGAAGCTATGATGGAATGTATGTGCGCATTGGGTGGACAAGGTTATATGGAAGAAGTGGGGATCGGGCGGTGCGTACTGTCCCTAAATCAAGGGATTCCGCTCATTATGCGTGCAGGCTGATCCGTGACGCGATGGTGGAGAAAATATGGGAAGGGACCATCAATGTCCTGTCTTTGGATCTACTCCGCGCTAGCAAGGATGCTTCCGCGGTCCGGAGCTATATCCAGGTTGGTGTATCATCTCGATATAACGTCTTCCCGCTGTTCTCTGAGTTCCTCGCAGTGGGCAGAATTACTTCTCTCGCAGGTGCCTTCTGCGCTTGACAGCGCCTTGTCTGATGTCAAGTCGAGCCTTACGGCCTACCTGAAGGCATTGCCCCCAATGTTCGACGCGGCTCGCCAAGACTCCACGCTGGCTCGGCCGGTACTTAATTTCCTCGGTTGCCTATCGGCCTCGTTCTATTTGCTCGAGCATGCGATCTGGTCTTACACCAACAATCGTCCGGAGAAGGATATTGATGTCGACGCCGTCCGCCGCTGGATAATGCAAGGCGAATTGCCTCAGTCATTCAGCGAAGTTGAGAACTCCGTTGGGAACGGCACATCACCCGACGCCGTAGAGAAGGATTATCAGCTGGTATACGGGATGGCGCACGGGAAAGCGAAGGCGATGTTGTAGTCAACGATAATGGCAACTTCCCGTTTTCTCCGAATAGCATCTACCTTCGTCAAGCTCAACTCGTGGTCGTAGTTAGTTTCCCTATGTACGATAGCCGGTGGTGGATGTTGCTATTTTGGCTACCGATGGATATGATCCCGATAAGTTCAACAAACCCATTCACCACGTTCGTCCACATTCGCCCCATGTATCCACTTCAGAGGCAAAAACGCAAGCTGCGAAGTTTGCGTCATGACGAGGTTGAGTCAAAAATATGTATTCTTGTATATGGGAGGGTAGGCGGGTACCTAAGAGCCATCGGTTCAAATGATTCGTCGTGTGCTCGCGACAGGTATGTCAAGACGGTTCTCCATCGGACCGGCAGACTACTGCCGTAGATCAAGCCCCCGTGGCGTTTGCGTGTTCGTTCCCTTTTAGTACGTCTCCGCGTCCTGCGACATCTCGTCGTGCACGGTCTGATAATTCGTACACATGAAAATCCATCTTCATCTGAGAATCGTTGTAGCGGCCGCATTGGGTGCATTGGCAGTGGTGCAAAATGTGGCTCGTTATATACTGTAGGTGGTCTCTTGGCTATTCTGGCTGGATAGGCGCCACGGTCTTTAGGTCATGGGGAACCGTTCGATGTGACGGGGGACATCTTCCCGAGAGACATTCGATATAGGACATGGTCATGGGATAGACCTTGGAACGGCGTCGACAGCACGGCAAGTTGACCATGCATATCCACCGAGGAAGGACGCTTTCGGTTCCCAATCAGACACAAGACTTGTGCCCGGGAGCAACTAGTGGAACCCCTTGCGCTGCTCTTACTCGACCGGATGGGCACCCTGGCTATCGTTCTTGCAATCGCAAGGGTACGCCGCATTGCTTGTCCAGCGATCTCTGCATCATGTGGCTTTACCACCGTGGCGGGTCGTTCTTCGCGTCTGACGTCGCATGCGAGCTCGCAAAAATATTCTTCATTTATAACAGCTGAGAATGCATCAGTCGTCGGTGAGTCGTAGTGGGATTGATACTTATACGCACAGATAATGCTGTCGCTCTGCGTGCAAGGCTCCAAGGATCGCGGTGCCCATCTGTGATCTCGGTAAGCGATGATGAGAAATGTCGAGCATACAATGAGAGCGTGATAAACGTTCATGAGATTATGGTCTAAAATGGGCACACTACGCTCCGGAAACTCGTCCTTATGGGTATGAGGAGTCAGTGACGAGAAAATCTCTGCCGGTCCAAGGGGGAACTCGGCAACGTTGGGACTTGGTTGGGACAGTACCATGTGTGCCCAGGAAGTTCTCGGCTTTCAGGCGGAAACAGTAGGTGGTTTGATGCCGAATGCTCTGAGTATGGCTCGGGGGCAGAGATGCATGGAACGTCTCATGATGTGATGGCGCGTCCATATGGGGACATTCTCCGGGTCTCGCGCCGAGGGCTAAGACTGCGACAACATTATCGAAGCGTCGACGAGGATTTATTGTGCAGATTTCAGTGTAACGGAAAGTCAAGAACGGGTCGTTCAGACGATGAAGCGCTCGTAGTCAAGGCGCGGAGCAGCATAATTAACGGAAAGGTAGTGCTCAAGCCGTGGGAACCAGGGACACCGGAACGGGGTGCCTGCTTACGTGATGCGCGGAGGCCTCCCGCTACGACCGCGTCGCGCGTCGATCGAGCCGCTCTCATCCACTCGCCCACGACGCGCTCCTCGTCGTCGCCGTCGCCCTCCTCGCGTCCGCTACTGCTAGCTCCGTCTCGACACGCAACTCGCTCGGTATCGACACCACGAACGAACGCCATGACGACCCCCTCGTCGTCCGCGACGACCCCATCGCCCCCTTTGGGCTACATCCAAGTCTCCGGGTCAGGACAAGATCAAGGCAATGCCGAGGAGAGACAAAGAGCCGTTCAGAAGTTTCTTGCAAGAGCCGAGTTATCGAAGGTGAGCACGAGCGCATCCAGGTGCATACGACGCGCCTTCCACGACGCGTGGGAGGCACGGCGCGCGCAGCAGCATACACGGTGGAGGAGTCTCTTGAGTGTGTATTCGACTGCGTTAGGGAGTTGGTGGTCCAGCTCGTAGGCTTCGACGCGTATCGGACCCTTCTTACTCGAGTGCGGGCTGCTGGTCCTTGCGGCGCGCGCCGGGGCATGTTCGAATTCGGCCCGAACCCCTTATTCATCCCTCGCCCTATTCATGCGACTTGCTTGTTTGCCTCTCCCTTGAAGCAGTTCAGCTAACCCACTGTCGTCTCATTTTTAGCTCGCTCGTAGTCTTCGGACGCGTCTATCATACGCCTCATACAAGGCTACCAACCAGTTGTCGAATGTGCCATTGAGCGAACTGGAACAAAGAACACCTCAACCCGCCCCGCGAACGGTTCCCTCAAAGCGTAAAGCGGGAGGCGTCAACAATTATTACGACAACCCGGCGACACAGGGCAACAGCGCGATGGTACGTGCAGGTCCATCGGGATCTGCAGCGCCCTTGTCGCGGATAGGCTCGGGTTCGATGGGCCCTCCTGCCCCTGTTGCAGCATCGAGCTCGCGATATTACCCCAATGCCGCCGCCGCCGCCGAAGCAGCTCCTCAGCAGAGCCTGTTCGCCTCCATCCTGGCACAACCTCCTGACAAACGAGGTCGGACGATCCACAACCCGTCTGCACCGCCCGTGGCCGCGCCATCACGCACGGAGAGTCTCCCGCGGTACTCTTCTCGGCGGTCCGACGACATGCGCTCGCCGCGGACGCGCCCACGCGGAAATTCCCACAGTGGCGTCGCCGAGCCGTCGACGTCGGGGCGCCACAGTCACGCGCGCACAAGAAGCGACAAGGGCAAGCGAAAGGAGCGGCAGCTGACCGTGCCGAACGACGATGTCGACATGAAGGCGGCGGCGACGCTCACGTCACTCCTCCTCTCCGCGCGCCCGTCCGTATCGTCCATTCCCACTTCGCCGAGATCCACGTTCTCCGGCGCTGACGGGTCTGACGCGGGTTCCGCCCATTCGTTGCACTTCGCGCAAAGCTCGGCGCGCTCGACCGGGCGCGCTTCAACGCCCCCACGCAGTCGGACACAAAGCGAGCGCGGAAGCGTGGGCGGTGCTTCTTCCGGCGGCGACCGGGAGGTGACGCCGACCAATACGGCCTCGACGGACGTGCGCCAGGGGACGCCACAGCGGACGGACCCCGACACGGAGGCGGCGGATCTGATGCTCTACCTTGCAACGTCGCCATCCCCCGCCCGCCCGAATGCCAATCGCGAACGCGGCCTGCGTGATGCGGCTACCCTAGGGTCGCTCGGCAGTGGCGAGGGCTTGCGCGCCAAACCGCGGGTGCTGTTTCCAGGTGCTTCCGAAGAATTCGATGACCCTGAACAGTTCTCGTTAAGGCTACCTGATCTTGGAGACGGCACGGGAGAGCCCGTAGCCAAGGATTACGCTACGGTCGCGCCTCGTCTCACGAACATGGTGCCGAAGTCGCCTGTCTCCACGAGCTCGAATTCTAGTTACGCGTCGATGTCGTCTGCCATGCCGACGCTCACTGCCCAATCGTCCTTGACCTCTGTGGGCACCGCCAACTCCTCATTCTCCTCTTCGGGCGTGGCCAATTCTTCTTTCACCTCCGCGGGCATGTCGGGCTCGTACTCATCATCGCATCCCTTCGCGGCGGCTCCCTCCACCCCGGGCGACTTTTCGTTCAACTTCAACGACTTCATCAATGTGTCTCCATCTCCCGCTACGTTTGGCAAACCTCGGGAAGAAGGCGCTGTGCAACACAAGCCCGCGTTGACTGGCCTTAGGCCAGAACTCGGGAGAAAACTGTTTGAGGAGGAGCAAAGTCGGGTTGCGGCGCAACAGGCCCAGGGTATGTCGGGTGGCAGCAGAAACGCGCTTGGTGCAGGCATCGACCTTGTCGGAACGTGAAGTGAAGGCCATGTTCAAGACAACCTTTCGCGTGGCGCTGTCTAGATTCCGCGGCAAGGCGTGCCTCGGCGTTTCAACCTATCTTTGCCCAAACGTCTGCGACCCCTATGCTCGTAATCGTCACCAGGCTCCATACACAGCAATGTTCGATATCCGCAATTGACTTATGGTAACGAAACAGCAATCATTGGCTAGTGTAGCAACGAATCACAAGCAAGCCTCCTATGTATCACCTACTCGCCCCTCGCGCTATTTCTGTGAACTCCACGCCGTCTCAACAAGCAAATCCTAGCTTGCATATCTATCCAACGAACTCTCTTGGTATAGCGATTGATCCGTGTACTTGCTCCTCCACCAGAGCGACGACACTACCTTATTTATTCGCGCGTTTGGACCGTTCTACTCTCCTTCGAAAGACCTCTTTGCCCCTTTTCTCTTTTCTCAGTTCATACACGTTGCTTCCGAACGAAGTACGAGTTCCATTGATTTATCCTTTTCCTCGTGCCAAGTCCTTTCACGTTCCATTGTCTATATCCTGTCGTTGCTTTCTTCCAGCTCTCTCAGTCGGTGCTTCCCGCAGAGAACCGTGTATAATATGCAATCTGATCGGCCAACTAGAGCCATGCTCATGATGTCCTGACGCAAGTTCAAATAGATGCGAGTTGGCGACCATAGTGTTGGTAGGGTCGTTACGATCGGTGCGTGTCTATATCCCATGCGAAGCTCTCCTCGCATTCCTTCAGCCTCCGACAAACCATCAGCACCTTCTCATCATCCCCGTTGGCCACAGAGAACCGTATCCATCTGCGCCACTCCTGGTCGGTTTCGCCTCTCATCGCTTCCTCCTCCGTGAAGAACTGCACAGGGAGGGATACGATGCCGCCTTCTTCCGCGAGGCGCTTGCACACCTCCTCGGCCGTCTTTTCCGCGAACGGGTGCCGTACGAAGGCGTAGTACCCGCCCTGGCTGCCGATGTGCCACGTATTGGGCAGGTGCGCCTTGAACAGCGCGTGTCGGTGCGCAAGGTTCTCCGCGGTCGTGAGGAGGAAGGGTCGGAGGCTGGAGAGTAGATCCGGCGTGCCGAGCGCGCGCTGGGCGGCTGTCGGCGCGCAGATCTGCAGGCAGTCGAGGACTTTGGTCGTCTCGCGCAGGAGGTCAGGCGAGCCGACGATCGCGCCGAGGCGGTAGCCGGGGATAAAGTAGCTCTTGGAGAAGGAAAAGAGGTGGATGAGGGTCGAGCGCCAGTACCAGTCGGCTGGGATTTGCTTGGTGGAGGGTCGATGGAAGAGCATATGTGGGGGTCCCGATGCGATGAAGTCGCGGTAGGTTTCATCCAGGATGAGCGCGATTTTGTGTTTCTTGGCGAGCTGCGCGAAGGACAGAATCAGGGATGGCGTATAGATGCAGCCGGTCTGATGGTCGTGAGTCAGTGAAGACCGTATCGGAATGTGATGGATAAGAAACGCTTACTGGATTGTTTGGCGTGACGAGAGCAATAGCTCGTGTCTTTGGGGTGATCAGGGATGCACAACGTTCTACTGAGGGCATGAAGCCGTTTTCTGGCTCAGTAGGTAATGGGACCGTCTTGATGCCGAGAAGATTGTTAGTCATCCTAGCGCGCGTCTACCGTCAGTGAGAGACGACGAAAGCCGCAAGGTGCTGACGAGTTCTCACTGATGGTTGAAGTACCTGGTATGAAATCCATGAGCATTTATCCAGTGGGAATCGGTGTTACAAGCGCACCATGGAATCGGAAGAATAATCTCGTCTCCTGCATCGGCAAGAGTTTTCACTACGGATGCATACGCGAGGTTACACCCTGCGGTGATCGCAACATCTGCGTCGTTCACGTCAATCCCTTCTCCGTACACTGTTTTCATCTCGCCGACGAGTGCCTTCGCGAGCTGGCGATTTCCCTCGGCAGTGTCATACCGCGAGCTTGTCGGATTTGAGACAGCCTCCTTCATCACATCCAACACAACCGCCGGTGGAGGGCCTGACGGACTGCCCTGCGCCATGTCGAGCAGGGGTCGCGACGGCGAAGCAACATATCGTGAACCCCAGCTGTAGGCCGCGGGTATGCTATAGCAGTGCACGCGTCAGCTCAAGTTTTTGCGCTATATCATTCATTCGACAGGCTTACGGTGCCGCTACGGTAGTCAAAACATTCTTCGCCAAACGGAATTGCAATGGAGATGCCATGGGGAGCTGAGTCCATCGTGTGCTAACACAATCTTGGAATCTTTGGGGGATCGTGTGAAACTGCGGTCAGATAAGCTGCTAGGCCTTGCTATATCCCCGTTTGATTTGCTGTCTGACCTGGTCTCACTCTCAGTCGGACTCATTTATGAGTGCAAGTTGCGCCCGTGCCTCTATCCCTAACCTTTCTTCGCTACTTCACTCAGCTCATCATCGTGGTAGTCGATATCATGGTCAAGAAGCGTTGAGGACCATGCATCAACACGATGTTCTACTCACCTGGACCTTCTTGCATAGGCACGAGCAAGAGATCGGAGCTGAGCAACGTGCAACGGACTACCAGCGCGTTGAAGGACTTCCTGACGACTATTGAACGCCATCTTTGCGTACGCGACAGCCTACGACGATTCGCCGCATTGGACCTTGTGCTTTCCGGTTGTTCGTGGTCCCCGCGACGCGTTCCACCATGAGGGACTGGAGGAAACCGCGACAAGGCACAACAGTTGTCTTGTCAGTCGGTAATTGAACGTGAGTCATCTCTGACGTGTTCCTAACGATTGATTTTAAACTAACAGGCCGACTTTCTACAAATAGTCCATCGGCAGACGGTACTTCTGTACGTTGCCATCCGCATCGTACATTCAGACCTTATGCAAGATACCTTCAAGTTGCGTTTCGAGGATTGCCTTGTTGGCCTCCATTCGGCCGCTAGGAAGGATGACCGGCTGCTCTCGCGGACTCGCTCGTTGGTCCTCGAAGAATGGGCGCCCTAGGGACAACGCACGTTCTTAACATCCGCATGTTGCCGAATTCTTTCTCATGTCGCCCTCGAGCGGTTCGCAGCCAGCTTGGCTGCCTCTCCTCTGCCAGGGCAGCGCCCAGACCTTGATCCACCTGAGCGTTCAACTCAATCCTTGCCAATTTCCAGAAGGCAAATTTTACAACCGAATTTTCACTGGTGAACCTTGTATGGTTGCGTATAGAAGATAAGAGCGACACGGACACACGGGGGAACCCACGGACCCCCGCTCCCTCGAGGACCTCGTCGTGCTCCGACTCCTCAAGCTCGAAACGCTGGAATCCTTCTCCGAAGTATAACATGAATGCATGCATCATCGAGGCTCGATCGCATTTGCGATCGCCAGTCAGGCGGAATTGCCGTCCCTTCGTATAGTGCGGATACTAGAAGACCTGGTAGTGGTCCGCCACACCACGCTTCGACAGCTGACGAATGCACGTCTCAAGCATCTACGGGATGTGCACATCCGGATATCTTCCTTTAACGACAGCCTTGAGGATATCCTCAGTAACACACCACTGTTGACCGACATTACCTGTGTCACCCTCAAACGTCCGGGGCTCCCAGACGTACAGTGACGTACTCGGTCATCTCCCATTCTTCGATGTCTCGCGCTGTCCGGCGGGAAGTCAGGTCTCCTGGAGACTCTTCTCGCCAACGATCCTTCCAGGTTGGAGCATATCAAGCTCGCTGAGACATCCTGGGATAGCCTTGACGTGGAGGTAGACCAGTGGGGGGAAATGAGCTGGTCCTTAGCTTCGGACCTGGAGCTCGCTATTAACTTGAAGCTGGCAGCTGAAAATATCCCCGTGCTGGACAAAGACGGAAAGGCGTTTGAGCGTATGGTCGAGGTTAAAAGCCCTTCATAAGCTCTCGCTCCGAATCACCCATATCCTCAGGTAGGTCATGATTACCAACACGTCATAATTCATCGTGAAGAGCCCTCCAAGCAGATGATGCGAGTGTTTTCGCGCTCAAAAGCTCAGTCAACCGCCATTGATTTGTTACGAACTTCGTCAATTGCTGCCAACGTACCAATCCGTGATTATTTCGTCATACTTATCGTAGGCTATATCCATTCGTACACTACTCGATGTCAATGAATATTCGTTTCATTATTGTCCAGGCGCATTGGCGATAAACGTAGAAGTCCACATATACTGGAATATACGGATCCTTCGACATGTAAGAGTAACTTATCGAATCAATCGGCGCTAGAGCCAATTGTCGCCCCAACTCCTGCTCTTCATGACCGCGAGCCTGGTATGCATTCCTCCCGTATCCACTCTATCTACACTTCGACTGTCCAAGATGGGTCTCGGCACAAGGATCGGGCTTGGAAGTTGGGAACCACCTTTCCGACCGTCATCATCGCTCCCCCTTCTCCTGCGTTCCCAAAGGAGGTCTTTCCTCTCCGCCTCAGTCAGCTCCTTATTGAGCATCTGTCTGCGCGTTGTGCGAGGGATCGCAAGTTGAGCAGGGAATGGAACTTCTTGTGTCCGAGCGCGCGTGGAAGTCAACTGTTTCGCGCCTCCAATCGCGCTGTCCGAAGTTCTTCGAGGAGAAATCCTTGTAGAGGACTGGATGGGATGAATCGGGTACAGTCCTGACCCTGCCAAACTTGGATTTCTGCGCTGAAACCTCAAAGATGTAGCAGAGTCGGAATTGGCGGTATATGGTCTCTTGTGGTGTATTGTGTCCGGCTTGACGTCTTCAGATCGTTGGGGCTCAGCGCTCCCTAGAGGCACTACGGGTATTTGTGGAGTGAACAGGTCACTGAGTAAGCTTCTCTTGGGCTGGTTTATACTAGCGTATCTCTCCTTCGGGAGCTTGGTGAACAGATCCTGCAGCGACTGCGTCTGTCCAGACGCTCCGGCACCCGGGGAGGACAATATGGTGACCAATTGATGAGATGGCACGCTATGTCCTGGTACTTTGATGCACATCAATCAACCTTGGCGTGGCGAAGCTCTACCGAGGACATACCTGGAAATCCATCTTTATCAACCGATAATGCCGCGGCTGGAAACCAGGGTTGAATCAGGCATCGTATACCAGAACGAGTGGAGAAGACTCACAGCCGTTACGGACGAACGTACGCGGTTCAGCTTGCCGAAAATATGTCGTAAGATCAACATCGGACACTCCCTGAAGGGCTTTCAGGCAACACAAACACATTGACGACTGAGAGTTACCTTCACTGTATGGTAGAACTCATCGTCGCAAGCGACGGCAGCTCGGGCCGATGGTTGGGACTGCCGTCGAATTAAATACTGTGATCGGTTTTGATCGACGTGCGCACCTCGAGAAGGTGATCGAGCAGCACATGTAGGCCATAATGCGTCTGAACACATTTCTCAGTGCTTCGAGCCTGGGATTTGAGGGTCTGGCTCACCGGCCCTATATCAGATTCTCGCGCTACTTCTACGGAAGATGAACACTGGGTCGATGACTGAATGCTCTGTAGACTTGAATCCGAATCATCGCCACTTGAGTCCACGTTCTTCGGATCCGCAGCACCTCGCATGACCTTAGGAGTACGGAACATCCGAGGTTTGACCACGTAATGGCGAAGAAAGATTGTTTGATCAAAATTCCAGTCTTCATCCAGGGGCCTCTTACCGGCGGACACCTCGTTCTGCAGTGATAATCCTCAATCAGCGTACGGGGAGCCTACGGCAAAAGATATTTACACGACTGAGACTATCCGCCGGCGTACGCAGAGACACAGGCGGAGAGGGTAAACTCCAAGGGATGTGGGCCTCGGCAGATGGTCGCTTGTGAGATTTCGTTGGAGGACCGGACCTGTGCTCCACCGAACTTCTTTCATCCCATGCACGATACAAGCTAATGCCCGCCCCAGCAAATGACGCGGTATCCAGAGAGACACCTGCGCCCATCTTCGTGTCGTTCTCTGTGAATGCAGCGAGAGCCCATGTTGCCGTTCGGACAACACCATAAACGAGTATGATCTCGCCGGGATCAAGCGCAAATCCTTGCGATTTGGCAAAGTCGTACCAGCTTTCGCCATACTTGAGACAGTAATTCTTGATGGTCTCGTGCTGGAGGGAGTGATAGAAGTTCGCCCAAGGTTTTAGAACAAGGACGGCAGCACGGTGCACTTGAGAAGAGAAACTGAAGTTGAACCCGGCCGTGATCGGTGCCAACGATGAACTAAGGGCGCAAAGTGGAATCAATGTTGACGGCAGGGTGTAACACAATCTAACGCACATTCCAGCGTGCGCTTGGTCCTGACGTTCGGCGTTACTGGTGCACACATATGCGCCCGCCTTCAGGTTGTTTTCGACTGTCTTGACATGACGATCGTCCAATACTAGCGGCTCGAAGTCTTGGGGCGCCAGATCATCGTTCCACGGATGATCGCGCGTTTTGCAGGCATTGAACAGCCGGTAGAACACACCGTCATCCCGACTCACGAACCCGACATCGCCGATCTGGGCCTGCAGTGGTCCGGCGCGCTGTTCAACGGACTCGCTGCGAAATAGATGCTTGTTGAGTCACATGCGATATCACCGTCGCGGCGTTACGTTGAGAACGATGCGTACGGAAACCAAAGCGGCAGCCCCAGACCCTTCTTGTGCAGCTCCTCAACGTAAACTTGGCGAACGGGTTTAAGAGGCATGATGGCATTTGTGAAGCGATTGTATACTGGCGTTCCTATCGTGCTTGTGCAGCTGCGCATGACACGCCTGTGCAACTTGTAACCGTGTGGGATTCACATGAAGTTTACGGCATGAGTTGGGCGCTTGATGCTATTTGTGAAGGCTGCGGTAACTTAATACTGGTGCATGACAATCAGTAAACAAAACTCACATACAGGAACACATGCGACCATCCGGGCGACGTCTGAGCATGCCAGCCATTTTAGTGCCGAGACATTTGGGTGATATCCATGACTGCCAGTGAGCTTTGAGTTTGGTCGGGAATATCGCTGCTTTCTAGTAAGGGATATAGTACGGGAGAACTGGGGTTCATGTGGACGGACCACACTGCGCACGACTCGGAGGCTGACAGTGATACATTGAAGGGGAAGGGCTGTGTGGTGCCGTAACGCGTGGGAGAAACACCCGGCCACTTAGTATGACGGGTACTACTAAAATTTAAATTATCCTTGGGTCGGGCATTGGCGTATGCAGCGTATATTCCAGAGAACTTCATGTTACTTGTAGCCAAATGTTAGCGAGACACAGCGTTATAATGGATGATTTCAGTGCCGGCAGAATGAACTTTATGTTCCATTCGACAGAATCCAACGCGGCAAGTGAGAAAGATAATCTCACGAAGTCCGTCGGGTACGTATCCTTTCGGACCTCCAGTGGTGTGACGGATTAATTTGCATCAACAAGCGCGACATGCTGACCACTACCATGACTTGTTTCAGCGAAGTGTCGATTACTGAGCAGAGCCTCCCTTCGAAACCGCATTACATCTCCATCGTTCCAACGGAGGGTAAATACAAGCAACCCAGTTGCTCTCCGCATGTGCATCACAAAAGCTCGCACACGCAGTAACGAGACGATCGCTGGCACAACCTAGGAACAGTTTACTCGCTCACTCCATTCGGAAGGAGGTGGGTGCGTGCTGATAGAGAAGCAGGTGCAGGAATATCTGACACTGGTCATTCTCCGTGGATCGCAAGTTCACCGCCAAGACATTGGTTCCCTGCACGGCAGTGCACGAGCGCTGCCATGTGCCCAACAGCCTTTCCGCGGCCGGAGCTGAGATAGTAAGTCAAGGAGAGAAGAAGCATTACGGCTGAATATTTCGCGCGCATGAAGTGAACTGTCTTCAGGCGATCTCCAGGGTCAGGAAATACCCTTGAGGATATCTTGGACGATTGTATTGCGACCCCTCGGCAACTGCTGTGCGATTACGTGATCTCTCAGATAAATGGGATGAAACGGTTGATGTCACGAACTCAGAACAGCACCCATCAGTGCGTGGAATGATTCCTAAAAATCCGAAGGTCTTACCAGCACCGTCGTAATGCCGTGGATCCCAATCAACCGCAGAGTTTGACGTGCTTTGTATTGTGTTCATAGGGAGCATCCCGACAATGTCGACGGATTCGAAGTCGCCGTAATTTTGGTTGGCTCGTGGAAGGATTGGAGTCATTTACTCCGTGGTAGCAGCAACAATTGTGGAGTATTCAGCTTACTCACAAGGTCTTTATCTCACCTCGTCTTGGCTTCGATTGCCCAGAATATGACCCAATAGAATCACCGTGGTACCTGAGGTGCGACATTTCTTGCGACTTCGGGTAGTAATGCTCCGTTTCTCCGACATCGACGAGGAAGACGAGGCCAGCGTACACATTGGAAAGTTTCACGTCGACAGCATCTTCCGCTTCAGAATAGCTCTGAGTGGGTACAGTGCCAGCGTCAGAGCCTTTCAGCTTAAGTCGACACCGCGATATTGGAACGACAGACGAACCGGAACCGCCGTGTCGCCTCGGCGTCGGTATCACAAACTTTCTCTTACGGTGAAGGAGATGGATGCTCGAGATAGACTTGGCTACGGTCAAAGAGATTGTGTGATTCTATCTTGAGGGCGAGAATCAACCGACATTTATGCCGCAGTCGACGCTATAAACCGTCTAATCCCGGTGAACAAGCAATACCCTTGAGCATCGGAGGCCGCGATCTAGGGTCCATTTGTTTTGGAAGGTGACCGTGTAATCGGGAACCAATTCAGATCGTGCGATCCTTCCAGAGGAACACGCTTCTCGTAGCTGGAGAACCAAGCACAGGCATGGGATGGTGAGTACAATCGGAGACTACCATTGAATACGGTCACTATTTTCAAATCAAGGGTTTCATCGCGCTGACATTGATCAAGATTTGGAAACGGAGACTCACCGAGGGCATCTGCTATCGTGCGGAACCAATTGTTTAAAGGTTGGATCGATATGGATTACACAAACCGCTTCCTCAACCCCTTGGCACGACTCCAGAGGTTCGCGGCCTGATGGAGCATAGAGAAGTCTACGTACAACCGTATAAGGCGATGACGGGATCCTCGTTAGGATGGCAGTGTCGTCTTCCCTGACAGAGATAGAATGCAATGCCAGCTCATCGCGTTACACAGCAAACACGATCCGGTTCCGAATTGGCCGATTCAGGTAACCAGAGGATGCGTCACGGGCACCCGGGCTCCAGAAAGGATACCAACAGAGTGCCCTCGGGCCGCGTCGCACGAGAAGCATCTTCCCGTATCTCTGCTGCGAGCCACATGCATCCAGGGGGGGGTGCGCCCTCATCAGCGGCTCCAAAACACGCCAACTGCCATGATCATGCCACGTAACTCGTCGCCGCGGCGCTCGATCGGCTTCTTCCAGAACGCAACCTCGAGCTCGCGACGGTCCGGGAACGAGTGTATTAGAGGCCTTGATGGATGATGTGCCCTCATCACGGAGTTGCCTCGAACGCGCCTGCGCGCCCCGCGAATGCTATAGACTGATACCCTAGCCGCAGTTTGTGTCCCGATGCGGCCATCTGGCGGACCGTATGAGTTGGCGTTGATGGGTGGAGTGGCAGCATAGCGACGGAGGGAATGTGCGCGAGGGCGATAGCGGTAGGCCCATACGTAGATAATCGGCCGGAGAGGGGTTAGGATGCCGAGAGGATGCCATTTTGTTGAGGGACCATGCCAGCGAGCACCGTGCACCATGGTGGCTCTTCATTGGTCAGTTCCCCATTCTTGGTAGTGGGTGGCTGGCTAGAACACTTGATAGCATTTGAAGTCGAGGAATAAATAATTGCATCCAGCAAGCAACATGGTCGATGGCCCCGGAAAGACACGTTCTGTCACGGAGCTACGCGGACATAGCCTAAAAAGGTGTACGCGCAATCAATTTTCCGTGGCGCGGACGGACGATGGTGTACCACATCTCCTTCGAGGTCGTCGGCATCGTTCATGGTTACGCACTCCGTGCTGGCCGAATTAATATACATTCCCAGATGTCTACGAGACGAGAGGAAAAGCTAAGCTACACTGTGTAGAAAATCTCGGAGGGGAGCCAAGCCATTAAGCACTATGTATATATGCGCACTGCGAGCAAGGGTAGGGTCATAAATTGGTGGGTGCATCGGGACGTTGATCTGAACAGAGGATGGAGGCGGGATTCGTGATGCAGAAATAGGCAGAGGCAAGCAAGGCGGAGAGATTGGAAAGCAGCACAGGCAGTGTGAGAGGTTTGGTATGAGATTTAGGGGAGGAACTGCGATGTTCCGTCGTCAGTCACGATGAAAAGAAGAGCAGGTGAGCGAACTGGGACCAAAAGGATAGCTTAAAGTGGCCCTCGGAACCGAACGAAATTGTATAGGTAGTAGTCATAAGTCCAAGAGGAAATATTGTCCGATATCAAGACCAAAGGTTCCATTCAATGGTTCATGGAAGGATCGCAGGGACCGGAATTCAGACAGGAAGGATAGGCATACAAAGAAAATCAATAACACAATTAACGAGTGTGTCCGTTGTCACAATTTGGCCATCAAATTCAGAAGTCCACGAAAGGCAGAAAAAAAAGGGGGGGATGAGGAACGGAACACGCACAGCGGGAGAAAAGCAAGGATAGCCAACGCCTAGCGTGGGATGACTGCGGCCGAAGCGCAGGGGCCAATTACATCAGGACCCCCGAGCCCCAGTCCGGCTCGGTCTTCGTGAGGATAGGCCCAGAGGACGACGCCGAGGATGGATCCATGACGTCCGCGATGTTCGGGAACCCAAGCCCGTTCACGCTGTCCGCCGACGTGAGCTCCTTCTGGTGCGCCTGGCAATCTGCGCCGCCTTCCGAACGCACTACGTAAGACGAAGGACTATGAACAGGCTGCGCGAAAGGAAGAGCAGAACACGCACAGTGTCGATTGAGGGCGTCCATCCTCGCAAACGTTTTCTTGCACCCCTCACACGTGAACGGCCGGATGTTGAGATGCAAATTCTCGTGACGCTTGCAGTCGTGCTGACGCGCGAAGCTCTTCTGGCACCCGGGCCACTTGCACTTGAACGGCTTCTCCTCGTTATGGGATCGCATGTGTCCTACAACAACAGCATCAGCTCTCAGTCACGACCGCCGAGTGCAAAAAAAAAGACGCACCCTTCAAGTTGAAGTGCCGGGTGAACGTGCTTCCGCATCCAACCACCGGGCATATGAACGCAGCGTCCACCTTCCTCCTCTTCTCGCTCGCGTCCTTCGTCGCGTGCGTCGTGACGTTCACCTTGCTCACCGCCATTGAGCCCTGCACGCCGCCCTGCACGCCGCCCTGCTGGCCACCCGCCTGATGCTGCGGCTGCGACTGCGCCATCCCCATGCCGGGGTTCATGCCCACACCTATGCCCATCCCCGACATCAGCCCCATCTCGTTCAGATCGGCGCTGTCCGCCAACCGCATGTCCCCGAGCTTCATATAATCCTGCTGCGCCCCGCCCGCCGAATACCGCCGTCCAGCGATCGGCGCCATACCACCGCCGCCCATGTCGAGCTCGTACCCCGCCCCGACGTCGGGCGCGAGCTGCATCGAATCGTACGCCCTCGGACTCGCGTTCGGGCTCGGATACGGCGACCCTCGCCTGCTCCCCCCAGACGACCCCGCCCCGCCGGAGCTCCCCCGACGGTGATGCGTCCGGTTGATGTTCGGCACGATCT